CTCGAAGAGGAATGTGCTTTAATGCTTAGGCATGGTGCAAATGTTAATGCCGAAAGCCTTTATGGGAACACCCCTCTGAAGGCTGCAGTAATGAATTATAACCCAACTTTACTTAAGCAAGTGTTGTCCCATCGCGCTTCTACTGGCAGCCCTGCGATAACATCTTTATTGCGCAATGCTATGGAAGATGGCTATAGTCGGAGAAGCTACAAATTTCCGCGGAAATTCATTGAAGTGATCGAAGCGCTTATCGATGCCGGCGCTGACACTTATGGAATACACATCGAAGAAAGGATGGAACGAAAGTTTCCGATACTTCGAGATATTTGGACCAAATCTCACGAGAAGCAATTGGGAAAAGAACGCACATCCTTGGACATAGCGCCAGCATTAGAAGATGGCTATGAAGAAAAAGATGACATATTTGATGCTGTGCTTAAAGAATTCATACATCATCCGAGCAATGAATACAGAGGTAAGTCTCCGTATATAGAACATTATCAACACTGATTTTCAGATATTTACCAAAATTATATGCATTGCCTCCAAAGTTAGCCTATATAATGAGAGATGGTTGTTTCATACCAAGCATAAATATGGTTACAATTTACCGCTTTCGAAAAATCTTCTGTTCGTTACCTTGCCGATTACAGATGAAAGCGATAGTCAGGGTATATCTGCGGTTAAACCTCCGCCAGCACAATCGTTGATCCCGTTTGACACAAAGCCTGTCAACGACCGTGTCATAGCAATAATCCAATATTTGCTCACCTGCTTTAATACCAGGATGTTCACATCTGATCATTTCTTCATGCTGGAGCTAGACGGATACGTCGATAAAATACCTCCAGAGTGGGCATCTCACTTCGACAAGATGAAAGGCATCATCCGAGAACCCGGTCGGTTGATTGTTCAGATTCCTTTAGAGAGAATCGCTTGGTCCAGAACATCATGGCGTGAATGCAGCCATCCATATCTTCATTTCATTGATGCGATTTATGTATGCCGCCGATCGTCAACTCGTCTTGATGAAGAAGTCTTTTCCGATTTACTTGGAGAGTCGGAGCAAAAGATTGCAACAGATCTACATGCCGTATTGATAGCAGGTCTCAGTATCCTCAGTATCGCTGGAGGCGACAGGCTTATTGAGAAATTGGTCAAAGCCATTCTTGGTGAACAATTGGATCCGAGTAAGGCGTCTTCACCGGTAGACTTACATGACGAATGGCAGATTCGTAATCGACGCCATTGTCCTTGTAATGCAGAAGGTATCCACCGACCACTATCACCAGTAGCAGCTGCGAAAGCTGTCGGAATAAACATCTGGCGTATTCAACAAATCGAAAAGGTGGCTAGAGTATGGGATCTGACTCAAGATATATTGGTAGATGATGTTGACGTTTCCAAAGTCATCTTTGTCACACATAAATGGGATGAGCCTGAGGCTGATTATCAGGACGTCAAGGGGTTGAGAAGATGGCTAGGTCAAAAAGTCAGCAGTCTATCAAAAAAATTACAACGTATCAAGAGAATCTTACAGCCGCATACAAAGTATGTATGGATGGACACAATCTGCATTGACAAGTCAAATTTATCTGAGCTTGACCGAGCTATTCGCTCAATGTACAAGTGGTATGCTAGCTGTGCAGCAGTTGTACTGGATTCTGGTACTCCTCTGAATGTTTGGTGCCAAAGAGGTTGGTGTCTTCAGGAAGGCGCTGCAGCAGGCGTCTTGTACGGAATATCAAAGGAAGGAACCCTTGCTACCATACAACAACTGGCGAATGAGCAAGGTCATGAACTTTGTACTCTCGATCTTCACCTGTGCTATAGACCGGGAAATGCTGCCGAGATAATAACGAGAATGGACGCTCGACAGACAACATATGCTGAAGACATGGCCTACGCTTTAACAGGAATATTTTCCATCCACCTCACGTTGGCGTATGGCGAGGGAATCATTGCTCGTGAAAGGCTACTTCATGAGCTAGCTACAAAGAAAGGCGACCTGTCATTTCTAAGCTTCCAGTCGACTCAAACGAGATTTCGAAATTACTTACCAGCTATTAAGCAAGCCAATCATTTGATTGCAAAGTGCACAGAAGCCTCAGCACCAATTATGGTCAGCCATTTTGGCATTTGTTTTGATGTTCAGCTTGTCGAAGGATCAGACGCAAGCCTCGTACTGAAAAAGTTGGATTTCTGGAAGGATCTTAGTTTTGCTAAAGGTCGATCCATAGGAGTCAAACAGTTCATAAAAATGGCAGAAAGTCAAGGCTCAGAATCCTTGAAGCTTGCCATCGTACACTATATTAGGTCTATCATTCTAGTGGAGACATACGACAAAGATTTTCAGACAGGTGGTGCTGGGCGACAGATAGAACGATGCCATCGAATGCAATGCTGTCAGATAGAAGAAAAAGAATTTACTAGGCTGTTTAAAGAAGACGGTACCAAACTTGAAAGGATCTGGCTACGTGATAAGCCTGATGGCGCGGGAGCGAATATGACGGCAAGTGGACAATTTCTCTCGAAAGAAGTAGATGTGGAAGAGTGATATATCAATGAGGTCTTGAATAAAAATGCTTTTAAGACAGAGTAAATTGTTTTGAATGCACCAACTCAGACGATGTGCCTTTTTGAGTATTAATCTATCCTTTTGTTTCCACTCACCTCTATGGATTTTCTTTAACCTTTGGTGACTCTTCCATTCTTTTGATATTCCAATGTTTTTATGGCGACGTTTATCTAGCTGATGGCCATTGTGCCACTCGCACGATGCTTCAAACCCACTTACCGATTGTTGATCAAACCGACTATTTGATTGCAAATTGTAAAGTTTTCAAGTGCCAAAAACGATTAGTCATTTAAGTCCATGTATTAATGTTCAATTTGTCAACGGCCTACGTACTGCACAAGTTAAATGTTTGGAAGGATAAAAAATTTGCCAGCGATCAGTCCCTAAAGTAGAAGATTTCATAGGAGCTGAAAGGAGATCAGTTATTTAAACGCCAATTTCAGTCGAACTTTCTATTCAGTGTTGCATTCAGTCTCTTACTTTGATCAAAAAATATATTAAAGGTTGATATACAGGCGGCAAATCACCACTCAAATTTTTGAGACCGCCGATACTAATGCAGTTAAAAGAGAGCAAGTTGAAAGGCTACTTGGCGAGATTGATAGCAGGTCCGAAAGGGTATGGCCAAGTGATAAGCCTGATGTTGTAGTAATGGCTATTACGGAAAGCGAACAATCTCCTCGCCATGACAGAAAAAGTCTTAGCCCAGGAGATCTGAAACACTAATTGTGCTCATTGATATGTTTCTAAAGCATGAAAACGGGTCTTAATGCATATTGCGGAAACAAGCCACCTAGTGATCGTATTCTATTACAATGCCATTCATAAGTGATCAGAAATATCGTATGAAATGCCATATACTCTGTACCACTCTAGAGGAAATGAATGTACATTATTCATTATGCGATGCAGGGTGCCATCACAGAGAACAACACGTTTGCATCGCTCGCCTAGCATCGAAGCACTGCGAGGTCAGAGAATGGACTATCATTATGTGGCAAGATCATTCTTTCTTCCTGACAAGACGCTGATAAATATACCATTGGCCACATTATACTAACAAACAGCATATACCTTGCAACAATCGTAAGTTATCATGGAGTATTAGGGCCCATAGATGGACGTACAGTGGTTGAAACCCTTCCGTGACAAAAACAATTCTCGCAGGTATATCCAACACCACACGAGATTGTAGCAGAAGGCAAAATTGCATCAAAACTTCAAACATCGACTTTCCAGCCCGAATTCGTGATTTCTGACCCTTCTTACTGTTTTGAACAGCCCTTTCGTTGGATCAGTATTATGCAATAATAATTGGGCATAACTATGTCAATTCAAAAATTCAATTCAATTCAATTCAATTCAAATCAAATCAAATCAAATCAATTCAAAGTCAAAGTCAAGTGGCTTTGAGCTTGAAACAGCGAGCTAGATCACGATCACAACACATTGATTACAAATATGCCAGGATAACCGACCCAGAATTGCTATGAAAAAAGTCAGCCGTAGTAAATTTTTCTGGAATTCCATTATGCAACTGGCCAATTCCTACACTGCACAGGTCGGAGGTCGTTCTGTGTTTGCCTCGCCTCAGACAGCTAGACTCTCTACCATGTAAAGATCTGCAAACTTTGACATGATATATTTTACTAGTGATTAGATTCTTCTTCCATCATCTTGTAATGTTTAAATTATGCTTGGTAAATAAACATAAACATACGAAAGCTACCGTTTCTAAGCCTGGTTGAATAATGCAAACAGCCACAATTAAGAATTCAAGAACAGAAGGTTGTTGATGTATGCCTTTCACTTTGTAATCAACGACATAACTAGCAATATGGCAGAATCAACAAAATTGCCGCCATATTCTGGCACTCGGCCACAACAACCTTCAGATCATTCATATAATCAATTTTCGCCAAAGCGATCTACAGTATTTTAAAGTTGTCAATATCAACATATAGGAGAGATGGTGTCATCAGGCTTGGAGAAAACAGGAGGCAGAATCAGAAAGGAGGCTTTACCTACCTAATGTCAGCCACCTTGCCCTGGAACTGTTTGTCAGCCAAGTTTGATCCCTGGCCAATTAAATCGTATTACCCAAGACTGAGACGTGCAGATAAAGATAACCGCTTTCTACAAACGTAATGACCACCGTCGTCAAATCATGTTACATAACATCGTATTGGATGATTGAAGATCATTTGAAGTACCACCACAAAGGACTGTCCGTATGCATATGTAGAAAATGTCGCTAAGACGCAATGTTTTGATCACATAGCCATTAAAGTGACACATACAAACTCAATGCAGGTAATGCAATCTCAGTCAATTGTTAAATTTTTTATGTTGCGAAGCAAAAGTTTATATAAAAGCCCTGCTCGACATTTTTTCATATTCATCATTGAAAAAACCTTTTTGAATGTCAAGCACGTACGATTTTATTATTGTAGGAGGTACTGTATCCCTGTCTCTGTTTATTTATCAATCAGTGGAGTAATTCTGGCTCTTTTAGGTGGAACTGCTGGATGCTTGATCGCAAACCGCCTTGTTTCCTCCAAGAAAAACCCTTCGGTGCTTATTATTGAAACGGGTGACCATGGAGACGTGGAACATAGGGTACCATACGCCAGATATCTCAACGTCTTTACTCGTCCGGACCTTGATTATGGATACCTGACGGCACCACAAGTTCCACTGGATAACAAAGTGCTGCCCTATGCAAGAGGAAAGGGAATGGGTGGAAGTTCTATGATTAATTTCATGGTATACACTCGTGGTGCCGCTGGTGACTATGACGAGTGGGCCAAATTAGTTGGAAGTGATGATTGGGCTTGGGATGCTGCTCTGAAGAGATTTCATAAGGTTTGTTGCTTCAAATTCAAATACATTGTTAGATCGAATATTAAAGCATCTTGTGCGCTTTTAGGTTGAAAACTATACAGACAACAATGGAGCAGAGTATAAAAACTACGCTGAACTTGGAGATGAGTACAACGAAAGTACCGGCACTCTCGGTGTTTCGGTTCAATTTGAAGAGGAAACAGCTGCATTGTTAGACGCTGCATATGAGCTAGGTTGGAAAAAGAATTTGGATCTTAATAGTGGAAACCCCATTGGTGTCGGAGCCTCAGCTTCAACCGTATACGAGGGAATGCGTTGCACCAGTTCTTCAGCGCATATTCAGCCAGATAAGCAAAATTTGACCATCCTGGTAAAATCTCAAGCCACGAAGATATTATTTGAAGGTACAAAGGCCGTTGGTGTTGAGGTCAACGGTAACACCTCCGTGTATGCTTCCAAAGAAGTTATTTTGAGCTCTGGGTCGTTCGACACTCCCAAATTGTTGTTGCTATCTGGTGTGGGTCCCGCAAAGGAGTTAGAAGCTCTTGGCATCCATGTCATCAAAGATCTTCCTGGTATCGGCAAAAATATGCAAGACCATTGTGGTGTATTCGTTACTGATCTAGTGGACATTGCCATGTCGTCGCGTGCTCCATTCATTCACGCGGAGGACCAGTACGAAGATGCTCGCAAACAATGGGACAAAGACCGCACAGGGCCTTTATCTACTCACTATAGAGCATTGTGCATTGCTTTCTTAAAACAGGAACACCTCCACGATACTCCAGAGTTTCAATCTTTGAGTGAACAATCAAAGTCCTATTTACACAGGCCAACTATTCCCACAGTTGAAGTTGCTTTCAACGGACCAACCTTCCCGCCTGGTCACGTCTATGGAGAAGACAGTACTTGCTTCTGCGCAGGAGTTATGTTGATGCACCCGGAATCTAGAGGATCAGTCACCTTGAAATCGTCCAATCCTTCTGACCCACCGGTTATCGACCCCAACTATATGGACCATCCATTTGATAGACTCGCTTTGATTGATGGCGTTCGAGAGGCAAAGAGACTAATCAGGGAAACCTCCTTGAACAAACACTGGATCAAGCCTATTTTATCACCAGAAGACGATACCGATGAGGCTATTTGGAAATACATCAAGGGTTTAATTATGTCTATCTGGCATGCTAGTAGCACTGTATCCATGGGAAAAGCTGACGATCCCATGGCCTGTGTCGATGCAGATATGAAACTGCGTGGATTGCAAAATCTTAGGGCTGCAGATATGAGTGTCTGTCCACTTGTGATCACTGGACATACTCAGGCTGTAGCCTATCAGATAGGCCAGGCAGCAGCAGAGAAGATCATAGATGAACATGACTTAAATGCTTAAATGATCATTTTAGCCATCTCTTGCCGATATAATAATAATGTTACATGTTTGAAATATAAAGTCTCGTTTACAAATGCAATATTTTCTACCTTCCCACTTCTTCCCAACTAGTAATGATGCTAACGCAGAAGTAGAAGGCAGGTGAACCCATCATCAGTTGAGATTTTTATCAACACTTCGCAAAAGTCTCAAAGCGCGAAACTGCCTATACCAGAATGGGTTCCTTCAATATAGAGTTTATGGACGAACGACCACCGACGGTAATATTTCGAGGATTGAAGGCTTCCTCTCCTTACTTAGTAGAAGCTGGAATCAAGATTCACCTCAATTTATAGATTACGACAAACGACAAAAGTTATTGTAATAAAGATATTTCTGATTTTGAATTATGAGATACTACATAGCATTGGTTTAATATCTCAAAAGAAGTGTATATTTGCCTTCAACATGATCCGTCCCTGTGTCTCCGCTCTAACATAAGGTACTCGCATTTCTTTCAATTTGAAAGTTATTGAGACTTTGAGAAGCGTCAATGGTAGTTTGGCCGTTGTCCTAGTCCTACGTAGTCGAAAGGGAGGGTGTAGTAAAATTGAGCGCACCGTTAATACTAAGATCGCCGCCGTGAAAGTCAGATGTAAGAAAAGCCAGCGCAAGGTTGCATGAGCGGGAAGATCTTTCACCATCAACATGTCAGATTTCGAACCAGAATCTTCCATGTTCAAAGATTGCTTGTCAATACTACCGTACTAAGATGTGTTTCTGAGTTGAACATAGCTAGACCGCTATGCTGTTACTAGGTATCCAAGATCAGTTTCAAAGTATACAACGCACTGGAAATAGCAAACACCGATTTTTTTATTACAAGTGTGGGGATTGTGACTTGATACTTTTTATACATTGCTAGTGTTACTGCTCGGTATCTGCTGCTGCTGTTGAGTCATGGCAGCCTTCTTTTTAAGAAGTACATTCAGGCGATTTTTGATAGATTCAACAACTGCAAGTATAAAGAATTAGCACCCAGGTCTGACGACTGATTGACTCAAGATTCCTTTTTCCCTATGCACACTATCCATGTACTTACACTTGTTAATGATTCTACGATCATCTTCCTCCATAACCTGTTCTTCGTCCTCAAGAATAGCTTCGAGCATATAGATACCAATTTTATAATCTCGCTCACAACCAGCGATATTCTCTCCTACCAGCTCGTTGACAGCAGCGGCTCGACTCTGCAATTACCAGGTCAGTCAGAGACGGTCCAGATGTACAGTGTAAATAAAATGCTGGAACTTACCATCTCTAATGCACGATCATACAGTAGCTTTTCTACGCAAGCGTTGACTGCATTTTCATCTTCGCACTTGTTCTTGGCATAAGATGCTCGATCAAGGCATTCGTTGAATCGCTCACGCATCCATTGAACGGCTATAGGAAGAAAATTAAATCGCAAGGTTAAATATTGACTATTGAGTACGATAACAGTACACCCTCCACTTACCAGAATTCAATCGCACAGGTGCAACCCTCGGTTGCCCTTGTTGTGGCTCTGTCGCACTAACACGAGCCCAATAATCTTTAGCAATCTTCATACCAGATTCTAGGAGAGCCAGAGCCTTTATATACAAAACCATTGCTTCTTCGGCTAGCACGGGAACTTGCAATGGCTCGGGATGTGGAGAAGTATCGTTGTATTCTTGGATTTGTACAAATTTACTGTCGGCAAATTGGGCCACGGCGTGAGCTTTACAGGCAGCATCTTCAATCTGCTTGATAATTGCATCTTCTTCCGGATTACTACCGCCTGTGCCAAAGGCCACGCCACCGGTGGTAGGCTGATTCCAATTGGGTGGAGAATTGCCAGTACCAAACAGACGAACCGATGCCATGGAGAGAGCACGAGCCAGAGCCGATCCACCACTGCTGCCTGTGCTGCTGTTGCGTTCACGAGGGATGGCAAATGGAGGAGTCGTGCCAGTATACGAGCGAAGAGAGTTGGGCGGTGATGTGGAAAAGTGTTCATAGGCTCTAGGAAGACTGGATTGCTGGGGAGAAGGCGTCCTTTGGCTAATCGATGCCGGTCGCGCAAGAGGACTTGATGATAGTCGATGTACCTTGTTACGAGAAACCACACGTCCATTACGATCAGGTTCATCGAATGTACGAGGGGAAGCATCCAGTTCTGTTAGCGGAAAAGAAAAAGGTTAGCATGAGGAATAATAACCAAACGAATACATTACATCGCATTCATATCTTTTCAGTATTCCTCAAAAAGATATGGTTCAATCGTCCACCATGTTACCTACCATCAGCAAATTGGTTGTTCTCAATAGTCTTGCGATCCAGCACAACGTACTCATCAAGAACATCCGACTCAGCATTCCCATCTCGCCTAAGCCGTTGTTGACTAGTAGCATTAGGAGGGTAGCGTTCCTTGTTTTGTTGCAAATCATCAAAATTGGATTCAATACGTGGAGAATAGCTTTGTCGACGACTGCTTTGTCGAGACTGAGGATCGTTTTCACTATGAATGACATTGACGGGTTGACTGTGCATTCGGCCCTCTTGAGCTACTAATTTCAAACCAACATTGTCGTTGGACGCCCTGCGTCTCGCAGTTGTCAAGGTATCGACAACAGGAGCGCTATTGAGCTGTTGATAACGATCTTGTTCGACGTAATACGGTTTTGCATTTAGAGGAGTGGTTTGCACGGTAGCAAAAGGAGGAACTTCATCTTCTCGATGTGCGTTGCTGATTTGAAGAGGTGTGATGGTAGGTCGTTCCAAGGAGGAAGACTTTGGTCGTCGTTGGTCATTCAAGGCACTAGCAGCTTGAAGTGACAAAGATGATTGGGGTATACTGTCTCTTCCTTGGGTAATTGCAGGGTGCATAAAAAATTCTTCAAACGAGATACGCTCGACTGGGTTCTTTTTCAATAAATGCCGTATGAGGTCCTTCAACTCATCACTGATAATGGGTCCGGTAGGCGAAGATTCATGTTTTCCATCTCCCAAGGAACTTGGTCGGGAATGGGATGCCCGCTCGTCGGGGAACACTATCCGGTCATCGTTTTCTTCAATGATTTTCAAAAGCTCGACATGGTTGGATGCGCGAAAAGGTGGCCTTCCTGTAATCATTTCAAACACAACTGCTCCCACGCTCCATAAGTCAGCTTTGGCGTCATACTTTTTGTATGAGAGAATTTCTGGGCCCATATACAAGGGTGAACCACATAGAGTATCGGCAAGACTGCTTGAAGGTAAAATGCGAGCAAATCCAAAGTCAGCCACTTTCAAGCGGGGTAAATTTGAGAATCCGATAGCGTCTTCATTGTCTGGCGTGTCACTAACAGGAACCAATAGTAAGTTCTGATAAGCGGTGGGAAAGAAGATAGGTTAATGAGGTGGAAAGACAATGGCTTAGCCAAGTGTTGGCTGACTGGTGGTAAAAAAAATACCTGTGGTTTAATGTCTCTGTGGACGAGATTCTGTGAACGAAGAAACTCCAGCGCGGATGCTAAAAAAAAGGTACCAAACGTCCCATTAATTAGAGATCGTTGCATTATTTGTTGTTCAAGGACAAACATAACATACCCAATTGCTTCAGAAAATGGCGAACAACATCCTCGCTCAAGCCCCCTGCAGGACCACGCGATATGTGCTTGCTCTTTTTTCGTTTGATATACTGTGAGAGATCTCCCATTGAGCAGTACTCCATGATGAGATGTATATGGGTATCCGTTTTCTACAACGTGTTAAAATCATAATTTAATAATATAGAACATGGAGGAGTAGTGTCGGGCATATATATTTACCTGGATATCAATCAGGCCTACAATGTGATCATGCCTTATCGCTTTCAAGATTGATATCTCGGATTCCAAATTCTCAAATAACTTCCTGGTGAGTTTCTGCTTGAGGACGGATTTTATAGCAACGGGACGCCGATTTGTCTAGTGGAAGTTAGCAATAAGAGGATTAATATGGAGATTGAATGGGGCGCCGATGGAGTTCCAGGCTGAGGCACACGCAGAACTCCGGTCTGCCTACGAATACATACCTTGTGTACAGCCTTGAAGACGGTGGCAAATGAGCCTTGGCCAATCTTTGAGCTGACAACGTAGTCACCTACGACGGCAGAAGTTGGGTTTGTTGCTACGGCTGTGGTTGAATTAGGTTGTTTGTCACTAGTGTAATTGGTGGTCGGTATTGGCGAGTTTGCGTTAGCCATGATGTGTAAATATAAACAGTATTGAATGAGAGGTGCAGGTAATTAATAACAGTCAGGTATATAAGATGGAGGATAAAGTGAAGTTGCCGCAGCTACACTTTTGAAAGGAGGGGATTGCACTCAAGTGTCTTTCTTAGCAAACAGGACAAAACGGGAGTCACAAGACCACAGTTAAGCACGTGTCCACCAGCCAACCCGTCATGGGGATTCTAGCTTGCCCACCACCAAGCCCTCATCTGCCGGCCCACCCTTTCAACCTATGAACAACGTCGCTTGAACCGTGATTCAGTCTATTGGCTATATTAATAAGCTACCAATCCGTTTATTCAAGCTATCGCAAAGGCGTAAAGAGCAAGGCGATATGGATCGTGGTGTCATATGGCACTATGAAACGCACCCAATGGACCTATCCATGCGCTAAACCACTGGCTCAGCACAAGGAGAGAGATGATAATAATTGCGCGTTAGTAATATCGAAATTTTGACTTTGTAGTAAGCATAATAATAAATTTGCAGAGTATTTCGAGTGTCACTTTGTAATTTTATCCGTGTATGCTTGGCGCTTGCTTTAGCACCCTGCAACTATGGTTGTCGGTTCTATCAATCCCGTGTTTAGAGTAGTAGATGTCAATCTACAGTACGTTTTATGACCGCCATGCAGTTTTGATCGAGACATGCTTTCTATCATGTCGGGCCTCGAAGTCGCAAACTGGCGTCTACTTCCTGTATTTCATGCTCAATTAGATGACCATTGTTGTTATCGACGCTGTAGTTTGGCCAAGGTCGGTGCCTGATAGCCTTGCTTGACCGTACTTTTGGAGTTTCTCGCCGCAATGATATCATTTCTGTACGTAGCATAAGCTCGATCTTCTTATCATTCCGAGAACATGTGCGGCGTCTGGCTTTTACTTGCTGGACCCCTGATGCTGATCATACTTCTTTTTTGGATATGGTTACATTTAGTTGCGTTGGACTCAGTACTGGGCGAAATCCGTAATGCAGTCGTTCACATCTTAATTCCACACTACCATGGTGAATATCCGTCCTTCTTATCAAAGCCCTTATTTCTTCAAGTCATTAGGGCTACTTTCTTTTTACGAAACTGAAAGTCGCGGTACTTAAATACTACCCCTTTTCATACGAGGCTCTCTTGTGTCAATGGTCGTGTGCTGAAGATAGCCACATGCAACTAATGTTCTATTCCCTTGTTCAGTACTATTGCTGATAGAACTTTGAATATGGGTTAGTTATGAGGGTAGGTAACTATGCTGATGTGTTTGAGTGATTTGGAAACAAAAGAATGACAGATCGCCATTCTGAATTGCCAGCTCGTGCTACGGTCTTTCGCGGGTTTCAAAGCTTCACCAAATGCCAATGTCAAGTACATGAAAAATACTCCCTCCAGAGCATACGCCATATCTTCAATGCGTATTGTCTCTCGAACGCGCATTAGCCAGGATTTTCGTTGCATATCCTAATCAATGGTTCGGATGAAGATGCAGTGTACAAAGATCGTGGCGTCGCTTTTTGGCCTATCTCGTCAATGAGGAAAGCTTCACTTCCTTTGTAAATCCGTACAGAATAACAGCTGTTGCCCCTTCTTATAGAACACCAACCTCTCGTACACCGATCTTTGAATTCAGTATTGGAATCCAACACAACAGCGGCACAGTTAGCGTACCATTTGTACATAGATCGTATGACTTCGTCAAGTCCCGATAAATTTGATGTGTCGATGCAAATAGTATCCGTCCATACATACCGTATATATTTCCTTTGTAAGGTGTTTTTTGATAACGTATGTCAGTCAGTCATCAAAATAAAAGCGAGCGTTGATTCAGTCCCAGTGCAGTTCGCTCTAAGGGCTCAAGCATGATGACAAGCATAAAAGGGAAAGGGAACGTGTAAGGCGAAAATGTAATTTGATGCTGATATCATATGATATCTGCGGTCATCCAAGCAACAATGAAGCTGGAGTGTACCTGTAGCAACAAGACCTCCGATATCACTTTAAACAGAAAGTTGTTTCGGGGGCCAAATCACCACCATCTACTCGCTCTTTAAAAGCTGGGCTTGACCAAAGAGAAAGTAGCAACTAACCTTGCAACTATATTTTCCAATTTCGAGCTATTGTCCTCAAGAACCGCAGCAGACCTGTAACTGGCCCTGCATGAATGCGCGTCTCGAGAAGTGAATGAACGAGAGGAGTTCAAATTTTCTGCCCTCAGCTCTGAACGCTATGTTAAAACAGTCTCAGACATGAGGCAATATGCCCAGAGACATCGGTTTAAGTGGATGTCCTTTGCGACAAGAGGTAGCAGATGACCGGCAACCGCTTGCTAGAAAAGACTGGTCACGTGAAAACGTTTTTGGAAGAAAACTATGAAGAGAGAAGGTAATGCGGAGGCTGAAGGGTCGAGAAAATGGCGATTTTATTCGTAAAAGAGCTCATTGTCACGATAGTTTCTTGCCACAAAGGGTGAGTCGGTCTCCCGGTAGTGGCCTTTGGCGGCTCCCTATATTCCTTGGTTGAAGCTCAGACTCCGAGTCAGAATACTCGCCACACGGCGAGAATCGAACCCGGGACCGAACAACAGCCTCAGAATATGGAAGTCGCTAAGACCACTGGACCAGAAGACCATACTCAAAATATAGAGAAAATGACATGATCATGACCATCACTTTTACGAACAAAATCGCCATTTCCTCGACCCCTGGACACACCACAGACTCCATTTGACTCTCATATTATACCCCTCCCTTCTCTGCATAATTCAATAGTACTAGATATTTTCTACAGCTTCGAGGGGATGAGGAACCAGAGATATAGACAGCTCACAGCTTGAAAGAAAGTTGGTGTAACAGAGTGGCAGTGCGCACAGACCTTGTGTATCAAGAGTGTGGGGTAGGTCAGAGCTGTTTTCGAGCTAAGGAGCGTGTTTAGTAAGCTTTGAGGGCTTTTATTCGTTCAGAGCGGTCTATTTATGTGCTTTTAAGTGTTTAAACGTGCAACAGTAGCGTGTATGCACTCTAATAGTCATAGTTGTTGAGAACACTGACAGTACAGCTTGGACAAAGGAATCAGGGGTAAAGGGGAAGCTTGAAACACGGCTTGTTACTTTATTCAAGGCATAGCAAAGGGAAAGCATTTATATAGTTGTTGATCACCCTAGTACGCTTGAGTAGACACGTTTTTTTTAAGTAAGGTACAAGACCTTCTGTGATTCACTGATGTGCAAATGCAGATTGCCATTGACAGCTGAGATTGCGTCCTACTGGCGGGAGTTTATCGTAATGACTCATAAAATGAAATGCGATTCTGCAAAGTGGTCAGTGATAAACTTACTTCTAGAGATGCCCTTCTTCAGTAGCTTTGAGAAGTATGGTGTGTTGGCTTGTCCTTGTTGAAAACGATGCATCGTCTCATGTTGCAGTAGCAGACGTACTAAAGAGCACAAGACGCGATTTGACCATGGCTCAATTTAATTAGTAAAATTTGTATTGGCCTTTTACTTTCCGCATAAGCAGCATTGCTGGGCCAAGAGATAAGCTACCTGTAAGAACAGCTTTCCCACAGCTAAAGCGTTATTCAATTGACATCAATAAGCTCATTAAGTGACGTGGAATGTTGTTGTTACCGTCCGGATACTGCAGAAAACGCAATGTCAAGCTTATTCTCTGAGCGTTCACCTTTGGCAAATGGTCACTACAACACTGCTTAAGTTATTACCAAGACTTATAAACAATCATGTTTAGTGGAAAATGCACACTGACTTGCATGCAATAACATGCTGTCTGAGTATTTAACAATACACGTTGAGTTTAGTCAATCCATGTCCTCTATATGATAACCAGCTTCAATCGCACGAACAGTGAAGAGAATATTGTGGGCTATCAATTAATTTATCCACCGTATGCGTAAACTAGAGACTTCCTCTTCATCATATGTAATTTCATGCCCCTAAAGCTCATAATAGCAATCCTACATCGAAAGGGCGATCCTTCTACTAATAACTTCTATGAAGCAGCAGTCTCTTTGATATTTTCATCCAATAATTAAAGCAATTCAAGAGGTATAGGGAACAAGCACTAAAAATGCAATCTCTTCTGTATGGAGCGCAACAGTAACGCTATTTCTCTACATTTTGATGGGTACCCAAGCTTCATAACAATAATAGCTCCCCAATTTTATAATGTCCTCTGGCGTTTTCGACTGAAGAGATGAAACTGTTCCGAATATAGCTATGTTGTTTCTTATCATAGTAGCAGAGCTTCATTGGGTTTCCTTCGCCAGTCTGTAAATCTTGATCATGCCATTGTATTGAATTGAGAGATTTGATTTCGCGCACATTGGCAACCTCATGGAAAGCAATGCTTGATGCTCTGGGCTTTCCAAAACTGTGATTAGGTCTTCTCATTCTAAGGATCTACCTGTCACAAATATTACTTGCTGCCAAAGTGTCAATTTTCGTGTACCTTGCTTACGTTTGATACTTGGACAGTTTCGGCACAAACGGATACCAAAGGGACTGATCACTATAGGTGATAAAGCTGTTGTACAATCTATCATCGAATAGACGGTTTGACCCATAGGCAAAACTTTGACATTTTTGGTAAGTATCGAAGTAAGCATGGCTGCCATCCCTTGATGCTGTCCCGATCAAGTTAACAAGTTGTTCCCTTCTTGCAATAGCCTGATACCACGACCAAGAGGCGCTACTTATTACAGGTATGGAAGCTTCCTTTATTATGTTCAATTCTTTACAACAGGTAGCTACTCTATATCGTTTCGCCGCATATATCTGGATTATTTGCCTTGCTTTTCAAGGAAATCTTTGCGAATCTTCTTGGCAAATTCGACATTGGCGATTGCACGCTGTCGAGAATCCTCTGCACGTCGTGTAAGCCATTCATTACGCTTCTTCATGAACTCCTCCATTCTCTCTTCCTGTTTCTTGTGCATTTCTTGCTGTTGCTCATTGAGCTTGCTTACAGTGGGCTTGAACAACCCGTCGGTTGGCATGGTGGGCTTACGAGGAATACGTTGTTCGACTGGCAAGATCTTAAACTTGGGAGTGGGCAAGGTCTGGTACCAGTAGGCGGTGGAGGCCCAGTCCTCAGTGAGATGGTTGCCATGGCCATGTTCGAGGGTAACCTTAATTTTCTTGGAGAAGCGAACAGGGTCGGCCAAATGCCAGCGGTAGCTTACTTGGTATCCAGGAACGTCTTCTTCGTGAATAATAGTACCGGCGAATGCGAAAGCATTCTTCTGCATACCCCAACCTTGCGAGAAGTAATCCTCACCACCAGTACCATGGAGACTTGGTGGCCATACATCATCATCAATGAAGATCATATCGTCACCTTCACCCCACCAAGTTTCTTGGAAATGAGCGACAGAATGATTGCATCCAATGTAGTTACCAGCACCCTCCGTCTCAAGAATAACGTAGTTTTCTTTACCATCCAAGTTGGGTACTTGTGTTTCCAAACTGTTGACTTGAAGATCAGGTCCCCATCCCTCAGTGGTGTTCTCTCGGTGCCAGTAGGCGTGGAAGTAGAGAGTGTCCTTGGGAAGAGGCTCAGCGTAAAGCTCATAGTCGATGTAGTAGTACTGCATGTAAGCAACATCGTTTTGATTTTCAACCTCGATCCTAGCACGCTTGTTGAAAGGCATAGACAAGTAGCAGTTGAAGGCGGCACCACCACCATACTTGAGTCGTTCGGAATCCTTGACAGAGACGGTGAAAGGAAGAGAGTCAAAGTTGGCTGCCATGGAGTGACCGACACAGAAGAAGTCACCAAGGGGAGCAATAACACTAGGGGTTTCCTGGTCATCCCAGTACATGCGAATAATGACCTTGCGGTAGTAGTCAGGATCATTGACTTCCCAGTTCAAGCCAAGGGCATTGTGAACCTCCATCATGGCTACACCAGCTTTTGTTGGATCAATTAAACCGGGTCCACGAACACGTCGGCAGGTCTGGACGAACCACAAATGAGTGATGGCACCTGGTCCCTCCAAATCAGCTAGGACAGCAGTTTCACCAGGCATAACAACAAAGGCATCTTCGTTATGGCCAGATTGGTCCCAGCTGGAGATTCTAGCAGTTCTTGCGTTTGACTTTTGGGTAGCGTTGGTCAGGAGACTTTGTCCGAGCTTGGAGGCCATTTTGAACGATTCAAGTTAGGGATTGATTGAGATGTAGGTGAAAACAATGTCTGAAAGCTCCATACTTATAGCAAAGCAATTGACGCTCAGCTGAACTTTACAAAGCTTGAGAACAAACCTTTACAACATGATAGATTATTATCTCGGCAGATTCTCAAAGCATAATACGGAATGCTTTGGTACGGAACAGTACTATAAATCATTTAGGTAAGCGTTGTATAAGGAATGAGCTGAAGGTAAATGATGATGGCAGATTACCGTAGTGTGGCTGAAACGCCTCTCAAAATAAGCTGGTACCCCACAGTTGAACTGGTACCCGACAGCTCAGACTGGTACCCTGCATATGATCGTAACACCAGATCGTATGCATCCCAACCTTACTTGCGATGCATGGAATTTATGCCGATCGTTATGTGACATTGTTACAATCAAGGTGACCCGCAAACTACAGAACACTTTAGGATTTCTCCTCAAGTTTCATCCATGAATGTTTATTAGTAAAGACGTTTAGATTTTCTTGAAAATAAACTGGCACAGCAGGCGCAACATGGTTCATTTCCAGAAGGAATATTACTCTCCACCCACCTTTTTAGATTCATAACTTTGACTTGTCTTTCCAAAAACGTTCAAGTGTGTGAACTTTGTAACAAAGCCAAAATGCCACATATGGTCAGATGGAAGATGACAGACAACTCTACTGTATTCCGTTTATTCTCGCTCGTTTCGTGGAACGCTCGGCCGGATACAAAGGACCTAAACAAGTAAATAGATGCTGAGAAGTTTGTTGAAATATAGAATTTATTGGATACACTGTTATTCACAAGCTACTTTACTCAATTTACACTAAGTTTAGTTGTTCCATCTGCCAAATAGTCGTGCTTTCAAACACCGCACTTCCTAATTCACCAGCAGCCATCAAGCTGATACCCAAAGCATCCGCATCGTCAACGTAAACCGTGGTGGATAAAGCAAATCTGTCGTTGGCAAAGACTTCCACAACAAAATCGTCGCAGAAAATGGAAAGCTTAAGCTTCTCTTGCGATTTAACGCCGTTGTTGTCCATCTGGAAGAGTGTATGCGGCCCTTTTTCCTGGCACTTGCTGATAGCATCGTCATTGTTGGAGTACGCTCTGTTGACGGCAATTTCCTCCTCCAAGGGATCGAATAGAATGCTAGAGAAAACGCTTTTTTCCTTGTTCTGGCGGAAAACCACTCCAACGCTTTTACATCCTGCTTTCACCTCAATGATCGATTCCATCACCCATCTCTTAGAGCGCACGGAAGTCTCGTACAACGCAAAGTCAGCCGCTGGTAGCGCTAGATTGTCAACGTTATATATAGGTCTGCCACGAACAAGGTCGTACTCCCTTAGAGGTCGGATGCCAAGAGTGTGTAGGGTGTTGGTGCCATGTTCATTAGGAATAAGCTGGATTGTGGGTAGTTGGTCCAAAGGGGTTCGCAAAGTTCCAACGACATTAGGGATGGTGACCAAGAATAATTCTCGCAAGATTCCCATACAGCCATTGAAGCCGCGCGTCTCAAGATGACGGACTGGGATGTCTTCCTCCGGTACCCAGCCCCAAACAACCCGGCGATTGTGTACTGGATCATGAAATGAGTTGGCAGCATAGTAAACGCCATGATCAAGGATTCCGCCGTATTTGTACTGGAGTTGTACATTGTCACCGGTTTTAACCAGATCGCCCGACATCCAAAGTCCCCAGCGGGCTGTCCGTTCTTGAAGACCTTCCGGTAACACCATGTTCACCAAATGATCGCGCTGTGCACCGCCTTCAGCCCCCAAAATGAGAAACTCTTGGGATGTAGTACCGTCCTCCAAAGTCATAAAGTTCGTGACCTCCCAATTGACTCCAAAATCACCAGACCACTTCTTAGATGGCCTAAAGTTAAGTCCTAAACTAGTCACCAAAGGTCCGAGGTAGTTCCATCTGGACAAGTCGTTGGCATCGATCTCATAAATGTAAGAGTTTGGCTCAATACCTTTGCTGCCGCCTGAGATAATGCCATAAAGGGATTCTGTAGATACCCCACAAGCCTTATCAAACGCTGCCCATTTCTGTATGTAAGGGTCTCTCCAGCCGGTCATCTCTTTGATGGATTCTGGAGGGCCTTTCAGGATGGGGTTTTCAAAGCCTTTCGTCCAAGTTTTGCCTTGGTCAGTGGAGGTGGCATAGCTGAGTGACTCTTGTCCATAGTGATATGGGATGTTGAATTTCAAAGGTAGCTTGTTCACCGAGGTGTAAAAGGCTGTGAGCTGATTTTTCTCTTGATGCATCCCACTAGGTTGGAAGCAGCCAGTGAAAACGCCTTCTCGATCATATTCAGAGGTCGGTTCAAGCGCTGGTCGGTCGCCGCCCACTCTGTCCCAGTGAACGAGATCTTTGCTGACAGAATGGCCCCAGGACATATTTCCCCACTCGATTCCTTTAGGGTTCCCTAAACACAATGTTTCTTGTCAGTAAGGTGTGACTATGCGCAGCTCAGGAAGCAGATCTCTTTACATTGGTAAAAAATATGGTATAGCTTGGTCTCTGTGTCATAACCTGGGGCACATGGGTCGTTCATCCATCCATGAGGAGGTGTAAAATGGTACCATAGAGGCACACCTGTGGACTGACCAGTACGTTCATGGCTGTTGTTGAGATGTTGATCAGGGTTGTTGGCTTCCAAAGTCATAGGTATCGTTTCTCTATCAGTTACGCCATATGAATAACATATATTTATAAAATCGTCATTCGTGCTCAGCCTGTCAACGATCTCCAGTCGGAATATCTTGTAATCTTTCAGCGTCGCACCAATGCCTGGTACCCGGCAGATTCTGGGACACAAAGACGGAGCTGTGGTGGCCAATCCTTTTTTAGTACTTAGATACTCAACCAGATTACGGTTTCCGTCACAATGAAAATTCCCATAGTTGTTTGCACATATAATAAGTTGGTTTCCCCGCAAAAAAAAAATTTACATATAAAAAACCCCACAACTCACTTTTTTTTGACCTGGCACAAAGCTTTGATGGTTACTGCACACAAGAAATCCGGGGATATTGATTATTCCGTCGTTGATCCAAATAACAAATGGAAAATCCTAAGGCATCACTGGAGATATGCCTTATGGGCTCTTTGGACAGCCATGGGTTCCATGATGCAAGGCTTTGACTACACCGTGGGTGGTCAACTATTGGCCATGCCAGCTTTCAAGCAGCAATTTGGTACGCTGGTTGACGGAGATTACATCATCAGAGCATCTATCATCTCCGCATGGTCTGTGTTAGGTTTGGGCCTTGACCTTATTACTGCTATTATCATCACCCCTATCATCGACCGTTGGGGCCGCAAGCCTTTCATTGCCGTGGCTGCTCTCATCTCCACTGGTGCTGTTATCATTCAACAATTATCTACGGAATGGAGGCTCCAATTAGTTGGTCGTGGTCTCAACGGTGTTGCCATCGGTATCATGTTCACCATTTCTCCACTCTGGATTGGAGAGACCTGTCGACCGGAACTTCGAGGATTTTTCCTTTGCTGTTTCAATTCAAGTATCGTCCTGGGACAGTTTCTAATGGTTGTCATCAGTGAAGGCTCCAGTCACATCAACGGAAAATGGAGCTACCTTACGCCTTTTGTCACAGAATATTTCTTTCCGGCATTGTACCTGGCATTTTTTATTTGGTTTCCTGAATCCCCCTATTGGCTGGTCAAGATGGGAGATAACGAGAAGGCCTTGAGATCATTGCATAGAATGTACGGTATTGATGATGATGAATTCTATCAATTCGAGCTCAAACGTCTGCAGGCGGATGTGGTGTCTTCCGATGAAACCCAAGGATCCTCTTCAAAGAACGCCACTTCCATTTGGTCGCAAACAGCCATGCTTGAGTGCTTCAAGGGCAAGAACTTGAAGCGAACGATGACTTCTATTGTCGTCACTAGTACCCAACAACTTGTTGGTGCATCCTTCGTCACAGGCTATGTCACGTACTTCTTGCAACTCATCGGCATCAGCCAGTCCTTCCTGGTCTCGGTGGTCCTCTTTGTTTTCATGCTGATGTCCACACTTGCCTCATTCCCGCTTGTAGAAATTGTTGGAAGACGAACCATGATTGTCCCTGCTGTTTTTGTCTTGGCACTTATCAATTTGCTCATTGGAATAATGGGATGCATCAGCAACACTGTAGCTGCAGGATGGGCTATCCTTGTTCTCATTTTCCTTTGGGCCATCATCTACCAGTGCTCCATTGGGGCCGTTGGTTTCGTACTTGCATCCGAAATTGCTACGTTACATCTTCGTGCTGCCACTCAAGGTCTTGTCACCGTCAGCAACTGCGTTTGGGGTCTGGTTTTCCAGTTCACCGTCCCATACATGATTAATCCGGACGCCGGCAATCTTGGAGGCAAAACAGGATTTATCTTCTTCGGATGTGCTCTTCTTGCCAGTATCGCATGCTATTTCCTCGTTCCAGAAACAAAAGGAATGTCATTCGAGATGCTGGACGACCTGTATGCCAACAATGTCAAGCCCTGGAACTTTAAAAAGGTTGCGGCTGAAAAAAGTGCGCTACGCAACGATACCGAGAGCCAGAGCAGAGGTTCCTTATGTCGTGACACTGGCCTTGGAAAGGTGGAAGTGCAAGAGATTGAGATGAAGTCTCCAAGCGTCGATGAAAAACCATCGAACTAGTATAAGTAATAACCCTCAGTCAAGAAGTGGTTTACGTGGAGAAAACCAGTCCATGCCAGTGATTTTTTGACATTCCTTGCTACAAGGCAATGTGATGGCCATGTCAATTCTTGAAATAAATGATGTACATATAACTCAAGTGTAACCTCCCTCCGTGATGCATTTGGCATCTGCTTTTGATCCAGACAACTCGTAGACGTAGGTTTCATCAATCCACTCCGAACAGATATTTAGGCACAGAATTTCAAAAATCTATCATACTGGCGCTTTTGTGACTGATATTGTTTGCATTCACCAGCACCTGAGCGAGTGGTTTGACGAATCGATAAGACTTTTGCTGACCGGCGTATCTGTGCTTTGGTCGGTGCCAAGGAACAAGCGAAATTCCATCACCCCTGCCAAAGCAAAGAGTATCTGATCAAATATGCACGAACAAATCGGCCCGAAATGCCGATCGGTGACTTTGATACAGCGCGCACTTTCATCTTGAGGGAATTTAGATATCCAACTTCCGTGGCAGTCAGCGCTGATGCGATAGCTTTATGGCGCAGAATTATGGCGCAGAATGGTTCTCGAAAGTGAAAGCAAAAATCGCATACCACCAATTATTTTTGCACAACACAGTACTGACAAGAAAGCGCTATTATTACTAATGCCAAGTAAATGTCTCGTGCTGCTGGGTTATCACATAGAATTCTGTACATGCCCTGGGCCAACGTCAAACAAACCGTCTGTCAATTTGAGGGGTGCGTCCCCCTTTGAAATGGCGTAAAAATGATTCAATTTTGCTAATACTGTAAGAGCGAAACGGTCCTGTCATGCCGATCACCGGACTGGCAAAAGGTACAGTATGTTATTAGAAAGTGACGGAGACCAGCCACGCAATAGAAGCAGCCGATCGGTCAGGAAAAGTCAGTTGAGACGCAGGGCAATAAGTGAACTATTTGCCATAGCTGTCGCTGTTGAAACATGAAGTGTTGAACTGGATTCTCTTACACATGGTTCATAAAGTCATCGGTGCATCTTGCTGCTGTTGCGTAGCCACCATGTTCGCTCACCGTCGATCGGTGAAACACGTTTTTAAAAAGTCTATTTCTCTGGCGATGGGTCGGTGATCGGTTTGTGTAAGCTCATCGGCTCTAGAATATATTGGATTTAGGTATGCGTACTGGCAGCCATTACTCCGATATGGTGTTGGTTATAGCTGGACTTAAAAGGCTCATTTATGCAAAGTAAGCATTATGGAAAAAGTTATTATTACTTTGAATGGTGGCTAGTCAATGTTTCATTTTCATTACGTGTATCACAGCAACCATTGTGGGTTTCTTTGCACAGAAATGCGTTGCAGTGATCCAGACCCTTACCAAGATTGACTGGGTTTGTTATAATTGACTTTTTGGTATCAGTTCGCTGTTTCCAGAACAATCCTCGCATGCTTGAACTACACAATGCTGTACAGGAGTCTTAAATTATCAGTTGATTCGAATGCAGTTCGCAAGGAAATAGAAACATGGGATGGTAACAAGGGTGCCTGATGGACATAGGGCACGGCTTAATGGGCAGCCTCACTGCGCCTTTCATCGGCATCTCTTAGTTGAGGGCAACGTGTACCACAAGGGACGGAAAATAGGCTTATGTGGACATAGAATTGCAAGAAGGGCGGCGGCTGTTCCGCGCACAGATGATGAAGCTATGGCTGTGAAAGACTTGGCAGTGGACGAAAATACCTGGCAATCCCTCCTTTGACTCCGCTATAAAAATCTCGTTAGTTGCAACCCCGGAACTACCCAGCAAGTCAGCCCAGCTTGATACATAAAAAGCCCTCTGCATTAAATACCCAACCTCTTTTCCACAGTTCCATCTTCTACTTCTCTTCTTCAAAAGCCAATGCGTTGGCTATCAAAGGCTATCCCTGCCTTGTCGCTTTTGGCTCTACAGGCATTAGCCCAGGACAGCACCACTACATCCAATCCAACATCTACGACCACAGTCAACCAAGCCTACACTACACTACTATCGGACTCATTGCTGTTCTATGAAGCACAGCGAAGTGGTCAGTTACCTGCTAATAACCGAGTGCCATGGTAAGTCCCTTCTATTTCCAATGAAAGGGACATAAAAAAAAAGTGTGGTAGGAGGCGATGCAGTGGAAATTGAGGGGGCACACAAATAGTAACTGGCTGATAACCCCGGTTCTGACAAAAATAAAAAAAAATCCTATTCTTACTTACCAGGCGCCACGACTCAGCCCTTCAAGATGGATCCGACAACAATGTCAACTTGACGGGAGGATACTATGATGCAGGGTAATGTAGACTGTGAATGAATACGTACGTATAACCGCACTAACCAACCTGGTTTTGCACGTGTAGTGATTACCTCAAATTCACCTTGCCAATGGCATACTCCATGTCCATTGTGAACTGGGGTGCTATAGAATATTTCCAAGGCTATCAATCGGCCAACCAAGACGGCTACCTGCGAGATATGGTCAAATGGGGAAGCGACTGGTTAATTCAAGCTCACCCTCAGCCCAATGTATTTTATGTCCAGGTGAGTGCGAGCAAAAAATTAAGCATCCATTGTTTGAAAATAAATTTGCTTACTCGTCTGACGTGACAGGTCGGCAATGGTGATGTGGATAACAATTACTGGGGCCCTGATACCAATATTCCAACACCTCGCCCTTCGTATATGGTCAACAGCACAGCTCCTGGAACCGACGTTGCAGCATTAGGAGCCGCGGCCTTTGCATCGGCTTCGTATCTTTTTAGAAACAGGTTCAACGACAGTGTGTATGCTGATACGTTGATGCAACACGGAATTTCATTGTTCGAATTCGCTGAAACGGCTCAACCTCAGCAACCTTACACCAAGTCTATTCCCGCCATTGCGGAATTTTACCAGACCAATACAGTTCAGAACCAGCTGGTGTGGGGAGCGCTCTGGCTTTATCGGGCCACGGGCAATCAGACGTATTTGACCAAGGCCAGCAATTACTTTGACCAATTCAAGCTTGGAAGTGTGGATATCACCCCCATGGATTGGAGCGATCAGTCGGGAGGCGTGTTTGTGCTTGGCAGTATGTTGGATACCACGACGGATAAATACAAGGTGGCGGCAGAAAGGTACCTGGATGCACTGACGCAAGGTCAATCCCCTTGCAGCTTTACAGGAGGTGGCTTATTATGGTGTGGGCAATCCAGCGCTTCCAATTCGCTGATTCCCGCGCAAGATACGGCTCTGCTTGCTTTATTGTATAGCCCAATCAACAGTGACAAAGGAAGCGGCTATGTCAAGTTTGCTCTAGGACAAATTAACTACATGCTTGGCAATAACCCTATGTAAGTGATTCATTTCCTATTTGGGTATTGAATACCGTGGTTGCGGATTTGGTACCTAACACTATCGACACCTAGGTTGACACCGTATGTTGTGGGTGTTCATATGAACTCACCTGCCAATCCTCATCACGCTGGTGCGTCGGGCGGTACCGATATTGGCAACATCAACACTTCCCCTCCCACTGAAGAATATGTCTTGTATGGAGCTGTGGTGGGTGGCCCGGGTCAAGACGACTTGTTTTATGATGTTCGTGACGATTGGCAGCAGTCGGAGGTGGCGCTAGACTATAACGCTCCCTTCCAAGGTCTAGTGGCGTACCAGCTTGTCACCAACGCCTCCGACCCACCGTATACCACCATCACCCAGCCCAGACCCGCCATCAAGAAACCATTCCCCAAGTGGGCCATTGCCGTCATTGTCATCATCCTCTTGCTCATCTTGGTTGCACTCGGTTTATTGTGGTGGAAGCGACGAAGAATCGCTGAATGGCGCCACCGTAGAAACCAAAAGCAAAATTGGTGAACGTCTCTCTCGTGTAACATGGGTAAAGGCACGCAGTTTTGTTATTCTGTACAACCCGTCTTTTTCTTTTGCAATGGACATTTTATTATACCAGCTTTCTTACAGCTAAAAATAAAAACACACGCCTACATAGAAACAAGGTTATTCCCATCCCGCTGTTTGCAGATTTATAGATTGTTTTATTTTCTCTGTGAGGAAAAACATTGTATGGCGATAACGATCGAACTAGTAAAGCAAACTGGGCACGCATACAGACGTGCATCAGGCTATGTACAAACAGTAAGGAAAGGAAAGAAAAAAAGATATACCAGACAGAAAGAGATAAGGAAAAAAGAAGAAGCGTCTATATTTTGTGATGTTTTTGGGTGGCCAGGTTTGGGGGGTTTTTTTGTAACGGTGTCTTTGATGATTGCTTGTATATTCAGAAACCGGAGGGGTCGGTAGGGTTGTGTCCGTTCAAAGAACCAAGAATGTGGAGCCTTCTAGGCTCTGAATTTTTTAAATTTTTTTTTTTTACTATTTACCACCCGTTGCTGCCATGGTTATTACCAACCCATTGCTGTTGCTGAGGATGATGGTTTTCATTCACAACGTTTTGAAGGGACGGCAAGCCCCATGACTTTTGGTCGTCGAGACGACCGGGGCTAGAACCAGGTGTTCCGTAGACTTGCTGTGAGGGGGGTTGTTGAGCATTTAAATAAGCAGGCTTGCCAGTGGGTGGAGGAGGAGATCTAGATTGCTTCTTTTCAGTAGGTTTATCTTCATCGCTGTGATCCAGCACGGCGCTGCAGAGCTGAGAAAGAATGTTCAACTTGTTTCCATCCTCATCCTCATCCTCGTTGGTTTCAGACCGAGGAGTAGATTGCTGGTGCTGTTGATGATGATGTTGCTGCTGCTGCTGCTGAGGGGGTCTCTGATGCTGCTGCTGCTGATGATGGTGCTGTTGTTGTTGCACATTAGGGGAAGGTGAGTGGGACATAGAGCGGGCTAGCACATCACCAGGCTGCGACGGTACCACCATTTGATAAGGCAATGAGTGGTGGTACATGGGATGTTGTCCAGGCATCATGTAGGAAACGTTGCTAGATTGCTGCTGTTGGCCCAACATGGACTGGTCCTTGGCGTAACCATAATTCTGTTGATAGGCAAAAGCATCGTATTGATTATGCTGGCCATAGGGAGGAGGAGCGCTACCATAAGCAGAGAATGGAAGAGGGGAACGCAAGGCAGGCGATCCTGAAGGAGTATCATAAAGAGAAGAAGGCTGAGGGCTGCTGTTATTGCTATCGCCCACTGAACCAGAAGCAGAGCCTTGCTCTCCCTTGACTCTTCGCTTGTAAGGGCCACGCTTAACGCCCTTCTTTCTTTCCTTGCGGACAGAATTGACGCAGGTATCGGTCAAACCAAACTTGATACAGCGTTGGCAAGGTCTGCCGTCATCGCATTTTTTGCAGGCCTTTTGGCAATTCACTGAAAAAAAAAAAAGGGGCAATTTAAGTAAGTAAAGGGATGATCGGAAAGTGAGTTGGGCGGGGGCGGGGTATGGTTCCGGTCCCGCCATTTCTACAAGATTCCAACAAACACATACCACAGGCATTCTTGACTTGCTTGCGTTTCTGACCGGGTAACTTGCCATTGACCGGGGGAAGAGTGGCAGACTGTTGTTGGCCAAGAGGGTCATGAAGGTGGGGTGGAGCTTGCTGATGATCAAACTGGTGAGACGACATCATGGGGATGGGCGGCATCATCGAAGGCGGAGGTTGGTCATGTTGCTGAGACGGAGGTTGCTGACCATAAGGATACCCAGAATAGTATTGGTGTTGAAGCGACTGCATTCTTCAGGACAGAAGGAACGGTGAGGAGGATAAAGGAAAGAAGGAAGGAATCCAAAAAAAAAAAAAAAGTGACGGCAGAGGGAAACCAAAAAAAATCTTTTTTATTTTCTTTTACCCAACCAATTCTGTTCTAAACGTTCACTATCCAATCAATTTAGATCTTCTGTTGCAACATAGATGGTTTTTTTTTTTATTATTCTTTTCAAAAGCTGAATTATCAAAAGGCATGGCTGTAAACGTGGCTTTCAATGTCCACTTGGTGGGGGGGGACACACAATCTAAATGTAATTTGGAAAGATTTTTCTGTCTAGGCACTTAAACTTGACCAATTAATGATGCCTCACATTAATTGAAGCAGTAAAATCATTTGACTTGGCTCAAACATCGTTTCAGAAAATCCAATCTTCTTTTTTTTCTCCTATAAAGAGGCCCCGAGCCGGATGATGAATTCTTTGGTCATTTAAGTCCGCTTACTCGGAGGGACCGAAGGAAATAGCCAGGGCAGCTTGACTCTCTTAATGAAACGTATGCTCATGGATGATCATTACCATGTTGGCCATAGCCTCCGTGTGGCCACGTTATGAAAAGGTGATAAATGCACGATGAATAGTGCTTACGTGAGATGAATCAATCTAAAAATACAATAGGGCAAGCTGGTGTGTGACGCGTTCATTCTTGGAGTCAACCTCCATGTTGAAGTAGGTAAGGGAGGTGAAGAAGTGGTAAAGAAGTGACCAGTATTTTTGAATACAGATGCATGGATTTTCAGCGGGAAAACGCTGTATCATTGAAAGCCCCCTAGGAAATTACAAATTGTACTCGATGGCGGGACAACACGAAGGGACGCGCCAATATCAATTCTTTTATCGGGGAAATCGCTGCTATAATTTTTTTAGTGTTTCGAATTGCGCCTTGGCAAAAAAGCTTACTACTTCCATGCATCAGGCTCTGGCCACCCCATGACTTTGCCTTATATCACGATGGGAATACAAGATCTATGGCTCAGGCAGTGAAGGTCAGGTGGGGAGCCGAATATTGGCTTGGATGATATAAATAAATAAATGTAAGTGTGAGGTGTATTTCGTCTTGTAGTTATAGCCGGTAAGAAAATGGGATAAAATATAGGTATCCAGCAGAGCAACAAAAAAAGTAACAAATAATAGTGATAAGGTGTACACTGTCAGGGACGGGGGGTATATACAATTGTAATTGTAGTAGTACATGTATGGCTGAGAAGTTGGGGTTTGGCTGGTTAGAAGAAAAAAGTTATAACGGAAATGTGGAATCTTCAACACCATACAACATTATATATGTAGGAGATGTGTATGTTATGTATCTTGTGGAAAGGAGGCCACTCATTTCTATCCCTTTTTTTCAATCAAATCCGGTCTACCAACCATCAGGTTGAGCCGTAATGCGACCTTCCCATGACTGAGCTTGTTCATCATGATCCATCCATGCATCGGGTTGCAGGACCCTGCTTAGTCTGTATTTGATGCCAAGATAGCTCAAGTAGTTTGCTCTTGGAAACACTCGAACCCGCTTAACCGATGGAAAGTGGGAATCCTCAATGTCCACAAACGTTCCTCCCAGACTCAGAGTCTGCTCTAGTCGGCCTTGGTTTTGAAAGTCAAAAGGAGCCCACTTCTCTTGTAAAAACACGAGCCACGTGAAGTAAGATCCGTTGTTAGTGGATGATGTAGCGTTGGTCGAACTAGCAGCTGAAGCAGCCGCGTTGGCGGCGGCAGTTGCAGGATCCTCCAGACGATGTAAGCCTCCTGAAGCACTGGGTTGAAGTGCTGTATCTCTGCTGCGCCGTGGTGGGCTGGCATTGAAACTTCGATTATTATAATGATAAGGCGATACGATGGAGGAGTAGGTGTCTGGGTTCATTTCAGGTTGGCGGGATGGATACAGATACATGTTGGTAAAAGACAAGAACAGCGAAAAAAGGAATGCAAATGAGAAAACGTTCGGTTGGAGAGAAAGAGAAAGAGAAAGAGGTTTTTAAGGAAACCAAAAGGAAAGAAGAGCGGGGAGAGTGGGGGTGATGATCACAAAACTTTATGCTGCCTAAATTCTTTGATAAACCATGGGATCCTCTACTACCTTTCTCTCCCAATTTTTACACAGCCGATCTCATCATTGGAGGACCTCTCATGACAAAACAGCGGTAAGTAACCACGATGGACGTGAGTGCCTCTCATGACGAAAATAGGATGAAATGACGCATATCTAGTAATTCCGTATTCCATCTGTAAAACCGCGCGTGCCAAAAAAATCCCATTTTCACTCCATGCTTTCCTACTGCCCTGTTCCAATCACTTGAAGGCATTGCAATGCATTTTAAAAAAGCAATGCTTGAAATCAGTCTGCATCTTACAAACACTGTGGGCTTAATAAAGCAATCGAGGTAACCACATTTGTGTTTGGTGCCTTGGCCCCGAGACCACTACCTTTTGTAGAACTGGAGAGATCCAACGTAAGCATGTGGATAACAAAGCGGTTCTTATTTGTGAGCATTTTGGATCTGCAGAGGTTGGGACCCCATTGCTTCGCCCTACTGACGTGACTTTCAGTGCCCTTGTCCACGGCTGGTTTAGACAGTGTCAAGACCCCGCCGCATGGAATAAAAAATCCAAATACGCAGTATAATAGCCGCTCAGCATCTCGTTCAGCTGCGAAATACCGTGATCATGTAACATGGGTCAATTCACGTTTTGCGAAGCTAAATACGGGAAATGAAAATGGGATTTTCAGCTTATGGTCCATGCCAGTAAGGTCAGGCATCCTTATTTTTGTCGACCAGGGCATTTTATTTGAAAATTATCTGTCCATTTTTCCGCGCATCCTGTGGTACGGACCTGTCGTTCCGGGCAAACCGACCGTAGTCATTCGTCTGCCCACCACCCCTCGCACTATAGCGCTCTACCTGTTCACAGCACATGAAAATACAAATACCTCTGGAACCGGCCTTTTGAGGTAAACCACAACGAGAATATGCAATGCAGTATAAAAAAAAAATTACCTTTCTCAAAACAGTCGCCTCCACCTCTTATTCTTCTAGAGTGCTACGCGTACCCACTCGCATTCGCTGAAGAAGGGCGCGTTGCATTGCAAGGAAGTTACAATATACCCCTTTTTGAGCCTGCTACCAGCAAGGCACTTGACGTCAAGCCCCCACCGTAATTTTTTCATTTGGGTTTATTTATTTACTTACTTGCCGAAATGAAACGATATAATATAAATAACATTAAGGCCACAGCTCAGGTCAGGAACATACATCGTCCATGCAGGCAGCGAAAAGCAAATAAGCAGTGCATGGGTGGTTGCATCCGTATGCACCCCATAGGTTTTTGAGTTGAATGCAGGTCCATCCGGCAAAGACGTCACGACGACGAGAGATGGTCCGTGTACCATGTTTATTTCTCTATTTTAGTGCCATAGGGCAGCAGATCTGGGTTTCAGTGTAGCATTGACAATCCATGGATGAAGACGATCATCACAGTTGGGGAAAGGATAGGATAGGTTAGCTATGTGGAGGAGTGACGAGTCGATGTAGAGGGAAGAAAAGCAAGTCAGTTGGGTAAGCCTCAACTGACACAAACATATCTTTTTTTTTTCTCACAGTCTATGGATTATTTCTAATGATATGTCCTGATGAGCGATCTCTTACAATTTGGTTGCCTCACCTTAATATGGCTAAAACAGCAATTTTTTGGGTTGCATGCTGAAGCGTAATCAATTTCTTTCAAATGAAGTGTGCCTTTTCCTGTGCCAATGATAAAGGGAATACCTTGCTCGCCACAAGCCGCTCATCGACTCTGCCTGGTGGAAAATCATGACAAGGACGATCGCTCACAGCCACTCTAATAACGTGAGCTGGTTTTCCCAGACCCACAAGCTCCTGTGTCAGGCCGCACAATGATTTAACTCACTTCGTAACACACTCAATTCCTCATGGCGACGCATGGGCGGGCGCGCACAATCAGGATTCGTCAGTGACGAAAGTCTCATGAAATCAAGTGAGATAAGATGCATCATGACCATGTTGTTTATTGCGGAAATCAGATAGCTATTTCTACGAAAACCCTTTTAAAATAGAATGTTCGTATCATTAGATGCTGAAATACAAATATTTTTTCAGGCTGGGCTTTTTCATGCGTGAGTAAGCCAGCTGAGCAGAGCTGTCGATGGGCGATCTCTGCGGAAAATGAACCAGCTGACATGGTGGCAAGCGGAGGGTCGTAAGCGAGAACGCTTAGTCCCATTCCCAGTGGATGTTGACGCGGCCTTGAGCGAGGTTGGCAATCTTGACAAAGGCGGCAGGGCTCAAGTCAAGGGAGCCAGAAAGGCAGGGAGGGCATGTATCAACGATTTTGACACGAACGGTACCCTTTGGTCCAGTCACCTTTGCGTATTTACCACAGTTGGGGTTGTTGTTGGGGTTAGGGTAGCTACCCATTTGAGGAGCATTCTGGAAGCGAAGGTAATATAATGAAATCAGAGCATGGACTTAATTGCTGTGAAACAAGAGCCATAAACTTACGAGGGCGGCAATCATATCAGTGTCTTTGTTGTCGTGGCCACAGGACCCAAGACCGGGAGCATAGTAAGTTCCATCACCACTGTAGGTCTTGCTGCTGCTGGATGAGCTTGAGGATTTCTTAGTGGTGGTGGCAGCCTGAAATAAGGGGGCGAAAAAGGTTAAATAAAATATTATGGCGACTTGGGAAATTTTTGGATGGAGAATTTGGTGATATCTGTCATCATACCTTCTTAGTGCTTTTCTTGGTGGATTTCTTGGTGGATTTCTTGGTGGATTTTTTGGTGGATTTTTTGGTGGTTTTTTGGCTGGAGGATTTGCTAACACAGTAGGTGGTGCCAATGTGTAAGTTATTGCAAGAAGGGTTGTTGATGTTGCTATTCCAGCTGTACAAGTTGCTGAGAGAAATGTGATATTTGCTGGCAATAGATGAACAAGTATCTCCAGATTTAGCTATCAATATAAAAAGGTTTAGTCATCTACGCAACGGAAGGGGGTGCTCATTCAGATCGATATAGTTACCCTTGTAAGTCTTTGAGCAGCTTGCTCGCTTTTCGTACAGGGCACGACGAGGGAGTTCGACAACAGACTCAGGGGAAGCAAGTGCAACGGAGAAGGATGCGCACAGCGCAGCTATAACGAATTGGAATGATTTCATGGCTTATGTATCAACGACCAGCGAAGAACAGGATTGAAATAAAGGACAGGAAAGGGATGAAGAGATGGTCAAAAGGCGGGAGGATTAGAAAGATTTTTCTGTTGTAAATGAGATGAGCCGGGCCCTCTTCATGTGGACTCCGACTGATCTGTCGTAAATTGAAAGGAAGCATCTTTACATTCCGTGCTGCATATTTGATATGATCTTCTACTATCGCTTCTACTTTCAGCTACTGCCAACATCTTCCACGTGAAACAGGGGGTGTGCATCTGATAGTCTATTCGTCAGCGTATTCATTTTCTATTAAAAGCTATTGATTCTTAATGTTGCTGGGCATCTGAAATTAAAAACCTTTACTCCTCTAACAGCACTGTGTCACCATAATATTATGGGACAAACCTTTTCTATTACAAGAGGCTTGGCTGGCTTTCCTACAGTTCCCTCAACCTCTAAACAAGCAAAGGGTCCATTTCATTTCAACTGGTTACACATAAGCGATTCATCCATTCGACCCCTGGCAAAAACAGGGGTCATAGAAGTAAGGCGCGACGAACAGTTTTAGTTGAGAGTATTGGACGGTGAGGGTTTGGCAGCAGAAAAGGCGTCACTCTACATTTGGTACCTTAATTAAACGGTCTATTTTTGTTTTGCCTGTCTATCTTTGCATTGCATTTTTCTTGTATTGATTTGACTGGCTTTCGAAGGTTCAGATTCGCAGTGATACGCTAGCTAAGCCGTAAAACATATCTATATCCGATCGGAAGGCGGTTCCTTGAGGTCGGTACACCCAAAAAGTGGATAAAGAACGAGGTCTAGCTGGAAAGGCCAAGACTTCGATCAAATTCGCCTGAGGCGTATCTAGATTACTTGCGATAAACATCCATTTATCTCTGGCCATTACTAGTAAAATCGCCAAGAGATTTGAAAAGGCTTTGCCTGCTCAAGCGAGATCAACAAACCATACACTTGGGATATTCAGCCGCCCCTCGCCTCCACGATCAGCATTCAATCCTGTGGTTTGTTATGCTGTTCCATTACTTTATTCAGTTGTGGGGACAGGTATCAGAGATAATGTTACATGTATATTCAAATCACCCACTGATCGCTCTCTTTCTCTTTCTTTTCACTCCTCTTCGATCTCTAGATTGCATGTACAAGGGGAACAGGATTGGAAGCTGTAGAATCCTGAGGTGGTAAATTATGTAACTGTCGTCCAACCAGATACGTATCGTCTCGCACCGATTGAACCCAGGCGCTGGCCGCCTTAAAGCACAACGACGTTCCACGATATACAAATACGATCAAACACGCAGTAGGATAGGCGAGACGTACGATCAGGTTTTGGATCGTAGCATTGTCAGGGGCTAACAGAAAAAAACAGGTTTAGCCCATCATCATCATTATCTCATATACAAGCAGAATGTCAAACTCACCAAGCACTTGTATAACCGCCCAAGCAACCAACGCCGGAATGATAATAGCGGCAAGCCCACCGATAATGACGGGGGCAAGGAACAGGTTCGTGGCTTGTCGAGCTTCAACTTCTAAAATACCGTTCGCAAACAGGTTGCGAAGTACTCTGCGCCAGTAATTTTCTGGTAGCCATGACAGGAAACCATATGTCAAGTTCATGTACACAACTCCAACCGACCAATCCTAGGTAACCGTGAAAAGATGTTAGTATGTTGGATTGGAAATGACTTTTCTGTTGATAAATAAAAATCAGATTACCTGTAAAAGGTTGGTGGCAATATCTTGTCTTGAAGACTTTCGGGTGGGAAGTATAAAGTAGAGTTCAACGAACAATCCTACCAACATGGGCATCACCAGTCCAAATGCAAGCAAAATATAAGTAGTGTTTGCAACACGCATGCATGCATGCTTCAACTTTTCAAAGGCTCTGAACCAAGACATGTTCCATCTATCCGCTTGCAAAGCTACGATATTGCGAACCACATAGTCTGCAGCAAATGCTAAGGCCAGTAAAACGTGAAGACCAAGGAGGAACGAGTACAGGTCGTGTACAGAGTGATCCTTTGCAACATAGAATGTGAAGAGGTAACGGCCCATGATCACTAGCGGAAACAAAAGCAAGGGTCAGAACATCATTCGCAAGTTGGATCACGAGCACTTGATGGACTACGCACAATCAAATAAAAATAAAAACGCCAACTTACATGGAACAATAGTAGTGCAACAGGCTAGGATGGCTCCAGACAACCACATCAAGTAAAGGAAGAAGAAGATACGAGCACGGAATCTGGGAGGAATATACACCACCGTCGTGTTCAGCTCTTCTCCACCCAACGCAGTAGACGCTGGATGACCCATTTGACGTTCGACTTCATCAATAGGCTCATAAGTTTCAGGGTCGATGGGAACCAACATCCGTCTTCCACGAATCACAGGGACACCATCGTGCTTCGGAGCTCGTATCAATTGACCATCTTTGACGAATTCAACCTCACCGTCGGCAGAGATTCCATCTATCGAAAGATCGCCATGCGTGAGGTCAGGAATAGGAGCCCTGCGTCTCAAGAGGAATGCTTTCCAGGTTTTGCGAACATGTCTGCCTTCTTGCTCTGCATAACGACCATTAAACATGAACGAAGAAAGTCTTAATTGCCTTGAAACCGCTTTCCACCAGTTTTGCAGCAAGACTTTAAATCTGGCCTTCACTTTCAGCCGGCTCATGGTGGTCGGAATAACGACATGAGTGGCGATCAGGTCCACTGGATAAGAGAAGGTAGAATGCCTGAAAGCGAAATGACAAAATTTAAAAAATCTTTTGGAATTTAGCCATTGGTAACATATTAGTTTCAGAACTTACTGCATTGACAACCTGAGTGGTAAAATGGAGCCTCCAAAGTGTGAAATAGAGAACACAACGCTTCCAATACCAAACACAATCAATCCACCGTACAACAACGCACTGATACCAATTTTACGCAATTGGAACATCACGGGACGCTCCAATATTTCCTTGATGGGATGGAACTGGGGATCGTTGGGGTTTCGAATGAACCACATCACACCGGGTCGGACGACATCCCGACATAAAGTTACAAAGACAGCAAAGTGGAACATGAAGATAGTGCCAAGGAGCCAATGGAGAAAGGTCCAAATCCCAGGATTGGCCCGCCAGTAGTTGATGCGGCTGATCACCGTCGACTCGGGAAAGAGGGGCAGGGTAGACAGGTCTAGTAGAATTCCACAGACAAGGGGAAAGAGCATCAATTCAATGCCAATGAAGAAGGTGACTTTGAGAATTGCACCTTGTTGGCGAATAGCTTGCTGCAAAGCCCTTCCAACCGTTCGCCCATAAGCATTTCGAGATCTTGCTAAATACCATGACCCAATAGTAACCAAGACACCATAGCCGACAAGGATGCAAACCATGCGGTCTGAGCTATGATCCCCTAGAGCAAAACGGTACCAGTGTGTACGCATAGTGCTCAGTAATTGAACATAGTCGGTATCGACCATCATTTGCCACCATGTGCCATCCATAGTTTGATTTTGAGTTAGTGTATGTGCTACTTCTTTCCCAAAAGAGTTATCGCCTGTGATACTCCAGACCTGGTAACCCGCATTACTGTTTTTGACGCTAGATACCAGATGATTGAACCCATCCAAAATGTTCGATGCTGCAGGTGATGCTTGGAAGGCATCACGTATGCGGTAGGCATATGGCTCTGCTGCCTTTGTCGCTAACGGAAGTATGCCATCGAGAACAAGGTCAACAAGGGGGTCAATAATCAGTCGCAGAGTGTGAATGGGCGCTGTCACAAAGACGGTAGGAAACATCTGAAAATTTCCATACAATAAAAATGAACAAAAACATCATCTTAAATGACTTGCTCCCATTGTAGTCATCGTACTTACCAGAATAAACGCTTTGCCGACAATATAGGGGGTCCACACTGCTGACCCAAGGCATCCAGCAATCAACAAAACCATCAAAGCAGCGTGCTGACCAAGTGGCATGATATTGCCTCTTAATCCAATGGCCTCCAGGACGCCATCCAGATCATCGACTGCGTTTTCGAATTCAAAGTCCTCTTCATTGTTTCTTTGTTGCTGGTTGGCTTGGAGCTGATGAGCAAGTAAGGCTTGTCGAGCTGCATTTCCTTCGAACTGCGGTGGTGGGTGAACGTTGTTTGCAGCGGGCTGCCTAGGTTGAGCTCTTGCATGATCGAGTGCATGCCATTGTATATCGATAGCATTAGGCGCTTGGTTGTTCTCCTCATCGGTAGGTAGCAAGGCGGTAGATCCTTCGCCACCATTTAATTCCTGGTCGTGTATGGAGCTAGGTTGAGTTATTGTAGCCGTTTCTTCTTCTTGATCAGAGTCGCGTTCAGAGTCCGAGTCAGATTCAGAATCAGATGATGAAGAGGTAGCCTCGTTCAAAACGTTAGCTGCGAAACGGTTTGGTTCGGCTCTTGGTAGTTCATGTACTTCCAATACATCATTCACAGGAAGATCCGCCGGTGTATTTTGCATGATCCATTCTCGTAAAAGAAACATGGCAAAAAATGCCAAGATGACTACCAGCATAATCAATTGTCCTTCCATACAATCCGATAAGAATGTTCTGCAAAAATCACCAATATAAATGATTGATGCCAATAAAATCCTCTATAACCACTCGAGTATTACCTGACATTCTTTTCGAATGGCGTGAGATGAGAAGCTGTCTGGTTGCCTGTGGGCAATATGGCAGTTTCGTTTAAGGTTGGCTTTGGGTTCGTGTTGGGTGCCATGAGAATGTTCTCTCCACTCCAGAAATAAAACCGCCATGTCCATAGCGCGGCATACGGAACAGCAACGAGCCAAACGAAACCAACCAGTATGGCGCGCAGGATAGTCAGGATGACAAAGAAACTGCGTCGAATGAACTGCGTAATAAACAATTGTATAGGTATTCTCTCTGGCATGTCCTCTCTATAGATTGGGGTGAATGTAAAGGGATGGTGACAAAGCTCGCAATATCTATAGGTGAAAACAGGTAAGGCTATGGAGGAGTTCAGAGCATATGCGTGTTACTTGGTGGCTTACTTCTTTTTACTATGCGACAACCATTCCGTCAAGCTATAGATGACAGGCAGATGAGCGAAATAAACATGAGTGCGTTGTTTGATGCAATAAAACCGTTATAAAATAGCTTCACTTGCCATTCTTGATGAACATATCGAATACTACCAGAGCACTTGCACGGATAAAACAAAGGTTGGTCCTCTGTAGCCTCGCAGCGGCATACTCGGCAAATTTCTGACAAGTGAGTATTGGAATTAGACAATTGCAAGGGAAATGGCGATCATCAAGTCGATTGACGTTACCCTCTGAATCATCCATGATTCACCACCTGTGCATCTGCAATTTCAAAGCGAGGTTAGAATCGGTCGCCATAGGTTATTTCCAGTGCTGGTCCAGCGGGGTTTAGAAAGCGCACGTGACAAGACTGCCCGTCCAGGCAAAGTGAAAGGATGTTTGCTGTCAGATACTGGCGAGAGAGGTATTTTCGCTCGAGCGTCCGTTGCACATTCTTTTTTCTTGCCCCACTCTATAACCGCACAGATCATAACCCACTAAACCTTGATCAAATAAATTATATTTTATACCGTCTTCCCTTCTTTACAAGTCTGTTTAGTTGATTCCTTTTACTACCCAAGAGATCAGACGTTGATATGCTCTTTAAATACGCCAAGTTCTTTAATACATTTTTGTATCGTCACCACCATCCTTTTACGCTGTTATCAAGCAACTTCGGAGAATGCAGGTTACTCCATTGTATCCTCAGACTCCGTGCGTTCCCTATTTCGTTATCTTCATGAAAAATGAGGTGTTACCAAAGCCCACCAGCTAAAATAAACAGATATGCGTACTTAAACCCTCTATTATTGCTTATCTACATCTTTTCTAAAACCAAACGAAGCATGAAAGGGGTTAATCGCCTCTGTTATGGTAACGCGGTCGGAACAGGCAGGTAGAGTTTAGGGCATTGGTTTGGCAGCCAAAAGGGTCACGTGTGCCCCTGGGTTTGAAAGGTGATTGCCTATCACCAAGTTCACCGTACTTCTTGGCCAGTCTTATCACTCGACTGCTACTTTTGTTACTCTTTTGTACCATCTTCCTGCTCTGATTAATACAGTTACACCACTCCGGAACCTCAGTGACACTGATTTGCCACCTAAATTGGGAAAATATCGACGTTGGAGTATCCAATACTCTGCAGCTTGATTATCGCCTAAAAAACAATATATAGTCGATAAGATTTTTTTTTGCTAAAGTACGAACCTCCCACACTTTTCTTTTCTCTTTATTCAACTTTATTTCTCCATCTTAATAACACTTCTTTGAGCCATGAATTCTGCTGCAATGGCTGCTCTAACGCCGAGTAACGTCCACAATTCATACAGTTATGCTGATGACTTGGATATTGTCGATGACCTCGGTTACGATGATATCGACGACGGTTATATAGGCAAGTATACGCAGTGTATTGCTGCTTGAGCTTGGTAGTTTCATTATATATACGTCGAAGCTAATGTCTGACTTTGCTGCAGACGTGGAGAAAACTCATCAAAATCGCGAAGCTCATTTACGAGAGCTGTTCGTATCTGAGCAAGCTTATGTCGAAACTCTACAGGTCATCAAAAAATATTACCTGGAACCTCTGCGGGCAGAGGCTAAGAATCAAGCGCGCAAGTTTCTTGGCATGCAAAAGATCGTATGCACTGACCAAGAAGTAAATGCTTTGTTTACAAACCTGGAGTCCGTATATGAGGTACATCGCGAAATGCTTTCTTTATTGGAGGAGCGGTAAGTTAAATGTCGCATGCAAGTCAAGCCAGCCGATATATATTTTTTTTTTCCTTCCTTTCGTTACATTTATCTATTTTGGCTAATTCATCATTGTGCTTAGATTTTCTCGGTTATGGGGACCAACGCAAATCACCTGGGATATATTTCAGACTTCGGTAAGAGGCAAGCTTAGCAGCTAATGCAAAGTGAGCAAAATTATTCTAACACCGTCCTTTCATTAGCTCCCAAAACTCACTGTTTACGATCAATTTTTACGCGAATTCCCGAGTGCATTGAACACCTATCAGAGATTGATAAAAATACCCGCCTTCAGAAAGTTTATGGAGGTAAATACTATGCATAAATCTGTAACAGGTTATGATAACGATAAAGCTTACAAATTTGGATTGGGGTGTCAACAGTCTTGCCAAAAGGACTCATCGTGCAAAAAAACTAGCTTTTTGTATCTCATGAAGGAGCCTCTACATCGCATATCTGTGTACGCCAGTCTTATACCACTCATCATGACTGGTACCCCAATTATGCACCCGGACTACAATGGATTACGAGCCGCCACAAAATGTATTAATGCTATCTCTGGACACCTTGTAGAAAGGTGAGAAACAATGTTTATGATAAGAGATAGCTTCTCAACAATATGGCTAATCAATATTTACTTGGGATAAATAGAATGGAAGCGGGCGATAACTTGTGGCAAATGGCCCATCTACAATCAAACGTTCTAAACATTCCAAACATCTTTTCACCGACCCGTAAACTCCTGTTATGCGGTAGCATGTACCGTGTCAACACACAAACTCAAAGTCTCAACCCTAACGTCGCGTTTGTATTGGAACCGCGAACGTACCTTCTCTTCAGCGACATGCTTTTAGTGTGCAAGGCAAAAGGCGATAGCGGTCAGCTACATTATAAAAGCACAGTAGAAATTCGCGGCATGGATGTTCGAAACAAGCAATACAGAGAATCCAATCCATTCAATGTATTGGAGTTATCTCCCAGTAGTGCTAATCAAGATGACTGGATTGCCTCCAACGCCTTAATACCTTTGAACGCTCACGAGATTCGATGCAATAACCAGGAGCAACATATGGAATGGTATCAAATGCTAAGGAAGGTTTTGTCAGACGTGAACAAGACAGCGACAGCCGTCACCACAAACGGTTAGTTAAGAAAGATCGTCAAATGCCAAGTGAATACCGTCATTTACTGAATTCCATTCTTTAATTTTTTAGGCTCAGAACGTACCAACGACTTTGGGAGAGCATCTACAAGAATATCGCTCATCTCGACGACGTCAACCTCCACAAGGTCAACTAAGTCAACTGAAGACGGCTTCACCTTTCCTGCCGTAAAAACACCCACTTCACCTTCAGGATCGTTTGATTTGCAAAGCAAACCAAAACGGAATAAGGATATCGTTGTTCTTCCAGGGGCTCTCAAACAAGCGCCAAATCTCGTTGGCGGTATATATGGCGGAGGATTCGGGTTAGGGCGATACTGAAAAAGGCGGGAATGTAGACATACGTATGTCATTTGAATTATTTCCGACAATAAAAATTCCTGTAATTAGTGTATATCCATAGCCAAAAATGAAAAGGCTGCTATGAGAATCATGTAGAGTGCTAGCGAAGTGACTCAAGTGTCTTTGCAGTTTTTGAAAGAGGCGATTGGACCTCCAACGTTTCAGATAATTGATTGTCTCAGTAACGATGGCCCCAGTTGGTTGCGGCCTAGTGCGGAGACGCAAATCAATGACAGCAGCATCTAACTTTAACGTCATTTCGTCCGCTTATATGGCAGCGTTCAGAATTTTCTTCCTTTCTTCAACTGTTTCTCCATTCTACATACTACTCACACCAATGCTCACACAGCGCACAGAGACCGACAAAGTTTACATAGGCTCTATAGACCAAGGAACTACTTCCACTCGATTCCTTATATTCGATAACGACGGTAAGCTTGTTACGTCTCACCAACTTGAGTTCGATCAGCACTATCCTCGGCCTGGTTGGATCGAGCATGACCCGACGGATCTCGTCAAATCGGTCAGAAAATGCATCATAGAGGCTGTTCGCAAGTTTGAAATGATGGGCCATGACGCTTCTCGCATCAAGACGGTCGGCGTCACCAACCAGCGTGAAACAGTCCTGGTCTGGGATAGGACTACCGGAAAGGCCCTCTACAATGCCATTGTTTGGTGTGACGCTCGCACAACATCTACTGTGAAAAAATTGCAAGCCAAAAAGGATAGCGATAAGGTCGCTACACTTTGTGGCCTTCCTATCAGCACTTACTTTGCTGGAGTCAAGTTACATTGGTTGATCGATAACGTACCTGAAGTACGGAAAGCCATCAACGAAAAGAGAGCAATGTTTGGAACAGTCGACAGCTGGCTGTTATATAACCTGACAGGTGGAAAGGACGGTGGAGTCCACTTGACTGACATGAGTAATGCCAGCCGAACCATGTTTTTGAATCTGAAGACGCTAGCCTGGGATGACTGGCTTCTTGAGTGAGTATTCTCATTTACGACAGTGTTCAAAAAGCAGCTCATTCTGAGATCGTAACTAACCAATCGTTTGATAGCTTTTTTGATGTCCCAGACCACATTCTACCCAAAGTGGTATCGTCCTCTGAACACTATGGAGATATCGCTTTCGGTCCATTGAAAGGAGTCCCTATACATGGATGTTTAGGAGATCAGCAAGCAGCCATGGTTGGACAGAAATGCTTTTCACAGGGAGATGCCAAGTGTACTTACGGTACCGGTGCTTTCTTGCTGTTTAACACCGGAGAAAGCCATGTGAATTCCAAAAATGGTCTTCTCTCGACGGTTTGCTATCAGCTTGGCCCGGATGCACCCGTCACCTACGCCTTGGAAGGTTCAATTTCTGTGGCGGGATCAGCGGTCAAGTGGCTTCAAAATAACTTGGGAATCATCCGCTCAGCTGAAGAACTGGGTAAGCTGGCCTCTCAGGTGAAGGACACAGGTGGTGTTTACTTTGTCACCGCCTTATCGGGACTATTTGCCCCCTACTGGCGAGACGACGCTAGAGGAACCATTGTAGGCTTAACCAATTATACCAACAAACGACACATCGCAAGGGCCACTCTTGAAGCTGTTTGTTTCTCTACAAATGCGATTATTGATGCTATGAAAGCCGATGCGCTCGTTCCACTCAAGATTTTAAAGGTCGATGGCGGCATGTCCAATTCCGACACCGGTATGCAAATTCAATCCGATATCATTGGCATCGACGTTGAGCGGCCCGCCATGCGAGAAACCACAGCTCTGGGAGCTGCCTTCGCTGCTGGCTTGGCCGCTGGTATCTGGAAGTCGACTGAGGAATTGTGCAACTTAACTGTGAACTCCCACGACACCTTTGTGCCTAAAATTGATGACAAGATGCGCAAGAAGAAGTATAAGGAATGGGAAGCGGCTATTGAGCGAAGCTATGGTTGGACTGAAGTCGTTGGCACTGAACAAGACGAAGAGTAAATCATCTTCTGGTGTATATCCCATGTGTAGAAGACTATGCACATTTTTTATCGTGTACAGATTAGATGCAGGCACCGCCGGCCTGGTTTTTTTTTTGTTATCTCCAACACTAATTTTTTTTTTTATATCAGTTCTTGTAAATACATATAGAGATGCTTTCAAAACAGACTTTTTAACAATTGAAATGTACATTGTAGTGAACGTTTTCCCGTTTATATATTTTTGTAATTTTGGGCTTTGGCGAGTTAGTATACATGATGTGAAAAGAGTTGGAAGGGAAGTGTGCTGTACAGTAGTCAATACTAAATAATACTACAACAAAAAAGTAGATGCAATTATTTCTTTTTGGGCGCTGATCGTTGACCAGCCTTAAGATCTTGGATGCGACGGTCATCCACACGCTGCAAGAAAGCAACCTTTTCCATGTATCTAAGAACCACAGTTGTTAGCCAATGTCATCATCATATCTATCAACGTTCAACTTGATACTCACCCATCCTTGTTCTTATACTTGAGGTCGTCACGAATGCCCTCTCGATCCACATAACCCTGCCAGTCCAATTTACTCTTGTCCAAAGTATTCATCTTTGGCGTCTTAATGTTGTATTGACTGACCAACGCGGAAAGATTGGATTTCGGTCGGGCAATGGTTGGTTTTTTCAAAGCAGGTGTTGAATCAGCTGGTGATGATGCCCCGGACGACACAGGTGTGGGACTATTTTAGAGGTGAAATGAAGCAAAGCAAATGTGTGAGATACACTGTACAGAATTCTAACGACCAGTGAAGATAAATCTTACATTTTGCTGGCGTTTTTGGAATCTGCTTGATTAGCAGCGTCACTAGGACGATTCATGGACGAAGAAATATCATCCAGTGGCTGCTTGGTGGATTTTTCGACAGTAGAAGGAGAATTCATTTCAGCCCAAATAGCATCAATACGTCTCTTCCTCTCTCTTTCAGCATCATCTGTCGCAACTGCTTGCGGAAGGCTATTATGGCGCAGTCAATGTAAGTTTGATGAATGTATTAGTCTGTGTGCGTAGCAAAGATGCATACCTAGACACCACTTCAGTGGGCCGTTTTCGCTTCTTTGATGTCGTAGTCTCAGCTTCTTCGTCTTCAGAGTGCGCTGACTGGCTCTCGTGATCCGATTCTTCTTCGTCTTCGGCTATAATGCATACTATTTAGATACAGACTCGGTTGTCAAATGGTTGTATTGAAATGAATTTCTTACGATCTGGCTGGTAATCAAGGTCATTCTCTGAATCATCGTCGCTTTCTGCCTCTTGGTTCTCCCATTTTTCTTTTTCCATGCTAGTATTTACAATGTCTAAGCTGGTCGCGGTAGACGTACAGGTAAGAAGAGAGAAAAAAAAAAAAAAAAAAGAAAATTGTCCGTCTCAAAATTTTTCTACCACAGTGAGGTGTGCTTCTAATCCTACCATTGATTCCCAATCATGAATCCTCAAGCCGCCAACCCTGTCGGTCGCCCACCTCTGAGTGATCAAGAAAGACAGATTCAACTCATCCATAGTGTTATGGAATCATGCCCTTTCAAATTCGCTACCTCAGGTGTCATTGGTAAGTGCAGCGCGCAAAATGATCAGCTAGCAGAAACTCAATCCATTAACCATCCCTCCACTGTCTTATTCAAAAAGGTTTCGGTTTGGGTGCTGCGTTCGGTCTTTTCATGTCATCCTTTGAGTATGCTGGTCCAACTATGACGGACGAAATGGTCAAGCAGACAACAAAGCAACAGATGAAATCCGCTCTCAAAGATATGGGAACCCGGTCGTACAGTATGGCGAAGAACTTTGCTGTGGTTGGTGCTATTTATTCTGGAACAGAATGCTGTATTGAATCTGTAAGTACTTGTACGATGACACTAGTAGTTTCGGATCCCTCTGACCTAATTCAAAAATGATCAATCTAGTATCGTGCCAAGAACGATTTGTACAATAGTGCAGCGGCTGGATGTATCACTGGAGGATTGTTAGCTCACAGATCAGGACCGCAAGCTACAGCACTGGGATGTGCTGGTTTTGCTGCTTTCTCAACCGCCATAGACTGGTACATGAAGCGAGATTAGGTTATCTCTCAACACCATTCCTCATCATAGATATAGACTGACTGTATTATAGAAAATAATCCTCCCTACCCCCATCAGATTACGACCTTTGTATGAAATTGTACAAATCAGCAGAGAACGCAGGCAAAAGAGGGGTGACCCGCTGCCCATTTTTTCAAGCCAACATTATAAACCCTACAATCAATGCAATGCACAGCATTACTGGTGTGATCACATGTCCATGATATTGCAAATCGTGAGGACTTGTTGCTGCTGATGTTTGTGTACTTGCGACGTTGACCAGATGTTGCTTTGAACTTTCATCAGATGGCTTATCTTCTTGGCGGCGGAACATGAGTTTGTCAACGATATGCATTGGTCCTATGAGCAACATTATGAACCAGCAGTGTGGAAGGAGAAGTGATAGGATGAGCGCTTAGTCTATGGTAAATAGCGTAAAAACCCGGTTATCCGAAACCTTACCATTGGCAGTTAGGATGTCTTTGACAAGCACCTTGGCCTCGTTGATGTTAATGTCATTGTCTGTAAGTTTCGTTACACTCAACGAAGCTTTAGTGTTCGGGTCGTTAATTTGACTAGTCGTAAGGTTGTTACTATAGTATGTTCCTGCTATCATGTGTGACTGTATTGCTAAAGCCTGCTGTGGCGAACTCCATGCTTCTGAAGGGAACTGTAACATAGCCGAGTTGGACACAGCAAATAAAGTTTTTCCATTGAACGACTCGCTGGTCAGGTTAAGGTTACGTGAAACCTTGTAAAATTCTGAAAGATCTGGTGTGTTCTGCAACACCCATTCGGCGGGCATAGGAGGAGTTATGGCTTTGTCAATGATATGGAGGATGCCATTGCTCGCCTTAATATCACCATGAACTACCCTCCCGGGCGATTGAGGCGAGGAGGACCAAAGCACATGGTCCTGACCATGCTTAGCTATGGCTAACACAAAGTCCATTGTTGATCCATTTCTGCCTCGGAGTGGCTCGTTAGACCCTGTCAATGACGTCTTCAAGATATTGGTGCTTTCATTGGACATCTCCACCAGAGTCATAGGTTTTAGTAGCGTGAGGTATTTGAATGTTGTTTGATATTCGATTTCCGGGAGGGTTTCCATAGCACGGTCATTAGGTGCAAAAAATGTCAGTGCACTGCTTGATAGGGCAAGTAAATGTCTGACATCCTCCAGTTCCGACGAGGTGCGTAGTAGCTTGGCTACTGTACTAGCACCATTGGTTTCCAGTAAGTCCAAAATAGTAGTCTGGACGCTGTCACTTGATGGGTGGAGATCTTCAATTCCCGAACCATTAGTCACCGTCAAGTCAGCGTCATTGTCCTGAGCGCACACTAAGGCAATCACCGCCAGTAACGCTAAGACAACAGATAGCACAGACGAACTATGATGTTGTATTATCATCATCGACAGAAAGGTCAACGTCAAGTTCAAACCCTGATCGTAATTTTTATTTATTGACATATTATTCAATACTCGGCCAGTCCAATCCAATGAATGGAAATTTGATGACCAACCAACCGCTAAGAAGACCAAGTTATTTGTGTCATGAAAACAAAGCAATAGGCTGAGTAAGGCCAAGGGGAAAAAATCCACAGTGTTTTGATTGAAACTGCGACCACCCGAGGACACCCATTGCCAGGAGCCTCAAGTTCTCACGCCTTGGCTCTATAAATTTGCCTATAAATATGAAAAGTTGCCCTTCTCCGCAAACAAAGCTTCACTCTTCTCTCTATTTTTTTTTCCAAAAGGCACTATGGCTGAAATCGATAACAAAAACCTCTTTACCAAGATCAACGTTGGTAGTGGAACTGACTTGATGACCATGACCCGTTGGGTTTTGGCTCAACAACAGGTAAAGATACATTACGCGCACAAAGCAAACTGAAGGATCTCGTATTTTAACATTTTTCGTTAGGCTTCTGCTGAAGCTACTGGTGATCTTACCATCCTCTTGACGGCCATTCAGTTTGGCTGCAAATATGTCGCCTCCAAGGTCAAGCAAGCTGGTCTCATCAACCTGTAAGCATGTGATCCCTTGTCATGCTAACATGTGTGTTTTTCGCGAACTGACCCTAATGACTTATTTGTTGTTAGCCTCGGATTGACTGGAGAAGCCAACGTTCAAGGAGAGGATGTCAAGAAGCTCGATGTACTTGCTAACGATATCTTTCGTAATTCATTGATCGCTTCTGGTAAGGTGTCATTGTTGGTGTCCGAAGAAGACGAACACGCTATGGTGGTCGAGAACCCAGAACAGCGCGGAAAATACATTGTCACTTTTGACCCTCTTGATGGATCCTCCAACATTGACTGTGGTGTCTCGATCGGAACCATCTTTGGCATCTTTAGAGTTGTAGGTATCTTCCTTTTGCATCGGAAGTTCAAGTAAGACATGTACTAAACTAGCGTGACACACAACAGCAAGATGGTGAGGAAGTTGGTATGAAGGACCTCATTCGTAGCGGTAGAAACATGGTTGCTGCTGGTTACTGTATGTATGGTTCATACTGTGAAATGATCTTGGTAAGATACAATGACATGATGGAAATGCCTCCTTTCACGTGGACACAAGGTTTAACCTTCCGCTCCGTCCCGCATTTGTAGTCTGTCGGAAGTGGTGTCAACGGCTTCACACTGGACCCAGCCATCGGAGAGTTCATCATGACCCATCCCAATGTAAGCTTTGGATTATTTCCTTTATCTCCGTTCGCGGGCTATTCCCACTAACTTTTTTTCCTCCTTCACCTAAAGATCACCTTGCCTCCTCGAGGAAAGATCTACTCTGTCAATGAGGGTAACATGAAGTATTTCGATGAGCCTTCCAAGAACTATGTCAACGCTGTTAAGAACAAGTACTCTGCTCGTTATGTTGGTTCCATGGTGGCCGATGTTCACCGTACTCTGTAAGTGCATTTTACTGAATATGGCAATTGTGCTTATTGTGGTAACCTGCCACTCGTCCTTACCGGTTCCTAATCGTTCCATCCAAACCCTCTAGACTTTATGGTGGCATTTTCGGTTACCCTGCTGATAGCAAATCAAAGCGTGGAAAGCTCCGTATCTTGTACGAAGTCTTCCCCATGGCTTACTTGATAGAACAGGCCGGTGGTAAGGCTACAACCGGCACACAGTCGGCTCTGGATCTGGTACCCGAGCATATTCACGATCGTTCCGGCGTCTGGCTCGGCTCAAAAGAAGATGTTGAAGAGCTTGAGTCCTTCTATAAGCAAGCCTAAATATATCATGCTTCCTATACAGTGCTGGGGTGCTCTCCATAGTCCTTTCTCTCATCAGTTAACTTTACCTTCGCACACTTGATGTAATATACACAAAATCGCATACCGTCACAAATAATCTTATTTGCCTGATCTTTACTACTGTTCGCTGTTGAGGGATAGGAAATGTTCAAAGTTATGACAATAATGCTCAATATTTCTGCGACCCAGTGTATAGAATTTTGAACTGTTTGGCATCAACAACAAGCGAAGCTCCACATTGACTAGGGACGTAAATACACTCTCGCTTGCAATTCCAGTCTTTTTTTCTTTTAGTCTTTTACTATTATAATTAAGAAACTCGACTACAACAAGGTTTAGCGTTCAAGTTTCAATACGTCGCGACCACTCGTTTTCGAATTGGCTGATATTAACATTATTAGGCCTATCGCCAAGCCAAATTTTTTCAAATTCAAGCGCATTGTACTTGTCAAAAAGCCTTTCAAACTCCATCTCGTCGATCTGGCAACATTGGATCCGATAGCACAGCTTGATCGGTCTTCCTCCACTTGCCCGCCAATCTGCACTGTATGTCTGCACTAAAATAAGAGACCGAATTTCATGTACTATAGCAAGTTCCACAGGCAATCCTTGATGTTCCAGTTTTTCCGCCGCCGCGTTTAGTTCTTCTATTCCTACAGACCTATCTTTTGCAAATTTTAGAAACCTCCAGGAGTTCAACTTTTGAAGCGTCTTCTTGGCATCTTCTGCCCTGAGAAGTTGGACCTCAAAACATATACCAAAATGGCTGACGGTAATAGATGTCGATGCTTTTGTACATTCAGCAACCACATAGTGCATTTGACTGATAGCAGGTAAGTAATTTTTGTCCATTTTCTGAATTGTCATGAAGCTTAAGAACGACAGGTCTCCCTTCTGGGTCGCTAGTTCATGGAAGAGTCTCAAACGAGCTTTAATCCCTTCGCCATATGCCAATGTTAAATGGATGTCAAATATTCCTGCCAGAGCATAAGTCATATCCTCTTCGCGCGTTGTCTTCCGGATATTCATTCTTGCCAGTATTTTTGCTGCGTTTCCCGGCCGATAGTATAAATGAAGGTCTAGCTTGCAAAGGTCCTGACGCTGCTCAACGGCCAACTGTTGTATTGTGACAAGCGATCCTTCCTTTGAGATTCCGCACAGAAAACCAGCTGCAGCACCTTCTTGCAAACACCACCCTCTATTGCACCATACATCTAGAGGTGTACCGGAGTCTAGAACAACAGCAGCGCAGCTAGCATACCACTTATACATCGATCGAATAGCCTCATCAAGCTCTGACAGATTGGACTTGTCGATGCAAATTGTGTCGATCCATACGTACTTTGTATGTTTCCGTAAAGCATTTCTGATGCGGCGCAACTTTTGCGACATCCTACTAACAGTTTGACCTCTCCATTGTTTCATTATATCCTGATACTCTGTCTCATTCGTACTCCATCTATGTGTGACGAAGACAACTTGTATGGCAGCAACATTATGTACAAGCTTATCTTGATGTATATCCCATACTCGATTCACAATTTGCTTGTCTCGCTCGCGCCATATGTCAATTCCGATGGCTTTTGCCGCACCCACTGGTGATAGTGGACGATGAAATGGTTTTGTATTACAAAGGCACTGGCGTCGATTTCGAATTTTCCATTCCTCTGACTCATCATTTGACGGAAGAATTGAAATAGGATCTAATTTACCAAGTATTGCCATGACCAATTTTTCAATGAGTCCACCACCACCGACAATACTAAGTATGCTGAGGCCTGCTATCAGTATGGCATGTAGATCGATTGCAAGCCTTTGCTCTGATCCACCAAGTAAATCTGAGAATACTTCTTGATCAAGGCGAGTGGACGATCTTCGACAGACATATACAGCATCGATGAAGCAAAGGTATGGATGAGTGCTTTTGTGCCAAGTTGGTATGGACAAAGAGGTTTTGATCTGAGGAATCTGTACTATTAATCTTCCTGGTTCTCGAATAATACCAGCCATCTTGTCAAACTGCGATGCCCATTTTGGAGGCTTGATGGCGACACCTCTGTTCAGCTCCAACATAAAGAAATAGTCAGACATGAATAGCTGAGCACTAAAGCTGTCCAACAAGAATTGGATAACTAATATAGCGCGATTGCAGATAGGTGTTGTGTCCAACAACTTCAGCGATGGCGCAACTTGGATACTATCCGTAGATTTAGCTTGGCCGTTCATTCCATCTACGTCCATGAAGTCATCCAAATGGAGTTTTTTTGAAAGCGGGAGACCATAGCCATACTTGTGCTTAGTATAAAACAACCACCTTTCATTACAGATGTTGACTTTGAAGGCAATGCGCATACATTAAGGTTAATATCGAGAATCATTGCAAAGGGGGTAGTGGTTTCGCTTCCCAAAACGATACCTACTTTCATATTCTTCACCATGATTATCTCCGACTCTCTTAAGAGTGACATTAGTCTGATCATTTTCTTGCAAATGTTGATCTACAACTGAAGATTCAAGCAGGATGTTGCTTGCATTGTTTAAAGGCTGTATAGAGGCCGCTTGCAAGATATCTCGCAGTGTCGGAAACCTTTCTTCAACATCTACAGGTAGATCTAATCCTACAGTACTAGCACCAGCATCTATGAGCAATTTGACCACTGCAATAAAATTACGTTCGAATCTGTAGCCCGTAGCATATTGAGAACATTCGATGACATGGTTCAGTGGATTTTCATAGCTATCATCTGAACTGTGAAGGGAAGCTCCATGATTTAGCATTAGAATTACCAGATTTGGATTAAAAGTCAATGCAGCCGTAAGCAACGGTGAGAATTGGCTCGAGGTTCTGGGGTTAACAATTGCACCGTGCTCAATCATAAGGGTGCATACTTCTCCCATGTTGTTTAAAGTTGCTATGTGTAAAGGTGTATATCCGATTGCATCTATTGCATTGACATTAGCATGTCGCTTCACTAATAGTGAAATTATTGACATACTCTCATTTTGGACGGCAAGATGTAACGCAGTAATTTTCAAGTTTGAAGTCTTTGCTTCGATGTCGATGCCATTGTCAATCAATAGCTTTGCTAGATCAAAGGATTCATGCTGTACTGCGACGTAAAGAGCGTTCGTACCTTCACTGTTTGCAGCATTTATATCTACTCCTTGCTCTAAAAGCATAGCTGCTACTCTAAAGTGACCATTTTCAACAGCATAATGAAGAACTGTGTTACCGCCGTCATCGGTCAAATGAACATTGCATCCACAAGTCCACAATATATGAAGAGCATCTATTTGACCTAGAGATGCATAATGGTGCAGAGCGCTTTGATTGCGATGTTTTACGTCCCTTGCTTCTATACAGGCTCCATAATGAATTAGCATAGATATTGCTTCTGGATGCTCACCGGCTAAAAAAAGGAGAGGTTGTCCGTCGTTGTTGCATGTTTCAATATCTGCACCGTTGTCTAAAAGATAACGTATCACATCAACTCGCCCATGTTGTGAAGCCCTCCACAATGCTGTATTCATATACTGTATTCTCTTCTTTTTATCGTATAGCCCTAAAACTTTTTTGACCAATTCAACTTGACCAACATCTGCAGCTTGGTATAACAGCCATTGTTGGTTTTCTTGGGAAATTCCTATTGCGGTTTCTGGATTTTTCAGTTGCGTTATTATATCATAATGTCCTTTCATGATAGCGACTTGAATTGGTGAATTGCCGTGTTCATTTTTAACATCGATATTTGCTTCATATTTAATTAAAGTAGCAACAACGTCAGAATGATTTGATTCTGCAGCAAGATGTAGGGCCGTATCGCCATGATTCGTTTTGGCTTCAATTTTAGCCTTATTTCGCAATAGCAACTTTAGTATAGAAACATACCCTTGCTTAGCTGACCAATGTAAAGCCGTCAAAGAATCATTATCCGTTACTTCTATGTCTGCTCCTACGTTGATCAATAGAGAAACCATGTCCAGTTGGGCGGCCTTTGTGGCAATTACCAAGGGGGTTTGTCCATTTATGTCAGCAGCTTCAATATCAGCACCATGTTGTAAGAGCAGATCTACCATCCATAAATCGCCAATTTCGGATAGCATAGCTAAAAGCGTTTTTTCATCTTGAAACTTTTGATCCACACGTTTACAGCCTGTAATCAGTAAAGATAATACGTCTGTGTGGCCATTCAATGCAGCTATTTCAAGTGCGGTATTTGATTCGCTGTTTTCTAACTCTACAGAAGCCCCATAGCTTAGCAGTATTCTTGCACCTTCAGATCTTCCCAATTTCGCAGCCATGTGGAGTGCAGTTTCAGATATGGAATTTTTTGAGTCAACGGCTGCACCATTCTTAAGTAAAAGTTTAACTACTTCATTCCGATCAGCCCGTATGGCCGCTTGAAGAGCAGTATCGGAGCTTTCGTCTTTTATGTCAACAAAAACACCATTATCGAGCATTATCTGTACAATTTCTCCATGCCCACACCTAGCAGCGACGTGGAGTGGGGTTCCTTCAGTTTGCCCGTTTGTATCAGTAGTAGCACCACGGTGAAGAAGTAATTCCACGACATATTTTTTTCCATTGCTTGCAGCCAGATGAAGTGCAGTATACGAACTAGCATTTTTTTCGTTAATAGAAGCACCACCGTCGAGCAACAAGTCTACTACACTGAGATGTCCATTCGCCGCGGCCTGATGAAGTGCAGTGTCCAAAGATTCATTTTTTGCGTCAACGATAGCACCATTGTATAGTAGCAGCTGTACTACTTCTTTATGACCGACACTCGAAGCTAGATGAAGTGTAGTCTGTGACCTATAGCCGTTTACATTAATCGAAGCACCACGGTGTAGTAACAGCTGTACTAATTTTTTGATTCCACGCCATACCGCCATATGAAGCGCTGTTTCCAAATTCTTATCCTTTGCTTCCATATCAGCACCATTGTCTAACAACAGCACTACTACATCAATTTTTCCATGGCATGCTGCTAGATGAAGCGCAGTAGTTGAATTTTCATCTCCAGCGTTGGCAGAGGCACCATTCTCTAACAGCAGCGATACCAATCTGTAGTATCCATAACCAGCACATATGTGAAGTACAGTACGCTTCTGATCATCCTCCCAGCCGACATCAGCTCCGTGTAGCAATAAGTCCTTCATATCATCGAGTTTTCCGCTACCTGCTACATCAAACCACCGAAGTAGATCATCGTTTTCAACATTTTTACCAGCACTGAAGTGATGAGGACTTGGAGTCTCGTCTACTGACAGCTGTTGCTCCGAGAACTGGTGTTCCATTCTGTTAAAAATGATGTCCACAATTTGTGAGCTATGTTAAGGAGAGAAAGGTGTGCAGCCAGAAAGCTGGCTGCTCCGCCTGGTTTTTCGAGATCAGGGTACTTGTGCGACGACCGGATGTGGTCAGGTGATGAAATAAAGAACTATTTCAACGGCATGTCTGTCGAACCATCAAAACTCGCGTCCATTTAAAATTTTCTTGTTTCCAATCCTCAGCGGCTTCGACCAAGTGGAACCGCACAGAGGGAAAGAAAAGTCTGTTATAAACGTTCTTTAGTGTACAAAGCTTAAACTATCATACAACACATAGAATATTGCGCAGCGCAGAGTCATCCTTACCAAGCAAATTGAACGCTGAAGTCTGGTTGAGAGGACAATCGGTCTTTTCCCGTATCATTTTCAGGCAGTGATTGACAGAGGAGCTTTCTGCTTTTTATAATCCGGCCATACCTTTTGAGTAACGACTACTTTGAAGCTATTGATTGGGATATTTGGCTGCACCTGATAGCAAACATGAAATAAAGGCTATAATGATGCAACCTTGAAAAGTCATCAAGCTTTTACTTGACAGGCCAGGTTTGCATCAATAATTTGTGACTAGTTTATTATCCCTAAATTTCTGTCTCTACTGTCGAAGCTTCGATAACAGTGGGCTAGTAGAAGGCAAGAGTGGGTTCGCATATACTTCTATTCTCCGAGCAGTTGACAACAATTCGGAAAGTCCTCGGGGAGCGTTGAACAAGCTGTATCTGCACCGGAGGTTGGGTTGCCGTCTGAAGTAGAAAGCTGTTTGGCCTACGCCGGAAAGTCAGTCATATGAGTTCACCCCTTAATTCTGACGAGACAGCCCTTAATCCTTCGGCAGTGCTTGCAAGCTGGTTTGCGGACTGCACATACAAAGTACTCTATGATGATAAAATTTTTCCCAAGTGTTTCCACTCCACTCTCATTTACTTCACTCAGTTTCCGACCACGTGGCAGCAAGTCAATGTTCGTGCGCTTTATTCATTCGTTCCCAACGAGCTCGGGCTCTTCGGAGGAAGAGACTTTCTTTCTTCTCCGAATCATCACCATATATATCTTTATCATCGGCACGACCATGCCATGGAGTTAGAGTGACTCGCATGGTCATAATATGATTACAAGGGAAGCCATGTTGAACTACATCGTCTAGAGTAGCTTCGCAAGACAGAAGCCGCAAGCGGTGTCGGGCAGTCGGGGTATCATAATATTCAGCCTTGGGCCGTACAGGTGGGAAAGCAATGGGTTCTGTTTCTTTTGACAGCTTTACATCGTACAGTTGGATGACCTCTTTGCTGACATGATGGATGGAGGGGGTTTTTTTAGGAGAGTGCGGAGAAGGGCAGGTGGAGTTTGGACGGTAGTCAATGATTTGGGAAGACATTGAAGAAGAGAAGCAAGCAGGGCGTAAATGATGATCATCGCATGGACGGGGGCAGCGTAGGATGGGATGGATCAAGCCACTGGTCCCCACAAAGCAAGGCAAAGCATAGCGATCGAAATCGATTACCTGAATGTGACTGCGTTGATAAAAAATCAGGCCACTTTTCCCAACGGTGGTAATGAGAGAACGTCAGTGCTTAGCTAAACGGTTTCAGCTTAGCCAATCCTCTTTTCTTCTTTTCACTATCATCATGTATTCCTCCCAAGGTATTTCGATGGCTGAAAATTATTTAGATGATATGGATCCTTCCTTGCGCTTTCTACCTATGGCAGCCCAGTCAGCGCAATCCATGGCCGAGTTTGAGGCCCAATTGCAAGCTGCCATGCTGCAAGATCAACCTCAAGAATTACATCCACAAATATTGAATCTGAATAACATGGACCAACTTATGCCTCCCGATTTATTCAATTTTGACGACTTCACTTCATTCAACCCGCAACCTCCACACAAACCCTACGAACACCCACTTCCACCCCAATCATCCGTTCCACTCGCTGATTATACGCCTTACATTAAGCGTGAGACTTCTTCGTCGGTATCCTCACCTTCTTATGACACCGTCCCCGAAAATTCCAGAAGTCCATTATCTCCCACTGATCAGCAAGCCGCCACTCCATCCCCTGCTCCATCTATGACCATACCAGCATCCACTCCCACTTCAATGCCCATGTCGAATGCGCCTTCTGTCACCATCCCTCAAACACAGACGTCTATTTCAGCAGCATACGAAGATCAAGGGTGGCTGCCTACTCCTTTTCTTTCAGGTAAGCTTGAATGTTTTCTCTTATATTGGAAATGCCTATTTGGCCATCGTTTTCCCACACAAGATGAGATTTATCGTTAATCACTCTTCTTTATTGCAGATCCAATGTCGATGACACCTGGTGCAATCGAGAAACCAGAGAAAAAAGTCGCCCATAATGCTATTGAAAGAAGATACCGAAATAATATCAATGATCGAATAGCAGAATTGAAAAGTGTTGTACCAGCCTTAGTTCACGCAAAAGTGAAATCAGGTAGCGGAAAGCGAAATCATCCCAATGACGAGGAAGATGAAGATGAAGACGATAACGAGGTTTTAGATGGTGTAGCTGTTGCTACCAAGCTCAACAAAGCAACCATTCTCAGGAAAGCTACAGAATACATTGTGCACCTCAAAAATGTCGCTCAACAATTGAAGATGGATAATGCCGCTCTTCGTCAAATTGCCTCTCAGCTCCCCGGTGGACAAGAATCCTTGATGCGTCATCACATTCATAGCCAGCAAATCAGAACACAGCAGGATAGTGTTCGATTAGCCTATGAAAGATCTCAACAAAAGCAGCAAAGTGCCAATGATACTACTCGTCGGAAGCGACGAAGAGCTTATGATAGACGCTCACAGGAAGATTCTGATTCTTCTGGACCTGTGACTCCCCCCAGCTCGGCTGGAGGACGTATTTTCATGGCCGCTTTCATGGCTGTTTCTTTATTCGCCACCTCACCATTAACCACTGGCACCGTTCAGCGTACCGCCGACGATCATCATCATACCTCTCGAACTACCTCATCAAATTCGTCCGCTGAAAAGGGCAGTGCCACGCCTTTTGGATTTTTACTCGGTCATAACGTGTGGTAAGTCTTTGAAAACAAAAGGCATTTATATGCTATGTGGCCTAAAGCTAACGGTACGATTTTTAGGAACCTTTTACGTACTGGCTTACTCATCGCCGGTATAACCTACCTCTTGATACCCTATTTGCATTCTGCATCTGGCAAGCACTACCGACGTATTGCTAGGCGGTTTAAACGGCCAAGTGGGATAAAAATTCCAAACTCACAAAAGATTTCTCAAGTTGAAATGTACAAGGCCTTATCAGCGTCGTTAATCAGTCCACCACCCAACCCAACTTCCATTTTCGAACCTGTGTTTTCATTGTTATTTGAGTTCATCCGCTTTACGATCCGTCGTGCATTTGGCCATGATATTCTTTACGATGCTGACCTTGATCAAGACCAAGAGTGGACCCGCGCATGTACGTGGCTTCGCATGAGCGAACTCGAGTGTGTTGGTGGAAATCCTCTTGTCACTCGTATTTCGATGCTTCATAGTTGTTTGAAGACCATCAATCTTATCGAGACACTCGAATCAAATGGTTTCCAATCCTTCTCTCGTGCTTATGCTACCGCAGCCATTCAAATGGCTTTATCGGCCCCCAAGTTCATCTCAAGCTATTGTACTAATTACTTTTGGCGACTGGCTTTCGACTTTTACGACGTAGACGACTATGAACAAGATTCATTCCAAATCTTCTTTGTAGATTTACAGCAAGATGACTCTGAGGAGAGTGTGCTGTCGCTGATGGAATCCGATATATGGCACGAAGCCTTGAATGTGATGCGTCTGCAAACCCAACTCTTCCATGAAGATCGTATTGTACCCAAAATCAAGCCAACCTCTTCGGTGCCTCTGGAAATCATTGCCAACTTCCACATTTTGCAAAAACTTCAACCTCTATTTTTCCAACTGGTGTTATTGATCACCAACCCTAATGATGCTGATGTCAGCGACGACTTCTCCGAAACCTATGGTGACACTCGATTTGATGAAATCTTAGCCGCCAGTGTCACTGGAAATCCTACTCGCTGGTATGCGCTAGTAGGAGCATGTGTCGAAGCTGTCTGGAGTAACAATGAAGAACTGGCTGAGAGTTTGATGAGCGACATTAAAGTCCTGCCCACCGACAGTGCAGTCGAAGATAAAATCGTTCAGCGTGCCATTGCTTACTCGTTGATTGCGCGTATACAGCTACAGAAGGGCGACAAGGCATCTGCCTTGAGAGTTTTGTTGAAGGCTCGCTCAGTTCATATGGAGCGAAATAACCTCAGCCTAAATGATGACAATAGCGACGTAATGAGCATCGAAAACAATGTCATTCTTCTCGTTGATTTCGTTGTTCAAATTCTGACTCTGCAAACCTGGCTTAAACTTATGGCATCTCCAAAAGGCAATGGCGAGAGTGATCCGATCATGCCCGTGTCTGAAGCACATGGCATCATTCTCTCTATGATCAAGACCCTCCGTCGTATGGTCGCTGTCCCTCCTATGGTCATGGATGGCTACAGCCAAGAAGTGTTGGATAGACTATGCAAAATCAGCCAAGTATTTTATGCTACAGCCAGTCGTGATAGTGGTTGCGAATTATCAGACGATGAGGAAGCTTCTCAAATTAGCGGCTCTGTAGCTGCAAGACAGGCCCTACCCATCTTGTATGGCATGTTCTAAAGAAGCTCCATGACTCTTCGTCCTCTTTTCACTATACATAGCGCAACACTTTCTTTCCATCTTAGGGTGCTCATCCAACCAAAACCCCCACTCTCACATTTACTCTTGTATATTTGAATCTCCAACCATACTTGCAAATCTGCTGTTGAAATAAATATTTATAATGCCCTTTTTCGCACATCAATAGGTGGTGCCTAAACGAAGACTCTCTATTGTATGGACTACGTGCCATATCGGTCCCGCTTTATTTCGTCTTTGTAACGAGACTATCATTATGAAAAGCGAGAGTCGCTGCAGTTGTTAGTTTAATGACCAATATGTCTTTTGAAGCGGAAAAAGCACAAGGTAAAATGCCAGAATATGGTTCCAAACTCTTAAATAAACATTTTTCTCAAAACTCCCTCCCCTCCCATTCGAGGCGTTCATTGCTCGTGACCAGTAGTAATGGCAAGTATTTCGTTACGGAGCGCCAAACGTCGTTCTCTTCGGCTGCCTGCTCCTTTGTAAAGTGCAGCCTCTACCTCGTTCTGCGGGACAGCATGTGGGATCTTGACGGGGATGTTCTCAGCATCGACGGCAACTGTAGAAATAGCGTCTATGTTAGTGTCCTCTTTTTGTCCTAGCTCAATTCACACGTTCTATTCTTACCAATAGTGAAAAAGGCGTCATTGGTAAAATAGGTTTCTCCCGTTCGCAGATCTTCTCCCTAATATCAAAAAGACGTTATTCAAGAATGGAGTTAATGGTGAAAGCCACTACAGGACATCTTCTAATAAAACAACATCGCTTTCAAAGGAAAAATAATCCATACCTCTACAGAAACATATACCTCTATACTGGATTTAAACGTTCTTGACACAATGCTGCGAACAGTGACGACTTCACCCACGTGGGTAGGCTTGATGAATTGGAGTGAATCGATACTGGCCGTCATTAAATATGTGCAAGCTAGCCGGCGCGCACTGACCAACGCACATGTTTCCATCCATTGAATAATCTGTCCGCCAAAAGTGATCTGTAGGGTATTGGCATGTTGTGGCATCTTTTTGGACGGCAAATTATCAGCACTGTCCACTGGAAACTTGCCATGACTCCCAATTTTCTTACCACTAATTCCACCACTTCGGCGTATGTCAGCTCAATACTCTTTTCACAAGGTTGAGGAACGAGGTAAGATGCCGTAGAGTATCGACGTCGTGGTTTTGGGATATCGACTTTCAGATGCGTATGCGTTTCATCGGCATCAATGGTGGTAGGCGAAGACACTTCGTTGCTTTCATCTTCTTCTTCAATTGGTGGGATCAAAGCTGGATGTGAAATGACGTCTGCTTCGCTGATAGACTGCCTTCGCAAACCAAGCGACCATTCCCGCAGCAGAATCCTTATCTGCTCCAGCTGTGCTCTCATCTCACCTGTCGCTTTCTTCTCAGAAAACCGTCTCTGCCGTCGTCTTTCCGCCATTTCCCAGCGTTGGTGCTCTGTGGGCGAATGTGGAACCACTTTGGGTACCGTCAGCGGCTTGCTATCTAGCCATAAACGTCCCACCCCTGTCTTTGGTGGCGCAACAGGCGACAAAGCTACAAAAGTCATGTAGGCGTGGGCCACGAACCGCCGCGGCCCAGCAGGCGGTGTTTCCGCCTCCATGCGAATACCAACCTAGTTTATGTTGACTTTAATCAGGGCTGTATGTTGAACATTTGATTGGAAATAGACGCCTCATATTTACCTCCATCGATGTGTTCCAGGCTTTGTTCACACTGGCCTGGATGGTAAGCTGAACACGAACGGCCATTAGTATACTCCTCTGTATGTCAACCAATAAAAAGAAAAATGGGCCTACCACATCTCCAACTCTGAGAGGATACAAAAATTGAACATCGTCTACTGATCGCGTTACCTTTGCGACTTTAATTAGATATTATTACATACAATAATCTTCAGTATAGACTTCACTTACAGATGGGGCATTTGCATGTCGTTTCGCTGCGATACCAGCTGCGATGTCGCACCAGCTCAATATTGCTTTTTGAGTTTATACAGAAAAGTTAGACTAATTTCCATACTCTCCCTGCTCTTATCGAATAACTCACGTCCGGCATAGGCAAATCCCTACAAAGCAGCTCAGCATGATGTAGGAGCGGGATGTTAAAGCGCTATGGAGTTACTTACCTTTGTGTCAGCATGGGAAGGAGATATGAATTCAGTCATAGTCACTCTGAAGGAGAGTCAGTGAGTTAGATAGGGGTTTCAATCCCTACGTTGGGCAAGCGAAGCACTACCTTGACAAGAATGCTGATTTCTCCGCCACCCGCTCATTACCGGCTTCTGTCCAAGGATCAGGCAAAAAGCGAGATATGACAGGACCAAAGACGTTTAAGAACGTTTCAGTAGAGTAATTGCGCATTCGAGTGAGAACATTTTCGTCGACTGGCTCAGGCATGGCGAATGGATGCGTGAGACAATTCTGTCGCTAGTTATTGAGGAAAGGGGGCAGGACGTACATTTTGGCCAGATTTTCTAATTATATTTATTTATCACTTGTATCTAACGATTGTAACAGAACTGTGGACATGACACTGTATATTTTAGAGCATGCGTCAATGCACTGTTCGACAGCCTATTTACACAAACTCCAGTTAGTGACGAGGGAAATCAATTGGGTGGTTCGCTTGCTTCCATCATTTACCTTATTAGCAATGGCACTTTCTGTATTTCCATTTTGCAGAATATGGGTGATTTCATTAAGAGAAGGCATATATGATACAACTAATGATCCGTCTTCGCTCTCTTCTTCGAGTGCTGATGGATCCATCAGTATTTTGTTTTGAACATAAGCCTGGACGCAATCAATTTCGTTAATACGCGCATTCCCATAATCACGCCAAAAGCAAGCCATCCCAGCCAATTCGCTAAACTTACAATTGATGATGCTGCCACTTGATCGTACATTTCTATACCAGCATCAGCCAATGCTACACTGGCTGCAGATATTGCCGCCGCTAAAGTTGAACTTGTACCGTCGTTCTCAAGCACATTTACATATACATCAATGGATGATTTAGGTAAGAGGTCTAGCCGAACTGCAGGTGTCAATGCTTGTACCAGAATTTGAGAAAATTCCTTCTCTTGTGCGTCCTGTGAAGAACATGCTTTAGTATATTCGTTGAATGTCAGCCACCAGCGTATTGGAACAATGTCTAACCCTTTGAAATGCTCGTCGCTTTTTACATGAGAATGTAGCAAATTTAATCTCACAGTTCAGAACACCCTTTCCTGTGAATGATGGTTTTTTCATTTGTCGTGGTCCATAGCTACAGAGACAAATCACCTGTCAATATTCAAAGACTGTCTATTATACTTTGTCATGGTCAACACCTACACTGCACAGACAACTTTTGCGTTTCCAAATTCCATGTAAGTTGATCCATTTGCTTGGCTTATCAGGCCAGACTTCATGACTGTGGATTCCGAGATCATTGTTAAAGACAGCTTAAAAGCGAAAGTTTGTACGTCTTAGTTGGACTTACATATCGGTCGAATGTCGTCGATTCCTCGACCGTCTAGTCGTCTTTCCTTCGAATCAAGAATCTGCTTCTCTTCTGTGTGTTCTTCGACTGGAACAACGCTAAGTTCGGGTCCATTGACACGTTTTCTATCCATTTTGAATCAAACGAAAGGTGATCTATTGGGTCAAAAAAATTATTGAAAGCGACTTTTTTCATTTTTTGCCTTTTGGAATAAGTCACGTGGATGGCATTTTGGCTGGGAGGAGCAAGCGGGGATGGTGGCAATAGAGCTGCCTTTGTAACGTGCTGGTCTGTGAATGATGGTCCCTGCTATAGATGGTTTACAAGAGGCAGATCATTACATACGCAAGTATCTTACCGCTCAATTTATGTTCATTTAATGCCATGCCATGCTCATCCTTTTCGCTACAGACTATGACGCGTTCCTGGCCGAGGACTTTGACGCAAATCAGTATGTCAACAGTGCTATAAACGATTCCGATTCTTCAGAGGCAGGAGACGCTGCTACTGCGCTGGCAAAACTATCTTTCAACGTTGACAGCCTTGAAAAGCAGATAAAAGATCAGGTAGACCTAAAAACCGCCCGCCACCAATGGCCGATCATCCTATCTTAACACTCTATATCTTGATGCCATAGGTCACCTCACATCATGGAGTCTTGTTGCAACAGGTCATTGGAATAAGAGAGCTGGAGTCAGTTCTCATGACAGTCAACGACAGCATCGACGGCTTGAAGGAATCATTAGCGAGGTATGGGTTTTATTTCAGAGGATGTTCAAAATGAAAAAAAGAAAGTCGTGCTGACTTTTGATCACAGCTTGCGTAAGAGAATTCGAGAGCCAAACGAAAACCTTCAATCGTACATCGCGCAATTGGAACGCTTAGGATCTGCAGCTGATATTTTACGAGATGTGCACCGGTTTTTACATCTTTCGCGGCGACTAGAACTACAATACCCACTAGACTCAAGTTCTGGAAAGAATGTGACAGATGCACTGGATGCAAAAGTTAACACTGACCGAGATCTCAGCAAAGCAGCATTGACCTTATCTGAACTTGGTACGTTAATGAGAGAAGATGTTTTTCCAATTGATGGCAAGGTCTTCTTTATTCATACACCATTGCAGAATTGATTCTAGCAACCTCTGACTTCGATGGCATTGAAATTGTGGATGAACTGCGACCTCAGATAGAAAAAGCTCATGGTCGTATATTTGAGGAGGCCGATCGAGTCTTACAGCATGGAATTGAGACACAAAATCAAGCCGAGATTGCGGTTGGTTTGCAAGTTTTTTATAACCTCAAACATATGGCTAAGAAGGCGAACGAAGTAGTTAATAATGTAATTGAGGATGTTGTTCGAAATATCAAACATGTCGTCAATATGCAATCTATTCAGAAAGAGGTCAAAGGTACGTTAGGCTTGATTATTGAATGTAGTTAATCGAACTATCGACTCTGACCATATCCGATAGGCTTACTCCCAACTTCTAATACGGGCCCGCGAAGAGTCAATAATGAGCCGACTTTTGGCAACCAGGCAGTCTGGGCACAGGCAGTGTGGGGCAGAATGGAGAAATTGATGGATGTCTTTAGTGAATCTTGTATCAAGGTAGGTTTAAAAGAGATTTCTGCGACGGTGATCATGTCTGCCGATACTTACTGACATTTTGGCGGTATTACCAGATCAAGGTGTTGGAGCGTGTTCTTGAGATCAAAAGAGACCCTACTACCCATGTTCCTTTCCTAGAGGAGGTTGTCAAGGTGGGTAACAGATCATATTGGGAATTCGGATGAAGTAAAAGCTAACCCTGTACTCAAGTTGATGGAAGATGGAAGTAACCTTGTTAATCATTTCTGGAGAGTATTGTCTGTCAATTTCGAACGAGAGATCCGCGAAGCAACAAAAGGTAGAACTATAACCAGCTGGCTCTTTGTTTCATTACAGCATAATACTCATCTATGCATGTTTAGCTTCTGTTTTCTTACAGAATACTCTAGTTGGAGAGTATCCAAAGCTGCTTCGCTATCTCCACACCTTTTTCTCCCGAGTAGCTATACATGACGGAATGGCATTGTCTGAATACTCTCAAAGGTCAGTAGCATACCCTTCATATGTGCATGTCACTAAAGCACCTAACATTAACCTTCCTGCAGCCCAGAATATGTGATCATGCTGCGAACTATGTCGAGCCTTGAATCAGGGTTCCTGGCTCGCTCTCTCAACCGTATGTACGAACCCATCAACACAGCGTTTCCTGCGTATGGTGGTGCATCTAGAGTACCTCCCGGTCGAACAGAAAATCTGTTAATTGTTCGTGCAATCAGCAGGTAAGCATAGAATGTAAATACTTTTTATCTTGCAATGGACACTGGAGCTGACCTTTGTGCTTGGTTTCTTAGCGAACTTGAAATGGCAAAGTTTGACAATACGCTAGTCAGAGCAGTGGCTAAGAATGCAGTAAAGGCAATGAACATGTATAACGTGAAATGCGAAGCACTGGTAAGTTTTGTTTGGTAATGTAGGTCACAATTTGTTTAGGAGATGACTAAACTCTTCATTTTCAGGTTAATTACGATCCATCTATATATCATGTATCGCAAACCAAGATAATATCAACACCTTTGAGCATGAACTTTAGCATTATCAATGGAGTATACCTGATGTACCAATCTATGTGGAAGGCCATTGAGGAATTCCCTGACGCAATCATCGACTTAATGAAGGATGGTGTAGAGGTAAGGTTCAAGGCAGTAAGCAGTTGAGATTTATGGTATATCTAACATACATGCCATTAGGGTTTCCGGAGATTGATGCTTTCCATTGTTCAACCTCTGATCGAGTACACAAAAAACGATCTGGATAATATTCTGTACGGGATAGACAAAGAAGATTTTTCAAGTTCATCACAAAAGCCATTCGATCCTACTGAGGAGGATTCTGGAAGTGCCTATATATTAGAACTGACAGATCGACTACGTTTCATACAATCCGAAATGTTTGGAAGATTTTCGTGCGGAACTGAACCACGGTCATGGTAAGTCACTTAACCGCACCCTTCGAGGATTGGGCTTACGGTTATACTAATTTATGTTGCGCTTTCTTACAACAGGGCAATTCAGATCGCAAAGCGAATAATACACGTTTTCATCTTTCAAGCAAGTTTAGTACGGCCATTGAGCGAAGTTGGAAAGTTGAAACTGGCTGCGGATATGGCTCAACTTGAATTCGCTGTGAGCCAGTTTGTGAGCGAACACGGCGTTACTTTAGACCAAATTGGAGATGAGTACAAGGCACTCCGGGCGATTCGACCTCTCCTCTTCTTAGACACCTCGCAACTATCTGCTGCACACCACACTGCCAACGTGCCTGACCTCATCATCCTCCACCACTTGATTGTTCGATCACCGCTTAATACGCTACCACTTCCCCACAAATACCACCATATGTCCAAGCCAGAGTATATGAAATGGGCCGACAAGCATAGTGAAAGCGAGACGATCAAGTTTGCAATTGAAGGAGTACAATCTGGTGATAGTAAACTTCTTGAATATCGATTGATTATGGACCGGTTTTCAGATCAATAAGTAAATAATGATGGTAATAAAAATAAGTCTGCCAATGAGTTCAGCAAATTTTTGGTATGCCCCTTTTTAAAAAGTGACCATTCTTTGCGCTCAAAGAAAAAAAAAAAAGGTTTGTTCCCGCTTTTTGACATGCAACTGAAGGCTCGAGTACAATTCGACCAGCCGTACACACACGAACTGGTCAAGAGCTCTTTGAAGGATCGCTCAAAATTCGACTGGATTATCGAAGAAGACATCACCGATGACTCCATCGCCGAAGGAGACCAAGTTCATTTGCAATGGCTGGAATATGAGCTGATCAACTGGGATAAGCTTGCCAGCCAGGAGACCGAGACACTTGCAAACTCGTACTGCATTCGAAAAGGATTAATTAGAAAGTCACAGATGGCCTACAACCTGACGAAATACATGTCCAAGCACCCAGACAGCATATTGAAAACAGCCATTCCTGAAACTTGGTTGTTCGAGCTGGATCATATTGACTATCTAGACGAAGCCATGAACGAAGTTTTTGAAGTCGAGCAAGATCTCGCTGATAATGAGGACCTGGAAACGAATAGAAAGGCGTTCATCATTAAGCCTAGTATGGCAAACAAAGCTGCTGGAATTCATATTTTCGATACCATGGAAGGACTTAAATCTTTGTTCGAACGTACTCGATTGGATGACAGTGATGAAGAAGAGGAAGAAGAAGAGAATGACGAAGAGGATGCTGAAGATGACAATCGTGAAAACGAAGATGGTGATAATGAGGGTGCCGAAGAGGAAGAGGAAGAGGAAGAAGTGGACTATGACGATGAAGATGAAGATGAAGAAGATCTCAGTCAAATTCGCGAATGGGTCATCCAACGTTACGTACAACACCCGTTGTTGCTCTGCGGAAATCGCAAGTTCCATGTTCGCGCATACGTTTTGGCTGTATCCAACATTCAAGTATACCTTTATAGCGATATGCTAGCCCTTTTTGCACTTAAGCCGTTCGACGAATCCGACTTATCTGATCAATTGTCCCACATCACAAACACCTGCATCCAAACTGGCGAAGACACATTTGTTGAAAACGACTCTGTTAAATTGTTCTGGGACCTTAAGAATGAAGAGGGTGTTACTCAGGAAAATCTCGACTCCATGTTTAAGCAAATGCAAGAAACGCTTCGTGATCTCTTTGACGCATGTTCTAGTGAGATGACAACCTTCCAAGCCATTCCTAACGCCTTTGAACTATATGGCGTCGACTTTTTGATTGATAGAGATATGCAAGTCTATTTCTTGGAGGCAAATGCGGTATGTATTTCCTTTCTTTGATTGATTGATATGTAATTGAGTTTGATCCTAACTCACTGCGTGTCCTCAAAGTTCCCCGATTTCAAGCAGACAGGCAATGAATTGCAGCATATCATCAGTGACCTCTTTGCAGAAACGATTCAACTGGCGGTCGATCCGTTCTTCGAAAGCAGCGGTGCCGACACATCCTCATCGGTACGCAAAGAACAAACACCTTCCAAATTTGTCAAAGTATTTGAGCGACAGTTACTCGGCCCTCGTTAGCCTATCTTAATGTATCTCAACGTTTATATTACATTGATACTATTTAGACAATAGCATAATAGATTCCTAATAGTACAATATTGTTTTCGCATTCATCTACATACCCCCTGCGCTTCCAGAGTATACCTTGGTGAGTCGCTCAGTGCCACCTCTAATTTTGGTCCAGGTAACTGGGCACCTTCCATGATCCTCAACATATCGGTAGGCGCACGTGTAGCAGAACACATAGCCAGATGGCAATGCTGTGGGATTATTGATTGGACGGGTCAGACAAAGGGGACACGTGTTTGGCGTCGATGGTACTTTGGTTCCTCGTGGGTCAGGCTACAAAGGAAAAGAAAAATAAGCATTTGCGTTGAACTGAGGACTAAGGATGAAAGGTACATTACCTTGACCTTCTCAGGGGGTGGAATAATATTGGCTTCCTCGTCTCCATAGGCTCCGGTTCTTCCTCCGCCTCGAGCGAATTCCGAAGCATACCACCATTCCAAAAACTTGAAGAAGAAAATGGACATCGGAAGCAAAACCTTCAACAGCTCAATCATCTTACCCAGCACAGTGCCGAGGAAGTGGGTAGATCGACCGATGACAGAGGTAGGCTGGACAGAAGGTACTCCCATCATGGATTTTTCATAATGAGCTCGCTGTGGAAGAGGAATGGTTTGTGAGTCAAGAGAAATTACCTTGGTATCAGGTGAGGACATATACTCACGTAGTCATCCATACTCATTCTCTTGACTTCTATGTCAAGAATGCGAAGCCAAGGAGTATAATATTTTGTTTTGCCAAATAGATAGCCGATATTATAGCATAAATTAGATCCATAGTACAACATGTTAACAACAGGATATACTTTTCGGAAGATTCGCTTCAGGTGAACAACAGCTTTAGTTCTGACAGACGCAGAGGGGTCGTTTAATATCTCCAACTCCCGTTCCTCTTGCTCGTTCTCCCCCAGTAATGAAGCTGACGCTCCACCTGACACCTGTGAATAGAGCAAATCCAGCTTGCTTTTTATATATGGAAGGCCAACCAGGAACAATAGCGATCGATTGATGTCCTTAGTAGATAGCTTTTGGCTGGATTGATCGCTTCCTGGAGCAATGAATTGGCCATTTGTAGCAGCCTGGGTAGCGACTCTCTTAAGGCCATAGAAATTTTCGGCAAATGAAGCACCTAGTAAAAGGTTACATAAGTCACAATGGCGCTTGTAATTAAAACCCCACCCAAAATGAATCACATACCCCACTCCTTCAAATAATGTCGTTCGATTAATAGCATGAGGCCAGCGTAGAATTCTTCGTGCTTATTGACAATGCGAATCAAAAATCTCGGATATCGTTGAGCATAGACCTGCAACGGAAGGAAATTAGTAAGAAACGTCCTATGCAGTGCAGTCGAAAGCCCTGTCAAATAACTTACAGCAAGTACATATTGCACTGCAGGTTGTAGCATCTCTCTGAGCTTCTCTTGAGCAATCAGTTCAAACAAGGAGGGCCGGTAGGCGTCCTCTTGCGAACCCAATGCGCTCATGAACTCCATTTTGAGCTGAATGTACGAGTAAACGGTAGAGTCTGTGAAATGAGAGTGGGATTTGAGCTTTGTCATGTGAAGTCCAAATCCAAAATTGAAAAGACTCATAAAATCCAATCGACGTCACATAGGCATTTTCAGCTCAGGCTCAAACGGGAAGCCAAACAAGGCTCAAAAAACTGGCACCCAACGCACGAAGCCGTTCCCAGAAACCCTTTCCAACTCCCAATTACATCTAATCGGTTGATAGCCATTACATCTCTTAGACGTTCCTACCACTTGCTTTTAAAAAACTTAACTTGCATTAAGCTCAGATCCGTAAAAAATGTCGTCTGAAGTCGACACTGAGCTCGTGCAGCTCGAATTATCGCCTCAATTAAGAGCAAACTCATCGTTCATGAAGATCATGGCAACTTTGTTTTACTATGGAAACTCTGCAATGAATGCTGCTCAACTTGTTGTTGCAGTACGTGCCCTGAATCTTTTGCCACTTAGGTAAGACTTGTTTCAATTTTGAATCCAAGGTATAGCCCATGTGCAGGGCTAGGCCATTGAGCCCTACCAGTGCCCATGCTTTTCTCAGTCTTTGTTTCATCACGAGCGGTCAAGCATCCCAGGGCCTAGATCAATAGTTTTGCCATGCGGCTATTTTCTCACGCGATTCTCCCTGCATGCGTCATTTTACCATCAAATTAACTGACCTTTTTTTGTACCATTAACAGAGGCGAAACACCGAGAAGTACAATTCAAGGAATTATCTCTACGTCCAGAAAGACAGCAAGAGACCTGCATCAGCCCGACCCATTTCAAATTGATAGAGATAACAGTGCGCGAGGGGCTGTATACTCCATAGCACCAGAAGTCTTGAATGGTGCTGAACCTCTACAAGGACATGATGTTCCTGACGAGCCTATCGTCCTCAAACCTGTACGTCGCGAAACTACTGGCTCTTCTGGAGGTGGTGGTGGTAGTGGAAGCTCCATGATTAATAAGCGAGCAAGGAAGGCTCCAAAACCATATGAACCTTCATCCTTCCGCCCAAGTTCAAAGTCCAGTAAGCTGCGGCGCCCTGGATCAAAATCGAGCAATGGCTCATCTAAATCACGTACACGCAAGGTCCAATATCGGGATGATTCAGATTCTGATCTGTTTTCGGATGACGACGATGTAGATACTGATGATAGGTACGTCTGACTTACCTTTCTTTTGATTCTTTTTTCTCTTTTTAAAAAAAAAAAAAAGAAAGGAAGACATTAACAGCCAGCATCTATCTAGCGCTTCGGGTACAGGTTCACCTAATGGCTCTCGATCCAATTCGCGTGACCGCCTACCTATAGATGATGACACAATCAAAATATATTCATTGCTGTATGCACCGCCGACAGATGACCTCAACTATATACAAACAGCCAATGTTGAACGATATCCAGCAGCTTCTCATTTTGCTGTGTCACAACAGACTGGCTATTCATACCCGCGATTCCGATCACACGACAAAATCAAGATACCAAAAGACTGCTGCGAAGATAGGTTTGCTGTTCGCGACATCAAATTGCTAGACGAAAAGACACAAGAGCTCTCGATAGCTGGTAGAGTCTTCGTTCTTGCAGATGGTCATGGTGGTCCAGGTTGCTCAGAATACTTTATCCGACACGTCCCAGTTGCCGTTCAAACCATATGCGCAAAATATACAGCGGAACAAGTGAGCGAGCTCGAAATCCAAACTAAACTGGAAGTCGAGTTCAAAGATATGGTTGCTGAATTGGATGAAGAGTATCTTTCCATCAAGCGCGAGGAATTTCAAAAACAAGCAGAATTAATGGAAGTAGATAAGGCAAAGAAATTGGAACCAGCGACGGCTGGTGACTCTGATGCCATGGAGACAGACGAGGCATCCGACAACCCCGGCACAAAAGTGAATAATGACGGATGTACACTCATCATTAACTTGCTGGTGGGCGAATGGCTTGTTAATATCAACGTTGGCGACTCGAGAACCATTCTGATGTCAGCTCCAGAGTATACGAAAACCAACGTGAACGGCTATGATTATAGCAATTCACCAGTGATTGATCAAAACTACAAGATGGATGTCGTGTTCGCATCGCAAGACCATAAACCCTATTTAGAGCATTTGGCGCGCGAAATCATGGACAAGGGCGGTGAATTTGTTGATTCGGTTCAAAATCGGGTAATTCGAGTAGATCTTGATAAGACCAAGGATGATGGAAATCGACATGCAAAGCGACTGGCCTTAAAACATGCTCGTATTCGACCTCGCGATTACCAACCTCCTGCCGGCCACGAGTACTGGAAAGCCAACTCTTCTTCTCCTAATTCCCCATTCACCATTAATGGCAATGGGCAACAAGTCAAAGTTCGTATACGTGACGATAAAATCCCATCTCTCAATGTAGCCCGGTCGTGCGGTGACTTGGACTTCAAAATGGACCCCAAACGCAAGATCATCTCATGCGAACCTGATATCACTTTTGTTCGGGTTCTGGACCACAGTCATCGACAACAAGTAGCTCATGAAGGAAATGCCATCGTCGACAGCAAAACTAAACCAAGACGCTATTTCTTATTCATGAGCAGTGATGGATGTTTCGATCATATGCATGAAGAAATTCCAGAGAAACAGAACCGAATCGTTGCCAAAGGACTCGGACATTTCATTGAAGAAGGAGAAAAGTTTGGAGAAGCTTACTGGAGTCGAGAAGAAGATGAGATACTGGATGCTTTGGAAAAGCAAGCAAGTGACGCCGCCGCGACAGCCACTCAACCGCCTAGTAGTGCTACCGACATTTCTACGGTGAAACCCGCTGCAGACACCACCAATTCCCACGAAAACACCATTGACAATACGACAACAGCCATGGAAACCACCGCCACAGAGGACGGAGCTACTGCAGATGTGTCAGCGACTATTGATCATACTGCAGGTACACCCATGCAAACCGATACACCGCCTGTTATGGATGGAGTAGACCCACCAAGGGCTGCACCTCGACCCTTGCTGGTGGTGCCTGAGTTGCCTAGAGAAGAAATCAAACGACGTCGTATTAAGGAGCGCATCTTAGCGAATACCGTGCGATATTTCACCAACCGTGAAGGAGATCTCGCTGTTTTTTCATCCACACTTCAGGATTATGATGATTGCACTATTGTCCTTGTGGAGATATAAAACAACAAAAAGAACCACCTCCGCTCAAAACAAAACTCTTCTGTCATTTCTTTACTTTAGCCTGTAAATGTAGTCCTCAGATGCTTCGCCCTTGATATCGATGGTCTGTACATAATTGCAACCTCTTTTTCCCTCCTCACGACCCATGTTTCCTCTCTTCTCTCTCTCTTTCTGTCTCTTCTTCCGTGCCCCATACGTTTTGTTCTGCTCGATAATAAAACAGATCCTATTCATCGAAGAAGGTTTATGTCAGCTCCGTTTTTCCCCAAATGAGTTTCTAATCTACCCGCTCTAAAAGAATAACCGGGAAGCACACAGCCTATTTTACGTGCCGAATAAAAGAAGGACCCACCCCCACGTAACTTACTCTACACTTACCCCACATCTCTGCCATTTAGACATGTCCATTCAACTCAAAGGAAAAGCTGCATTGTAAGTTGGTTCCATTCACACGCACGCGGGCAGAGGACATGCCTCTTACTCATTCTCGGTTATTTCCAGCGTCACTGGTGGCGGTACTGGTCTTGGTGCTGCTGTATGCGAACTTTATGCCCAAGAAGGCATGAACCTCGCTATTGGCTACAGCCGCTCTTCCACTGACGCAGAGGCTCTTGCCAAGAGACTCTCTGAGACCTACGGCATCAAGGCTTACACTGTCCAGGCCGACCTCTCCAAGACTGGCGTGGCCGAGAAGTCCGTGGATGAAGCCTACGAGCTTCTTGGTGGATTGGACGTCTTGGTCAACAATGCAGGCATGACCAAGTTCTGCGCCTTTGACGACCTTGATGGTCTCCAAGAAGAAGACTGGGATAATATCCTCACTGTCAATACTCGTTCTGTGTTCTTCACCTCCCGTTCTGCACTCAAGTACTTTGTCAAGAACAAGGATGGTGGCTGCATCATCAATACCACTTCCGGTAAGTTGCCGAAATTGACCACGACGTTGCCAAATAGTTGACTGACTTTATTGTAGTGGCTGCCTCCAGGGTCGTCGGTTCCTCCATCGCATATTGCACAAGCAAAGCCGGCATGTCCCATGTCACCAGGTGCTTGGCCCGAGCCATGGGTAAGGACAATGTCCGTGTCAACGGTATTGCTCCCGGATTTTTGGAAACCCGCTGGCAACAGGGTAGAGAGAAGGACGCACGCGCTGCTGCTGCCGTTTCCGCTCTGCAAAGAACCACCTCCATTGAAGAATGCGCTGAACCCTATGTCATGCTTGCTAAGAACGCAAGCATTACCGGCGAGATCATTACCGTTGATGCTGGTCTGAGCGTCGGAACCACTGTTATGTAATGTCGAATACCGTCATGCTGGCCATCTTTCTGCACAGGACATAACGATTTCGAAATAAAAATATAAAGGCAAAAAATCCCCATTGACCTGGTGAAAAGAACAATGGAGTTTGAAATTATAAATTGAGCAGAAAATTAGGGATCGACAGCCCAATTTATTGAGTGTAGCCATCAAGGCTTTTAAAAAAGAATAATTCAATAGAAACGTCTTGAAAAATATGACACTGATTACGGTATAATGTACAAACACGACAAAGCTCCTTTAGCACATTTGAGCGCAAGACATGCTACGTGGTCGCTTGATGCAAAGACACACAGCGGCTATGAAGATGGCGACAACGACGATGACAGCAGCCACTGCTCCAGTGGTAGAAGTAGTGAGGCCACGCTTCACGATTAGATGGGATATTTGACTTTCATATGCATTGGTATAGGTATCCATGATGGGTAGGAATGAAATGTGTGTAGTTTAGGATATGATGGTGTTGTGAGGGGTATGCGGAAAGGAAGGGAATAGACTCGAACAAAATCGAGATGGTGCGCAAGATGAGAGAACAAGAAAAAGATGAATGGAATCTCGAGATGCCGCAACGGAAAATTGGTTGGCTCTCCCCACTAGCTTACAAGGCGTTAGACTCCATATTAGAACTCCCACCACTTCTTCTGAGCCTGTCGTTCATTGTAATCCTTAATGGCCTTTAAAAAGTCTCCAGAAGCTTGGTTGACTTCTTTAAACTTTTGATCCAGCTCATTCAAGCGTTCTCCTCTCTCATTGACCTTGTTGTTAAGTTCCTGGAAAACGTTTCCTTGCCCTTGCCCTGGTGTCTGCTGTCGTTTTTGGGTGCTTGGCGCCTTGGGCAGGGGCCGATCTTTTCCACCAACTAAAAAAAATTTTGTGTTAGTAACCAGGGCAATTTATGTGGATCAGCGAATCATTGAACAGCATAATTTACCCAGTAAGTCTAATTCTTGCAAGCTCAAGCTTTCTCTCTGAAGACCAGCCGTAACACTCGCAAACCATGATTTGTTACCGGTGGCCGTGTGAGAGCTTGGTCGCACTGGTAAATTGCGACTTGGGTCATGCAACTTAATGGATTCTTCGTATCGCCTGTGGAAAAAAATTCGGTCATTATACGGTCCAAGTGTCACAACTACTCCTTCCACACAACATGTTGTATTTATAGAATAACTAACTCACATGTTTGGCTGAACTAGGAAGGCAATTTGCGCTACCTCCATGGGATCACTTGATACCATGAGCCGACCATCTTGAAGAATCTGTGATCGCACCTTTTCATATCGTGTCTCTACTGTCCCAATAAGTTCCAATTGAGGTAATGAAAATACGTCCAAGTTTCCATTCGAAAGGAGACACGCCAGTGCAATGCCACCTACCATTTTTTTTCACATCAGATAGTGCAAAAGTAATATATACTTTGGTTATATGATAACTTACCGTCACAACGAACAAGATTTGAACTGCGAATACTGGTATTGGTGTCTTCTTCAGTGACCTCGGCAGTACTGAAGCTGAACAATTTAAGTGGGGATACGTTCAGGTGAACCCGTATACCCATTTCGGTAACAATGATGCAAAAGTGCGGATTCTTTTGTACCCTCATTCGTGATGCTTTGGGACTGTCGGAAGTATCGCGAGTCGTCTTACTGCGGCGAGGTGAAGGAGAAGCTTTACTGGATTTGCTTTGCTTTCTGGTCAAAGAACGTTTCAAAAATCCAGATGCACCATCCGCTGTCGCCTCCTCCTCTTGCTCAGCGACAGGCTGTTCCAGAGGTTGTGCAGGCAGACTAGGCACGGGCTCTGCGCTAAGAATAGTTTCTTTATCTGCTTGAGTGTCAACATTGACATCTGATGTGTGCTCCTGTCCTTGAAGATCGATGACATAGACATCCTGAATTCGGGACCCAAGAGGGCCGAAAACTTGATCTGATCCCAACACCGTCCATGAAGAATTATCGTCGCCCAAGCTGATTTGCCACAGGCTGCCATCCGACTTGCCAACCAGTAACTGCAAAACGCTTATCTTGTCTGTATGACAATGGTCAGATAACATTCCAAATAGAGAAATTACATCTGTAATGGCTATATTTACGTACCTGAATTGGGAGGATAAGAATGAACAAACTTGACCATCGTGATGGCTATGTCAGCGGCTGCTTCATCAGTTTGAGTGTCTTCGACATTTCCATCATCTACTGGTCCAGATCCGATAGCCGAGTCGAATACAATCCTGCGTGCATGAGTATCCACAATGTAGATATGCCCGCTCTTTGCTGCAACCGCCAATCTGGTTTACCAAGTTCAGACATTTTTTTTATCGTCAGTGCATCACGTACGTAAGGCAATGAAACAAACGTGTACTTACAATCCTGTGCTTGACTGAGCTAATGCAACAATATCATACAATGAGGTATGAAGAGTGAAGTCTGGCACATACATTCCGGGTTGGTATTGTTTCTGTGGGTGAATCTCAATGCGAGGTGCGTTTTGTAAACAAAAATGTTCAAGTTGTTCGACAAGATGTTGTTCTATGTTGCCGATTGAAGTTGACTTTGGACTTTCCGTTACCGGTACGGCTGTCGGTGCTTGCGGTGAACCAGATGTTTCTGCCACAGGCTCATGTGATGGTGGATCGCTAACAAATGGATTTGTGGAATCGGCGCCAGATCCTGAAGTTGGTGAAGCATGTTCATCGGATGCCATGGGAAGATCTGTATCTTCCGTGGTCATAGACTCTACATAACTGTCAAGTGTTTCCAGGTTCTTCTGCGTCATCCGCAAATCATGAACTACATGGCTGTTATTTTCGCTTTCTGTCACAGGTTCCTTCTCCTCAGGTCGATTCAGCACAAAGCAAATCACAGCACCAGATGCATAAGCGACTGTCAACAATCCTGTGTTTTCCGAAAAGTCGAACAGGGTTATTTCAGATGGTTGTGCGAGGAATTGTTGCGTACGTAGTGTATGCTGAGGTAGTGGTCGCAATGAAACAAAGGAAGAATCCCACATCCGTATGATACCACTCTCATGCGCTGTAATCATCAAATCGGCGGTCTCTAATCGATACACATGCCTTGGTCCGGCAATGCCACCAGTCAGTGGCAAATAAGGTTGGCGGGCAGAAGTGGGCGGTGGAGCCATCAGTGCCTCATACAGCTGACCGTCAACATTAGTATATTGACGAAATTGTCGGAGCCATGGTGAAGAAAATGAGAAGGCGGATGGCAACAAGAATTCAGCATAACCTTGTTGAAGGCTGAAAGCTAAGATTTCTCCTTTTGTCGTCAATACAGCAAGACCTAAAGGATCATGTGTGCCCAGAAAATATGGAGACGTCCAAGGCATGATGGTAAAATCACCCACTTCAGCTTGTACTGGAAGGATGGATTGTCGTGCTGGATCTCGGAAAGTCGAATCCTTGTTGAACATCAGCACATTAATTCCATGATTGTCCGAAGGATGTGTACCTCCGGCTACGACAAGATAGGTTTCTGAAAAGTCAGCATTTGAGCACCATGCCAGACGATAAATGGGTTCGTTCAAAACGGTTCTGTCTTGATTTTTATGGTGTTCTTGAAAGACATAGCGGTAGGCGATAGGCTGATCTTCATGTTGAATATCCCACAAACACAACAGTCCATCGTCGTATCCGACTACAAATTGGGACTCGCCGTTAGGTTTCCAGCTCATGGCCGTAACTCTCGACCTGTGAGCCGCCGATGTGCCAAACTCGAACACACGAACAGCAACGTTGTCTCGAAGGTTCCAGAGAATGACGGCCGTTTCGTAGGCAATAAGCAGTTGGTTGAGGTCGGTGGAGTGAAATTGAATGTCTGACACTAGCTCGACCTTTGGATGGCGCAGCTTTGGTGAGCCTTCCAGTCCTCGTTTCATTTGCTCTTCGGCTTGGAATTTCTGCCACTCTGTCATCAGATCAGGAATTCGATACGGTGACATTTTTCCAACACGCAAGTCGAAGACGTCAATGGTCCCATCTGCCAGTCCTAAGAAGAGCCAGTCCGCACCAGGCACTATTTCTATACTAGTCACATATCCACGAACAGCTAGAGTCGAGTAAATACGTTGAGTGTTGAGATCAAAGACCGTCAATATGTTGCGACTGTCGACGACGGCAAGTTTAGGTTGACCACATTGGAATGTCAAATACTTGATAGGAGCAGGCTTTTCAATTTGTAAAGTGCATGATATGCCTTTCCCGAAAATCTTTACACAGCCTTTCTTCGTACCTAGCCGAAGAGCATTTCCGACGCGATGAACCATGATGAGCATGCATATGTGTTTCTCTCCATTCATGAAATGCTACTTACCAATAGCCAAAATACTTTGTACCGGATCAAACCCAATAGAGGTAGCAGGGCCGGGAGTACCGTAGGTTGCGACCTTCCATATTTTGAAAGTTATTTTACGTGGCACTACCTAGCAAAGAGGAACGTTATCAGTGGGCTTCAAACTTACATTTTCCAGAGCGAAGTGATTTGCGGTGATAGCTGTGGAAAGAGGGTCTTCCAGTCTCTTGTCTCTGGCCAGGGCAGCTCTTGCTGTACCTGTCTCTTTTGCCCAGGACTTAAAAGCACCTAGTCTTTCGAATAAAGCCATGAGGTATTGCGGGTAGGACAAAGGCGGAAAGTGGACCCAGGCTCATATAATCAGTGCATTCTTTTTTGAGACACCGCTAAGCAATTCGTGGTTTTGGCCCTGGCTTGTAAGCAAGCAGGCCTGAGCTGAGCTGCTTTGGCTCCCCTGCTATGAGCTTGGTGGTACACGACTGCAACACACCACACCACGCCGCTCTCCTTTTTATCACCCATCGATCAATTACCGCAAACAGTCAATTACGTGAACAAACGGAGCTGTTATGGTTTGTGGCCTAATACACACCCACTTGACCACATGACAACCCACGTACCGTAGATCTTGTCCTGCTTTTCAAATGTCTACTTCGGCTCAGATGTAGGTGATGAAAACAGGCGTGCTTTTATGAAAAATAGCCATCAAATCAAGCAAATCTCGGTAGTTACAGTGGATAGCTAAAGCGGCCAGTCAAATTTAAAGAAGTTACAGCCCTATTGGCCTCCAAAGCCTAGTCTTCCCATGGACTCAACCATGCCGTCATAACTTCATAGCATGTACAACAAGGAAAAGATTGTCCAAAATGGAAAGGTGATATTCAATTGCTTGCCTAACAATCACAAACACGTATAAAAAGGACGCAACGCCCTGTTACATTTTGAATATTATCATACTCTCTTCAAACATGAAATTCTCTCTCGCTCTCGTTACCTTGATGGCTGCTGCTGCCATGGCTAAGCCCACCGACAGCTCAATGGACTCCTCGGACATGGCTACTGCCACTGCTTCTGGAACCGATTCCGCATCCATGTCCATGAACACCGCCGCTGCCTCTTCCTTGGCTTCCATCCTCTCCTCTGTCTCCTCCAATGCTGCCAGTGTTTTCACCAACTACCCCAGCGCCTCCTTAACTTTGAACGTCAGCGCCTCTGGAACGTAAGTTGAATTCTATTTTTTTTTCTTTTCTGGGGAAATGCCCAAGGCACTTACATCATTGTATAACTTTGTGTAGTACCGGTATGCCTGCTTCGGCCACCGCAAACTCCTCTGCTGCTGCTACCTCCAGCAGCTCTGCTGCCAACAAGAACGTCATCATGGGAGCCTCCGCTCTTCTCATTGCCGTCGCTGCTGGTGCTCAACTCTTGTAAATTCCTTACATAGTACCCTATTTAAAATGTCGCCCCCTTTGAGGCTTCATAAACGCTTTACCCCACACCTACCTTAAAGAACATTTGTTAGTACTATCTATTATTTAAGAATAAAAGTTTCCTCGGAGAGAACATTACCCATGTTTAACAGAAGAAAAAGAAAGAGTCTTTGCCCGTTGCATTAACCTGTTTGTCTCGGCGTTTTTCAATCTGTCGCTGAAACACTGACGTTTGAGTATTCTCAATAAATGTGTTGAAAGGCTACGCATCGTGAAGCGTATTTCCCTTTCCTACTTCCTATTGTCATGTCGACGTTTGATAACACCAACTACGAAAAAAATGCTGGTCAAGGTAGTGTGTTTTATAATCCAGACTTACCTCTTTGATCACGAAGTACTGACGTGAATTTTTGCCCATTCCCATTTTCCTTGGCCACCCAAAAAAAAAAAACCTCAGCCGCATCATACGGCCAAACTAATGTAAACACGGGTACTGGAGCTTATGGTGCATCTACTGCTGACAATGGTGCTTTCGGTGGGTCTGGTACTGGAGCTTATGGTGGGTCTACCGCTGGTACTGGAACTGGAGCTTATGGTACATCTGGAACTGGAACTGGAGCTTATGGTACATCTGGTACTGGCACTGGTGCTTATGGTACTTCTACCACCGGTACCGACACTTACGGCCAATCCACCACTGGAGCTTATCCTGAAACCGCTTATACGACCCCCGGCGCCAACAAGGAAAGTACTGGCTACCCCGGCACTAATTTTAATGCCACAGCACCCGAGGGTGCTTATGCTCAAGACGCCGGATACGGTCAATACAGCGATCCCAACACTCAGCCTCCAAATAACTTCATGGCGGCCAAGACTCAACAATTCACTGCATACTACACGCCTGAAGATTCATCGCTCATGTGGAAGAGAAGACTTTGCACTGCGCTTTGCTGTTGTATTTGCCTAGGTCTTATCATTGGTATTCCCGCTGGTTTCACCAGTGGTCATAGCAACGCCGGATGCGAATGCTGGACCAACAATGACTGCTACAGTTACTACGGACCAGGTGTTTACTGCTACTCCGACTGCAGATGTTATCGCTGATAGAGACATCATGGAATGCATTGATGATGAAACATATAATACGTTTATAAAATTTTTACGCATCCATTGAATAATAATATGCTAATAAAGTAATGCCCCAAAAAAAAAAAAAAAAGAATTCGTGGCCAGTGTAGGTCTGTGGATCAACGAGCTCTCCGGGACTTTTACATGAAATTGTGAATTTGTAGTGACATACCCATGGCAACTCTTTTCATCTCATGTTGGAGAAGGATTGTATCCAATATAACTGCTGCTACCCACAATTCTCCAGACCACTCAACATTACCATATCGGTATCCATCTGTAACCGGAATTTTCACATTGTTAGCCTCTGTTGCTTCATTAATCCGGTTTCTCAAAATAAAATGGGAGTAAAGTCTTGAAACATTCCAAGCTTGCGGCTACTTAACTTTGCTAGCCATTATAACCCTTGTTTCAATTGATAGTATACTACTTACATCAAACCCATGCTGTTGCCTAGCGCTAAGTTATACTCCTTAACATTGTGTTATCATGGGTGGACGGGCCCTCATGCCACCTGCTTGTAAGACTTTATAAGACTAAGATCCAAATTCATTGTTTTAAAAATTTGGAGGGCTGAACAGTCGAACTTGAAAGTAAATCGATCAGACGCTTCTATTTGTAGTTGAATGGTCTGGAGTGCAGATAAAGATACTCTAAAACTACATATTTATTTTACCTGCTTGAGATGGTTGCCCATGCTGCGTCTGCTTGTGTTTGACAAGCGGTCCAAATGAAGATTATGGCTGGTTAGGAAGGTCAGAGCGGCAACACTGCAATAGAAATTTGAAATGAGAAGCTATACTTTATCCATCAACTGACTATAAACGTTGAAATGAGCAAAGCGGTAAAAACTTGTGGCTCTCATCTATCGATTCAATATACAGGCAGATTTGAAACTTCTTAACGTTGATGGACTCTCATTTCATACTCTCAAATTGATGCCACTCACACACACATACGATGTTTTGTTGAACAATCACAGCCTGCTGCTGAATCTCTGTGTAATTCCCAACATTGTATGGCATTGTACAGGGCACAGCATAAGCTAGGCCATACTCCGCCGTCATAGCGAAAACAGCACCGGTCAATGGATGGGTGAAAAATACGTAAATTTAGTTGAATCATAGTAAAAAAGCTCGATATTAAATGGATAACAGGAAGAAAAAGACATGCTTGGTGACAAGGTAGAAGAAGTAAATACGAAAGAAGCTAAACAACAAAAGTGGTATATGTGCATACATTATCGCGTTGGATGCTAGAGTAACAAATGACAAACATGGATGAGGGCTGTAAGATATGATACAGTGATTAATTCTATAACCAACTTGAAAAACCAGAATAGTAAAAGAAAATAAAGAAACGCAGCATCTATATGTTATGACACACCCATCCACTTGGTGAAGAGCGGTCAGGGTTGATTTGCCACAAACCCCAGTAATGACTGTCAAGCTTCATGACCCCAATGGAAGTCACTTCTTGTCGGGTCACTGTCTTTAGTCTAACATAGCCTTCCGCCACCACGTCATGGTCAGACTCCACGGAACGGAAGAGGTCATCATCGTCGTTGCCAAGGCCAGGCGTCGATGGTTCAAGAAGGGAAGTGGAGCTTCTTTCCGAAACCGGGGTATAAGACGTAGTGGTGGGCATTGTTTTGACGGCTTCGATGAAGGAATCAATGTCTGTGACGGGCTTTCCCTGAACTTCCGTGATCCAAACACCGGGTCGAAGAGAGCTTGAAGCAGGAGAACCATAGAGTGTGCATGACACGTAGATACCACCGGGTACTTTCGACACTTGTTCACGCACAGCACGATAAGGCTCTTGGATCAATGCACCTTGCCAGCCAATGATACGGTCTGTTTCCTTGCCATCGAATCGAGTGGTAGGCACCTTCAACTTCAATTCTTGAGTGTCACGGAAGACAATCAATTCCACCATTTCGACATCCATAAGTCGGTTGATGTCGGCCATGTTGGTCACTACTTCGCCATTCATTTGCAGGATAACATCGCCCACCTTGAGGATGGATGCGCATGGGCTAAGGACATCGGTCAAGTTCAAGATGTAATAGAAACGGTGCTTGGACCCGCTTGTAGATTCGATCTTCTTGATCCATTTAGCAGGGACGCCAAGGTCTCGGGCACTGGAGACACCCATGGTCCAGAACTCTACATCCAATGCACGAACACAAGGATGACCATTCATGTACTTTTCGATCATGGGCTCGATCAAGTCGACAGATAGACCAGACATGAATTGCACATCCTTGCCACTATCGTTTTGCGAGGAGAAGCTGAGCCAAAGTGCTTGGACGGAACCATCCGTCTCATCTGCCAAAACGCCTCCTTGACTAGAAATAGTATCGTCCACTTTGATGGACTCAACATTCATGGCGCGCCAGCGAGGTGGTGAGCATTCTCGAGTACCCACACTGCCAGTGGATGAGACCACGGTATGCTTCATCAGCAAAGTCTGATCCCCCGAAAGACCCACAAAGGTAGTATTGTCACCTTGGCGCAATTGCTTCTTTGACATTTTGATGGCTCGAATAGGTGTTTTGCCAAGCAGAGAAGCATCATAGGAGAGCAAGGCGAAATTGTAAAATGGATGAAGGAACTCCAGTGTTCCGTTGAGACTGATACTGTTGGCAAAGTTGATGTGGATGTCGCCCACAGCCATTGGAACGGTATCTCTGTCACAAATGATCAAAGGAGGATTGGTGGAAAGAATGATGCCAGTGCCATAGTAGTGGGTGTTGCTAATACCATCGATCAAGAAAGGCAAATTGAAGTCAATGTGAACAATGGATGGCTGTAGAATCTCGGCCAAGCTCAAGGACGAGTCCAATGCGGGGAAACTAGCAGTGGCAGGCTGCTGATAAAATTTGGCAGTGGTATTAGGCATATCCTGATAGTCCCATAATCCAGTGACATCGTTTCTCTTTGCGATTTTGAACGTAGACCAGTGCTTGTCGACATGCATCAACATGATCTTGTGCTTGTATGCCTTGGAGAGAGTCCAATACTTGATGGGCACACGAGAACCATCAGGTAGTGTTTTCATGACATTAATAAAGTCATCCAAATGTGGGGTAGGGACATTGTTGACTGACACGATCACACTTTTTCTCCAAGCAGACGCTGTGGCAAGCATGTGACCAGCTGAGGCGACATAGACTCCGCCAACAGGGATACCATAGGATTTGGCAAGTTGATAGGATAACTCATTGACAATACCACCACCGACTTCAACGAAACGATCTGGGGTAATTGAGTGAAGGTCTTGAACTTTGATGGTCACCTGCATCAACTGACTAGCTCTCGAGATCGTCAAGGTGATAGTGTCGTTCACGTTATCGTCAATGACTGCAAATAGATCAATGAAGTTGCTTGTGATCTTGCCGTTGCAGGAGAGGAGAATATCGCCAGACATCAAGATGCCATCAGCAGGACCATTTCTCAACAATTGACGAACAACCAAAAGTCCGGTTTCTTGAGGGAACTTCTTTCGGATTTTTTGTTCAACATTGCTTCGCAAGCCAAGTCTGTGAGCTTCGTCATAAGGGATATGCTCAAACTCTGTTTGCAGAGTACCACGGGGTACGGTTAATCCTTGTTGAATGTAGAGGAGAGCACGTTTGATGCGATCCAAAGGTAGGTAGAAACTCGAGGAAGCCTTGCTTGCACCGCCTGCATTCAAAGCAACAGCATGTCCATGAATGTCTAGCACAGGACTACCGCTAGAGCCACCACTGGTTCCCGAAGCCGCCTGTATGTAGAAGGTATTCCAATCGTTGTATTCACCCGTACCATAAAAGGGAGCTCTAAAAAAAAAAGATAATCAGATTAGCAGCTAGCATGTATCGAGAAAAGTGGAAAGTCAATGCCTCTTACCTTCTGTCCAGACGGGCCAATGTGCCGGCCAAAATACTAAGTTTTTCACCAGCATCGTTTCTGTAGAAAGAAGTGTTAGCCGCTGACCGCATGATATACACCACATTATGTTCCATGCACTTACCCTACCACCCTGATATCCAAGCCCACCTTTGCCCGCTCAGGACTTAAGGGAATCTCCTCCAAGTCCATAAACTTGACCTTGGTAGGGTCGAATTGAAGAAAACCAAAGTCGTGAACAGGGTCACGGTAGATAGGCTTCAAGTCAACTTCTTCATAATTGACTAGAACCGCCTGAGCCACAATGGGAGCAGGTGAGACAACGTGTCTGTTTGATAACACCAGACCTCGTTTGGCATCGACCACAAAGCCCGTGGCGGTGTATGAACCTAATAATATGAGTGAAATAGCTTAATTTAGTAACCCTGGATATTAGAAAACGTTATCTCCTGACAAGAGTCAAATTACCTGCTGTCTCCGTATCAAAGCTGCGCACATGACTAGCCTTGATGGACACGATGCTCTGAATGCTCTTTTCCAAAGTACGTTCCCATGATTGTGTGTCCAAAACGGGTTGAGGTGGAGTAGTCAATGGGTCCACTTGAGGTTGAGCTTGGCCAGCAGGTTGACGTAGCAGAACATGGTCAGGGAATAAATCGTCTGCGGATTTTTCAAAAGGTCGAGGTGTATCAAATGGAATGGATTTTGAACGTTGTCGAACAAGAGGGGGCCGTGCGTCTCTCGACTGTCGCTCAAAATGAGGTTTGGTGATGTATGTCAATAGCGAGGGCGACATCATGACCAAGTTGGAAGGAATAAGAGAATGGGAGATAGAACCTTTCAACAAGAGAACCAATGTTTGTCAATGAAGGATGGCTTTTTATATTTGGCCCGCCCTGTCCAATATTTTTTTTTTTTTTTTAGAATAAGCGCTTGTAAAAAAAATAAGGTCAGCACGAAATGGCTTGCCCGGCCACCTGGAAGGCACCTCCCAAAACTGTGACCGTCACACTGCATTTAAAATTTCAAGCCATCTCATTGGTGAAAGTCAATTAATTGGAAGTAGACCCGCTTACCTTGAGCGATTGGTTTCAAAGTCTCGACTTTTGCATACTTCTTTGAAACCCCTTCTGTTACATTGAATGGCGCCATCCGCTCATGGCGTGATACGACTAGAAGCATTGCTGTCAAAGAGAAAGCCAGAAGAGATAACAAAATATTAGTCAATATGTCTCGTATCGGCAACACATCAATTGCACTAATCGGCGAAGCACCAATCGATTTTGCTTATTACAAAAATGGAAAATCTGGCCGACGAAGGTACCCAGGGCAATCAAAGCCGTAGTTGGTGAGTAGAACCTACCCACATCCCTAGAACGGCCCCTGAATTTTAGCGGTGTGTGATCATCCTTTAAGCTATCGTAGTGCAAAGCTAATTGACCTTGTGCTTTCACTCCACAAGATACAACACTGGTACTACCCCCATAAGCGCCTCCAGTCAGGGCTATCATTTTGATTGTAAAAATTTAACCTCTCTCTCAGCCACGGTGAGTCTAATTGTGTAGATAAGGTTAAACGGCGACACCTGACTTGCTATCTCGCGATACGGGACCTAACAATACCTTTCTTCCAATTGGTGTGTTTGTTTAGTATCCCCACACCTGCATATCCGTAGATGAATCGATCTTCGTGTCCACTAGATAAGAAAGTTTACCCGATGGACGATAGCGTGATGAGTAGACCATGCAGCTGGATGTCAAGTAAGGAGATGATCGCAAGCTATCAATGTGTCTAGGTTCATGGCAAGTGGCGGGGATCTTCAGGGCTGTGTGAGGGGCGACGTAAGGCTTTGTTTTTACATGAGTAATCATGGGGTTTACATCAAAAAAAGTTGTATAAAGCTTAGCTAGCAGTGACAAACCAAGGGTGTATGTAGATGAGCATTCAGATGTAAACGAGATGAAGTATGGATAGAGTAAAATGGATGAATGAAACAGCAGCTGAAGCGTACTTGGAAATGTTAAGGCCAGAAAATGCTGTGTGGTAGTGACAATTGTTATTTTGGTTATTGGAATGGCTAGCCACAGAACCTCCATGGGATTTTCTGCAGAACCTGGGTACTCAATGTATGCTAAGGCTATAACTTGAATCCGATAGGCGACGTGCGTGCATCAGAGAATGATTCTATGTATGAGTTAACCTTTTCGTTATTGCACTTGCGTTACTGTCTTTTGAAGCAGCAATGTCATCATGCCGTTGTTGCTGTAACATACGAAATAAACTGGCATATACCCAACAGAACTAAAATTGACTGGAGGTGGTATGTTGTTGATGTCTAGTGTTCATGTATTTCATTTTCTGTTTGTGCCAATGGAGATATCATTGGTGCTCTGCCATGCTGACATTAAAGACGGTGCCGAGAGTGGGGTGCATGGTATAGGTTTGGCTGGCATTTGGTAGTAACAATAAAGAGACAAGTTTCAAAGTAATTTGTTACTCTCAGTTGGATGATAGAGTAATTTATTATATTCTCTGCTCGCCTTCCGATGCAACCGGTAATCAGATTTTGTTGATGCTTAACGTCGCATTACCCCATTACCCCAAGGTTCTTCAACCTTGAAAGCGTGCATTGTGGCCAGCATAACCAATGCAACACTTTCGACAGCCATTTGGCGACAAGGCTAAGACAGCGAGGTCCAGAGTGACAACTGGTTATAAGGCGCAATCGGGCTGCACCAAAATTTATTGCTGGACTATGAACGAGACAACAGGGAGGGGCTCCCTGCACGTCAACGAGGAGGATGGGCGACTGCTATAGATTTTCGAAGAGCCAGTTGACGTGGTCATTCCTTTTTCACTTCCCTTGAGCTTTTGGATCAGTTTGAGTGGAAAAAGGCAGTGTTGATGTAGGACGCCATACAGTCTTGACTCCCCTATCTCGCTTCAGAAGTGTCAAGTATAGCATACATTTTCAATGAATGATGACGATGACTTTTATTTTGGGGGCAGCACCGCCGTTGAGGATGCTTCTAGGCTATACGCAAACCAAGAGCAGAGAGGATTCAAAGAGGGTGCGATGAATGCTAATGGAGATACCTGGCTTCGATCTGTTGATGGGAAGCAAATTGCTCGTGATGCAGCTGTGAAATAAGCAGCTGTCATAGCCAAGGTATGGAGAAGGCATTTGGTGGATTAAAAAATCCGACCGCATGGTCCGATGACGAATTCCAACCATGGATCTTCTAATATGATGCCATTACACTGGCGAAGCATTCAACGGCCCAAGGAATATCCTAGTTAAACATGGTAGTGTCCAAATTAGAGTTGGAGATTTCCTATAATGCGTGATGGCAAACATATGGATATATAGAAACTAAGTTCCCTTTGGATAATCTCCTGTTTGGAAATACAAAGGACTAAATGTATCTTTGTCAACGTGAATCGAACAATGTATTGGCACGAGTGTATAAAAAAATTTTCAGGAGGGTTGAATTGGGGAATATAACTATTGTAGGTGTAAGGTAAAGAGTAGTTCTTTGTTCTGTCTTTTAGACCACTAGTGGGTGGCAGCAGCAGGGTGGAACCCACTGCTCGCGATTAAGTAAAGTGTAAAAACTGAGGAAAGCAAACAATAACGACATGCTCTAATCGTCAAAAAAGGCATCAATGTTATCAACATTAATTGGCGACATAGAGATTTCTTTCTCTTCATATTCAAGTGAGGTTGCAGAGCTGGAACTTTTGGAGAGAATGGACGGGTTGGTACTAGGCCGTTTAGAGAAAAGAGATGTGTCACTCGATCTACGAAACAAATCTTTACTGGGGGAAGCGCGACCATCCATTTCAAATAACGTGGAAGATCGTGGTGGTGCTATGGGTCGACGCGATGGTTTTTGCATAGCCAGTTGACTATTCGATGCAGGCAGAGGTGCAGGCAGATCATTTTCGTCGTTTGATTTGCTGGAGCCACGAAGGTATGAAAAAATCGTCTTTCGACGGTTGGGAACAGGTGTTGTGGTATCGATTTCAGCAGATGGTTCTTGCTGGGGTATGGTTGGAGCGACCAATGCGGAGCGGGAAATGTTGTGAAGGTGAGACTCTCGAGCCGATTCTGAAAAGATGGCATCACAGAACTCAATCAAGTCCTTGACCAGTCTATGTGGACATTTGTCGTGTACTGTAATGGTACTTTCCACCCTTGGTCTGAGCAATATGGGGCCCAACACTGCTGCGATCTTTCCAGGTAAGGTTTCATTGAGAGGTGCCTGGCAGCTACTGGTCAATTCATGCAAATGTCGTATTAACAGCTCCGACGCTTTGTAGTTTGCAGCAGGTAATGTGGATAAAAGATTTGAAATCGACTGTACGCGAGTCACGTCATCTAAATTATCTGCGGAACAGCAAAGGGACCACGCATGTCAGTTTCATAACGGTTTTGAGAGGCGCTGACTCGATCGTTTGTAACTTACTGTTGGCATACAGCACTTTCGCAGGGTCATACAAATCAAAAGTCAAAAGGCATTCCGGTAGTTCCTGTAGGTATAATCGTAGAACGGCAGCCAGTAATAGCGGATCGAATTTCTTGACTTTTTCATTATCAATGTCACTGCAATTCAACTCAGCCCTTGCTTCGTGCACTCTGTCCAATGGAACATCGGTCACCCAGATAACCGAGATTTCTAGAGAGTTGAATAATTAGGTTAGACGGTTAAGCTGATGTAATTGAATGACAAGGGACGCAGAAGCTTAAAAAAAAAAAGACATATTTTCATTAGTACGGACCTTCGTCAAAAAGGCGCTTGCAGACTGTAGTGATGAAAAAAAAAATGAGCAAGTGCTTCATTGAGTCAGGCGAATCACGGCATGACTACGTACCTGTATCAAGTTGGCCAAGACCTTCTGAAAGAATCGCTGGCAAACCATTGCCAGAGGCTGCATCTAGTGGAATCCCAAACTGGTGATCTACAGCAAAGAACATGAAAGAAGAAGTTATTGACCCAAAGCGGCTAATCAGCGATGCACCAATTACGGTTTTCTTCCGTTTTACCTTGCCGTGGCCTGTTGTGGTAGTCAACATACAAAATGGGCCTGGGGCAGTACCGTCCGGTTCGATATTGCTCAACAATATATTGCACATCAGCAGCCGGCCGTAGCGTTTCTTGATACAACATGAGACGATCATACGTGTCCTTGCAATTGGGTATGATGTTGGACATGGTAGCGGCCAACGTGGTAAAAGCTACGAGAGAGAGAGAGAGAATGAATTAGAACAATTGATTGCCAATGCGTTTAGAGTCGTAAAGAAGCTTAAATTAATTATAGAATACGGTACCTTGTTTCAGTCCACGTATACGCTCCATTTCCAAATTCTCCATTTCATCTAAATGAGCAAACTATTGGACCGGGAACGGAGTTTACATTAATGAACATTGGCTGACAACACCATGCTAAGGGGTAAAGGGAGAACATTTACCATGGATTCTTCTAAGATCAAACGCATGTCATCAGCCTTCTCCACAGCTGTTCGAAACGCCTCGTCTGCGGTCTCGGCCATGGCACGGAGTTTGTTAAGCGATGCCTCATCCGGGCCCTGCTGTTGCCACATACCAAATAAACCTCCCACTTTTGTATTGGAGTTAGGGAGAATATCGATGGGATCGATATCTGTAAGTGAATACATGACGACATCATGATCATCTTGGTGTTTTGTGAGGATCTTGAGATCCAACAGTTGATCTATGATCTGTTCAGCCTGATCATAGGTGGTAGCCAATCGACGGGTGATGAAATATTCGATTAGGGTAGATGGCGGTACCATCGATGAATCGTTGGGCAAGGATTGCTTTAATTGGAGGACCAAACCCTGGAACTGTTCGACTGAGTAGGAAGTGTCATTCAAAACAAGCTCCTTGATGGGGGGCGGGGTTGCTTGCTTGGGGAGAGCAACTTCAAGGTCAGTGCATTTTTTGTCCCTTGTTTGTCGAAGTTTGTACAATGGCTTGGATAGGATTTCGAATTGACGGATCTGAGTGTCCATGGCATCTCGACCGTTTTGGGTTACACGTCGATACATGGATGACAATCGTAATAAAGGCTGAAGGACCATACCACTAATCTCATGGGCTAAGCGGTTATGCGTCGAAGCCAGCTCGGTGCTTTCACGACGAATCATAGAAAAGCATTGAGATAGACCTGTTTCTTGTGACTCGCTCATGCAAGGGACAGATTCTAGGTTAGCCAGAGTTTCGGCGTACAGTAATTCAGCGTCTATGCGGGCTCGGACGTAGCGGATAATATCTTCGTTTTCCAGCTCAGAATGCGCCAGTCGTTCATGAAGTATGTTTAATCCTGATGTAAAGTTAGGGATGATGCTGTGATCATCCAATGTGGTGGGTGGATGCCAGAACGCATCGTGGAAATGGACTCCTGCCATTTCTATTACGCTCGTAATGGGCTCACAAAGCTTCAAGCTGCAGAGGCGCTCCAGGGCTTCGGGGACAAGTCACACAACAGCGGAATTTGAATGCGAGGAATGTCCCATCGAAAAAATGGGCCATGCTCATCGATCTTTAGCATACGAAAGCTTCCCTTTCTGGCAGTTCTTTGAATGAAATTGGATCTCCATTAGAAATGGGATAGTTCAGAAGGCGCTTCTAAATATGGTAGAAGGGTGAAGAGCTAATAGTCTGAAGTCGCCAAAGGAAACAAGCAATATTTTTGGTCACGATGTTTTTTTTTAATAGGTGAAAACGAGAATGTGCGGTATGCCATTATTATAGAATTCTTTTTACAGCTAGCATAGAGCAGAAATTGTGTATGGGGTGGGTGAGCGGGCGGGAGGATGACAGAGAAAAAGGCATGAATGATATATACAACGAGAACTATTTTAGCATCGGGAAAGGTAAAGTTGTTTTTCTTTTGAAGATGACATGAGAGGGATAAATTGGGAGGTTCATGATAACCGGTACCATAGTCTTTGAATGGGTTCAACTTCTCAAATGAAAGGACTTGCGTCGACTGATTCGAGGAGTATATGCTATGGTATCGGACGGTGGTGGTGATGGATTGGCGTTAATTGTTTCATCATCTTTGTAGACAGGTACAGTACCTTCATCGCTTCGAACATCTGATTCAGGCTGAGCGATGATGGAGTCAGGTGTAATAGGATTTCTTCTGGTGGCCCTTGGAGAAACTTCACTAAATGAGGATGATGGGGTTGTTTCGGCATTGGTTGAGCGACTCAAGTAAGGTGTGGTGGGAGGCTCCGAGGTACCATTGTAATAAGCGTCTTGAGCAGCGAGTCGTTCAGAACTTAAACGACCAACATCAGCCTTGCGGGTAAAAAAATTGGGTGTGGTTGCAGCAGAAAAGCTAGGATGACTCATGCTGCCACTGTTTGAGGTGCCATTGCTGTAATAGCCGTTGTTACTGTGACCATTACTTGAGTTGCCGTTACTGGTATGGCCATTACCATTGCCGTTGGAACTAGAGTCAGCGATGGATCCACTGCTAGGCGATTCTGTTTTAACTCTTTTGCGAGGTCGACCAACTGCTCTAGCAGCTGCATCTTGTTTCGAGCGAAAATCTGTAAGATATTTTTGATAATGCTGAAAGAGATGTGAGTTCTTGTAATCTACGTTTCTATATTATCATTATGTTAAAAAGGGAACATAAACGACGTACCTTGTGTTCTTCAGTCTTTTGATATTCGGCTAATTCTCGCAAGTATTCATCTTTGGCGAGATTGGCAGCATCTTCATAAGTTTGCTTAACATTGGATTCGATGTTTTTCCAGCGATTGCCGACAATGCGAGCTAGTTCGGTAAAAGACATGTTGTAGTCCTTTAATTCTTTTCTAACATCGTTGGAAAACATGACATAGGCGGAAGGTGGTTTGATAGGGGCATTTTTATCGGGTTTAGCATGTCGGCGGTATTTGCGTTTGGTCAGCGGTGAGCTGGACGACGTATCATCTTCTGTGGACGAGATACTGCTGGAGCATTCCAGTGATCCGTTTGCGTCTTGTCCGGTGTTGAAGCTCGCCATGGATGAATATCCAGACGTCGATGCTGTCGTCATGGGGGAATGATCTGAGGAAAGTTGATAACATTCAATATGGGGTGGCATGACGTAGAAATTTGCAAACCATCAACTTACGATCTTTGTTTCCAAAGCCATGTTCTACCACGAGTGGTTGATTGGCAGGAATGCCTTTACGATTAGCGATTTCTCGCTGAAGTAACTAATAATATTGAATGAGTTTCAATGGTTGGGCAAGGAGGCTGACAAGGCCAATGGTCTAGACCTTGTGGAAAAATAAAAAAATGAAAAATTCTGCAACGTACTCTTCTGTGACCACGCTTAACATTGAGTGCTGATAAGTCGGCTTCGGTAATATCATATAACTAAAGAATAATAAGGGTTTCAGCATTGGCATGTGCGGGTGACATTATGATAAATTGGTACGCACTGATTTAAGTTGGTCGAAGCCCTCTTCTGCGAATCGTTCATAGTATTGATTCAAACCACATTTGCTCAGCAGATCTTTCACACGTTGCTCGTCGGAAGCATATGTTTGTAGTTGCTGTGACATACTTTAGGACATTGGAAGGCTTATATGCTATAACTATTGGTGGTTGAAGACGAAGAAAGTGAAGAAGAGGAGAAGAAAATGAATTGGGAGATCTTACGGCCTACCGAATAAGGCGTAAATATATTGGTTCCAAGGAGGATGACGCTGGATTGCCTAGTTACCAAATCGAGTGGGCTGAACATAAAATGTGATTCGCTAAACAATTCCAGAAGCCACATAGAAGGGGTATGGAAGATTCTTACGTCATACCTTTTTTATGTTCTAAGAAGATAATAGAACACTATACTAATAATCACCTCCTCCACCTCCTCCACCACTTCGACTACCGATCATAGAGTTCATTTGTTGCTTTCGTTGTTGTTCCAGCTTAGGACAGTTATCGATACGATGACCAAGACCACCACAGTACGAGCATCCTGTAAAAATGTGAAAAAAAAAAAAAAAAATTGGGAGAAAATGGGTTAAAAGTCTCATTCAGAATAATGTGAAAACGCTACTTTCAAAGGGCCCATCTTCTCGGGAACAATTGCAAATGAATGATGTAAATTTTAACTTTACCTCCAGCCAAACCTAATTTTTCGCTCGGATCTTCTAATGCTTCAAGGAACGGTGGCACACGTTGCTTGGCCTCTCGCAGTAAATGCTTGAGATCCAGTCTGATCTGTTCAGAGCAGTTCTGGTTGATGAAGGTGGTAGCAATACCGGTTTTTCCACTACGACCTGTTCTTCCAATGCGATGAACTAGAATGGGGAAAGGGGCAGGTTCAGACTAATGTCCACTGTTGTTTCGGTCATAACATTGTACCCCTTCTCGCCACCTGATGATGCAAAAAACAAGGGTCATCCACTTACCATAATCTTCAATTTCTTTAGGCATATCAAAGTTAATAACGTGCTGAATCTCTGCAAAATCGAGTCCTTTGGAAGCCACATCGGTGGCCACGAGGACATCCTTTTTGTAGCTCTTGAATGACCTGATAGCGAATTCGCGTTCCTCTTGCGCTGCATTGGCAAATTTTCATATTTAGCTATGATGACGAAAACGAAAAAAGATCAATTTGGGTATCTCACAAACATACTTTTACTACCATGAATGGCAACTGCCTCGACTCCTTTCAAGAGAAGGTACTCATGTATATCATCGACATCATTTTTGTTTTCAGCAAAAATCAGCACCTGAACGCAAAATCTCGGGTGAGTTGATAGAGTCAAACGGCCGACCGAAATTAGTAACGAAATGGAACACAAACCGGAGGAGGAGTTTTTTGCAAACACTCCAGCAAATACACTATTTTAGCTTCTTGCTTTACATACTCAACCTCTTGAATGACGTCTAAGTTAGCAGCACCAGCACGACCAACGTTGACAATTAGAGGTTGGACCAGTGCCGACATGGCGAACTCTTGAATCTTCTTTGGCATAGTAGCCGAGAACAAAAGCGTCTGGCGCTGACTCTGTAAAATTGTTTCATCGAACATTAAGGATTGTTCTTTGCCATAACCCATTGAAATGGAGCAATGTAAAAAAACTGTGGCCCCTATCACTAACCTTAAAATAAGACATGATATTTCGAACATCGTCTTCAAATCCCATGTCGACCATACGATCAGCTTCATCCATGCACAGGTATTTACATGAGTCCAGATTAAACTGCTTCTTCTTCAACATGTCTTGCAGTCTTCCAGGGGTTGCTACCACCATATGAATTCCTCTGTAAAAATTAAAAAGAAAAGAGTTGGTCACCACGCACAATTGGATCTACAGAACAAAACGCAACCTTCTAAAAGCTGGTGTAAAAAATGGTTACTTACTGCGCGAGTGCGTCTTGCTGCTCTCGCATGTTAATGCCACCCATGCATAACAAAGATCTCAATTGTGGAAAGCCACCTTTCGATAAATATTGTGACATAGCCAATAATCCCTCAAAGGTTTGCTGAGCTAATTCTCGCTAAAAATTAAAATCAGTATCAAATACAACAAATCCTGGACGTTTTAAGGTTGAACATGTGGACACACAGGGCGGCATATACGTACAGATGGACATATGATCAACCCTATTGGACCTTCACCTCGAATCAATGGTAACTTTAGCTCTGCTTCTAGTGCCAACATCAGCATTGGCAGTGAAAATGCCAACGTTTTGCCAGAACCAGTGAACGCAATGCCTATCATGTCTCGCCCTGACAACCTAGAGTTTGACCGTAAATAAATGACGAAATGTTGCACCACGATCCAGTTTCACCACTTACGCGACAGGCAATCCTTGTATCTGAATAGGGGTGGGCTTGTGAATTTTCTTGTCACGAAGATAGTCCAAAACAGGTTTTGGAAATCTCATGTCCTATCCAGTGGATTGGGAAGCACATTTAGTACGGCATTGGCTTTACTACCACATACAAGTTTTACACTTACAGCAAAGTGTTTGATAGGTGGCACGGGATCCTTGCCTTCGAGAATAATATGAAATTTATTTCGAATGGCTTCATTATCGTCTTCCGATCGCTCTCGTATATGCTTTGGTGGTGTCCATGAAGTCTTCATAGGTTCAGTATACTGCATGCCTGCAGCTGCTTCCTGCACAGACACAAGAGCTTTATGTCGAGCTTGTGCCTCTTCGATCTTTTTCTCTTCCTCTAATATTTTTTGTTCCTCCGTCTTTTCTGTGAAGCATGGGCAGTTTGTTTAATAGGACCGTTACAATGTTGGTGAAAAGATGGCTACACTACCTTCCAGAGCACGCTGTCTGCGGACTTCGGCCGATTGATCCAGTAAACTAATGTTGGCTTTCGGGCCCGCTATTGGTGCATCGTCTTCTGAATCTGATTCCGGTTGCGTTGTGGGTTCAGGGACCCGTCGTTGAGTAGCATATTGGTGTAATTTCTCCAGTCGTCGCTGCTTCAATGGAACATAAGGGACGAATTCGTCGTCCATGTCTTCATCATGCTGTTTCTGATAGATCCAAGGCATGAGTGGGTGTGGATCTTTGACATGACAGGGGCTACGTAGGCTATAGATCATATTACCTTTGGAGAGTCAGACATTTGCTTGTATTCAATGCGATCGACAATAGTTGACAGGAGTTTGTTCCTTGCCGCAGGCTCTCTCACTGCAAAAAGTGTCCACATCGGTCTTTGAAAATGGTAAAATGACTGTTTATTTTTTCCCCAAATCTCTCAATCCATATCACCTTCGAGAAGATCGTTTTGTAACAAACCTTCAATGAAGGCAATATCGGGTGGTGCAAGGGAGAGATTGGCTTGGTAGACGTATAGACTAATATGGTTTACAAAGAATTCTAGTTGGTGCACACTGCCTATATTACGCATCGTCAACATTGGGCGCTTTCTTTCGCCGTTAGAGGTATCGATGGATGGATTAGATGTAAGGGCTTGTTCAGCGTAGTTGTCTATCCCAGTGGCGGATGAGGCTAGTTTGGAAGCAAATCGCTCAATGATGGTGGAAGGATGAGACTTCTTTTGCAGCAAAGCATCTATGTCGTCAACTATGAAAATCCATTGGTATCTACAAGGATAGACCAACATTAGATAGAGTGTACCGGACAGGAAAATATATCATGGGTTGTCTTACATTTGGAAGGATTCGGTTTCCAAGGTGCAAAGTAGATCCAAAAACTTGCAACCAGCTAGGGCGATTTGAGCTTCTTCAGGCTTGGCTGTCATGTCATTGCCTAAGAATGAGTTGAACAAACGCATCTTTTATACATCGATAGATCGTTAGTACTGGCTGGAGCCTTCCACTAGTTCTCAAATGAACTTACCATCTCAGTAAGAATGACCGGCCAAAAATTAGTCAAGTGTCGCTGCGAGAATCGAGTGATAATGACCCGTAAGCACAAATAAATTTCTACGTGAATGAGTTCGTTATGGTCCAATTTGAGTAATTCGACCAACTTTTCTTGTATGATGGGAAGCTGAGAGATGAATTGGTCATTGGTACCAGAAAAGATGATAAAGGTCAGACGGCGCAAGTTGAGAGCTCTAGCAAGAGATTCTTGTTCACGGTTGGAGAACAAAGCAGTGGACGGCGAGGTGGAGATTCGATTGGCAACTTCGACAAATCTTTCCTTCTCAGCCGTCATAATGGCTTGGATGATGGTTCTCCATTTTTGACACGTCGCTGCGCTCATGTAAAAAAATCGACTATCCAGGAACATTTCCCATACTTCCTTTCGCCAAGTTCGGTAGGTAAATGGTAGCTTCGCCATTTCATATATCTGATCGATGAAAACAACCACCTTGCTCAAACTCGGTTTTGTTTTGAGAACAGGGCCAATGACATAATATACAAGGTTATTGAGGAGAGAGTTAATTCTGTCCTGGTCAACAATCAAGTGCTTGAGTTTGGGAATGACAATATTTGCTATATACAAGTTGATCTTTAGGTGATGGTTAGCATACAAACGAAAACATGTAAGCTTCAACATCGTTTTCAATTTCTCCTTTTTTTTACCTGTTCAATCATGGTATCTTCTCGTGCTTTCCAGCCTGTTCGCTTCTCAAGGTCGCTGACCGTACTACCGGACACCGAACGGCCCATTTCCGTTGCTGTTGCGTCATTCAGTGAAATTTTGTCAGAGGAAGCTGCATGCTCTTCCCGCTCATAAACATTGGTACGTCGTAGCCAGATGCCTTGATCAAATGATCGTCCGGCGATTAAGATACAGTAATCAATGACTCGTTGATAGACGTCCTGAGCCTCCTTACGCACTCTTCGATCCTCTGCAACCGTGCCATCGTACAGTTTCTCCTGAACGGTGGTCAAGAATCGCAAAAGTGTAGGAATAAACATCTTCATGGTCGCCGAAGTTTGTGACAAATAGTCCTTGGAAAACGTCTGTATCAACTGCCACATACTAGCCAGTTCTTCTGAGGTAACCAGCGTATCGCAATAAATCTCAGCGAATCGCATCAGCGAAGTATCCGTTCTACCCACGCAAAAAGAAAAAAAAAATTGACCCGACAAGATTTAGAAAGTCTGGCAAAAAGTACCGGTGTTAAGCAAATAAACTACACTTACAATTTTCCCGTCCTCAAAATAACTCGGGGCCGACTAAGGTACATGCCGCTTGACCGTGCTCTGATACCATCGAAAAGAAGAGGCACCACATGCTGTGGTTTACCTGAAGGTGCTGACAGCATGAAATCGAAAACGATGGTGGATATCTTCTGATCCGCCGACATCTGGGCAAACGGGTTTAAGTTTCATTGTAACACGACATGCTCATTAAAAAATTTTTTACCTCGAATTCTAACGCTGCAGGATTTGACATGAAGAATAGCTCAACACAAGCTTCAACGGTATCGATACTGTGGCTGCGGTACAATCGCTCCAATGTCTTCTCCAACCGCGTATGAACGCGTTGACATGAAGCAAGGTATCCCAAGGTGGATGGTTCACTATTATCCACGTCCACCTTATTTGTATCAAATGTATCCCAGACATCGACAAGAACTTGAAGAATGGTGGGTAGATGGAACAATATCGTGTCGCGACCCTTCCTTTCCTCATGTGGCTGGTCCTTGGTATGAGCTGCATCGTCTCCGTAAAGTAATAGGGCAAATCCACGCAAGGCGGATGTATCATGGGTTTTTTGAGCATTGGCAGATGCGGTTGTAGCCGTGCTGGAGGCGGATGCTGTTCTCTTATGACCCGGTACCCAAGCATTGGACACATTCTTATCCATCAGGCAAAACATCATCATTTTCTCAATGCCATTGAGGAATATCAGAATATAGCTGTCGGGCAATTCAATGGTGTCCAGTACATCGGATCTATCTGTAACGGAAGATGCAAGCCGTTGTCGTATCAATCTCTCAAATTGGTTCCGACAGATGGTGGTTTGGTCGCATATGGAGATGAGGAGTGGTAAAATAATGTCCCGAAAATAACCACGAAGGTTGGGCAAGGAGGTGAGCCAAAAGTCCATCCAGTGTTGTAACACCGGTCGGTTTGACAAGGTGGAGAATGCGTCTGTCACACATCTGATAAACAAACCGGAAGTACTGAAAATTACATCGCCATCAAAATTAGATTTTTCCTTCGACGTTGCCATCGGGGTGGCGGCTGTTGCACCTGTGACGTTCCGTGAAGCCGAAGAACCATCAAACTGTCCCATGGGATCTGTCAAAACGCTATCCACCTGCAGCTTTCTCCGGAGCGACTTTTCCGCATTGGCTACGGTGCCTTTGGCGGCGGATGAAACATAGGTGGCAAGTATGGACAGCGTGCTGTGAACAATATGCAATAGTCGCGTTTGCGGGTCGAGTTTTCCCGTGTGTATACAAAACAACAGCTTTTGCAAACATGTCTGGTGTATAGTGGCTACCGTATCAATATCAATGAAGTCAACAGTAGTGACAATTTCCAATAAAAGCTCGGCAGCATGGCCTTGAATGCTATTATTGACGATTTTGGCGTTGGGGGACAAATTATCTACTGGCTCACTTTGAAGGTATCTAGATGGGGGGGATTAGTCACGTTATGATGATGGAAGAGGATGCAAATTTTGGGAAATATAATTTATGACTTACCGCAAGCTGATGGCAATCAGAGCGTCCAAGTAGGTGATATCGACATCCGTGTCATGTGTGACCGACTCCAGAGTACTGATCGATAACTTTTCCAAAAACGCGTCGCTGACATGGCTGGGTGCCAGGATATGATAACTGGCAAACGATCGGAGCGCACCGAGTCCTCCGAATTTAACAATGTCCATCAACGTCTCGAACATATAGTCTGAAATATCCCAGTCGAAGGGACGAGCATATTGGAAATAGGTAATATTGTATTTTTCTTCGTCTTGCTCTGCCTTGGCGGTGACGGTAAACGTAGCTGGTCGCCAGACAATGCGCTTTTCTAGCAGACCCATGATGATAGGTTCCAATAAACGGGTATAGCTCCGTAAATGACATCGGATGAAGGTTTCACCAGCTCTACGTTCAGCCACGGTGGAACGACGTTTGATTAAATCCAACATGATGAACATTGGTTTCGCAAACACAACCGAAATCTTGTCGTCGTCGGACAATCTCCAAAACAATCCAAATCGAGCATATGCGTCCGTACGCTTGGAAAGATCGGGGTCTACTAAATAGGAGCTAACGATAGATTCAACGAGGTGTGACCGTGTTTGTTCTGTGGTCTGCCAAATTAGCTGGACCGTTCGGTTGTGACAGAAAGGGGAATCCGCTGACAGGTAATTCCAGAGCTATCGAAAAAGGGTGATCCGAAATCAAGGTTAGTTACCAACGTGTTTTTGATTATGTTTGTCCACATTTCCCACTTACATTGTCCACAATGGCTTTAACGAGTTTGGGGTGCCAAGGAGAAGCCTTGATATAGCTCGGTGAATCGGCAACTTGTAGTAACGTGTTTAGGCTTGACGACACAAAGGTGAAATCTGGACCGTCTGAGCTGCATTTGAAAAGGGCTTCCATACAGTCTTTGATATCGATGGGCTTGATGTTTGCCCTTGCCATAAGGTGGCCTAATATTTCGCATACACTGTGGAATAAACTATGATAATGTGCCTTGTTCCCATTTCTGGCTCTATCACCACGTTCTTCCATAGAAGGTGATAGTGCACAAGTTTGGATGAAAGTGGTGATGAAGGATGCCGTGGCATGAATGAGCTCGTTGATCAATATAGATCCTCTCACCGGGTCGTATTTTGGCTGTGGCGTGTTGTAAATTGCCATAGTAGATTCAGAGATGGAGTTGGGAAGGCTGGCCATAGACATATCACCACCATCTTCTTTACTTGAATTGTTGACGAAGTCAGTGAACAACTGAGTACTGGCATCCCCTGCATTGTTTCGAAGTCCATAGAAATTTCTAGCATACTCGATGATGCTTTCTCCAGAAGTGAATGTCTTATAGTCCTCCGTCGAAGACTGTAAATCTGTCTCTGTCGGACTTTCCAAGTTTAATTTCGACGGTCGACGGTCTTGAAGAATACCAGGGGCGAGTAGATGTAATAGTGTGGAGATAATGTTGACTAACACATTAGACTTGGCAGTAATAAATGAAAAGTTGGGTTGCTTGACTGCCTCCTATTACATGTAAACATGGAGATTAGTCGGTACACATATGGAAGCCTGAATGAAGTGCAAAAGTCCTTTTCCTTACCTCCAGTTTCCGTACGGCTGCAGCTAGAAAGAGAGGCATATGCATTTGTTGAATTTCCTCATCAGCCATTTTGAACGTTTGCAGTAAGAAGAGAATCAATGATAGATCGTCCAATTCTTGTTGGTAGGATCTTGATTCAGGATTACTATCGTTCTCTTTTCCAGGGTATCGTGTATCCATCAATGCAAACAATTTGGACCAAACCAGATAGGGATCCACTAGATCCAACCACATATTGGCCGAATGCCGCACCTATTGAAAATATATCAGTCAACATACGGAATATCAGAAGAATAGTGGAGTCAACAAGGTGAAGGACAAGAAGGAAAGGGTATCTACCTCAGTATTGAACTCTGGCAGTTGCGACTCTTTTTTCAGGCACCTTACAACATCAAGAAATATGGTATTCAACACCGGTTGACCAACTTCCCATTTGTCCATAAGCGAGACCAGCATGCGATACGGTCGCTGACCATCGTATAAGGCAAGGTCCTCTCTATCTTGTTTGCGTGATATACTCTCTATAAACAGCGAATTGATGGCCTGAACAAAAGGTTGGTGTGCATGTGTCAACATATAATTAAGCTGGGCTCGAGGTGATTCATCAGGTCCCAGTATCCATGCATACAGGCGTCGGTTGAGAGACATGTCCTTGCGAAGAACCGTGCCAGCCGCAGCCTTCATAATGACCACTCTATCGTTATGAGAAAGAACCCTGAAACCGCAGAGAATAAAGCTGGTTAACGCCTTCATTCCTTCCCATCATATCACCAGCGGAGCCCTCATACTTTGTGTTCAATCGAAAGTTTTGCACCAAAAGTTCCAGCATATTTCGCTGCACCAAAAGATGGGAATCACCGAGGGTCGCAGCAAAACTGCGTACCATCAAATTGATGTTCTCCGCTCCACCTAACACAGCTGCTATATCTATTGCTGGAAGTTTCAGTACGACAAGTTGTGTCCCATACCTTCATCCTTGACCTGAACTTACCTTCCTGATTATCGAGCTTGGGTAACCTGCGCAACAGATAATTCAACGCGGCAAGTCTAAGAGACGCGTTGTTGATCAAAACCAACCAAATGCAAGAGTTGTGAAAGGGAAGCTCCACAACCTTCCCCAATTGATCGATTAAAGAGATGCCCTGGGAAAAGAGACATGTGTCAGTGCACTGGCCATTTGTGTCCTCTCAGCGCCGTTACATTTCACACAAACTGACCTTATCAAAAAATTCACTTCCTTCCTCTTCCACCACCGGCAGTAGAGCAATGACTAAACCACGCATGGCCGGTTTCAAATCTGGACCCAATCTAAAGTAGTACTTTTCGAAGATGGATAGTAGTTGAGGCTACAAACAATGTAAAGCATGTTAAATGCAGAAGTTCCCTCATATAGACTGAAGGATATACGTACCTTAACGTGAGTGGCAGCGTGTTGCACAAACGGGAAAACACCAGCTGACCATAATGGCAAGTCCTCTACCAATTGATTAGGCTACGTGGGCAGGATGATATGAAGGTGTGAGATGGCATGAGGACGACTTATTCTAACCCCACCCCCAATTACCTCAATGGTCTCAAATATATAAGTATATACGTCTAAAGTCTTTTGGTGTACTCCGGCGGGAAACCCTGGGTTTAAACATTGCGCCAAACGCTTGGCAACCGTCATTTTCCGTGGTATAACAGGATACTGTGGGTAAGCTTGGAAGGACTGGAATACGATACAGCACTGGATCAGCTGGCGGATTGCGGAGATGATATTTACGATGGAAAGAACATACCCGTAGCAGACGGCCAAGAAATGAAATGATATCGGCCCATTCGTTGACAGCATCAAAGAATTGCAAATTCTTCTCTACTAGCTGTACATATTTTTTGTATCGAGGATCGTTGGCGTATTCTATGTACCGAGCCAAGCAAAAAGTGCTATCAAGTTAGTACTAAGGGCAATAGATAGATAGAGAGGAAATAGACTAGAACAAACCTTCTGAAGCACTTTTGGTGCTTGTAGTACTGCCGCTTGGCGATGCCGACCGCATCAGCGAATTGTTATAGTTATTAGAAGCTCCGTTGGTCGCCATGCCGAGGAGTCTCGATGAGATCGATACAAGGTGAGGTTGAAGCAGCAGAAGTCGGGTTTACGGCGGGTAAGGGTGAAATGAGAAAAGGGATGACGTGAGAGTACCCTTCAAGTCAATGAGTACCGACTGACTGTACAGTGCTGGCTTGGACACAAAGACTTCACGGTCCACCTTTCGTCTGGAGTTGCCAATGTAGCTCCCCCCCCCTTTCAGGCATCGACATGGTCCACGTGACTTAATTAAGCAAGGAACGTTATTTCGCTCACAAAAACGAGCGACGCAGACAAGCCACAGAGCCTAGGTTGTGCGGGGGGATAAGCCACCAATATTTTTGCTTGCCAGTTGGAATAGGACCCAGGGTCTTTTTTCCAATAATTCACCACACAGCAAAAATGTTGGGCATGCAAACTGGGTTCTTCTCTACGCTTAGAGTAGCCACACAGACCGCAACGTCATGCTTGTCTCGACCCTCCCTCGTCTCCAACGTGAATCGCAACCTAGCACCTCTCATTGCAACACGATTCCATTCCAATCTCGCCCCACGACGTACCAAATACCGCAAAGCACAAAAGGGCAAAGTCCCACTACCCACTGGTGGTTCGACCAAGGGAACCACTGTTGAATTTGGAGACTACGGATTGCGAGTGAAGGAGGGTACTCGTTTGTCAGCTAAACAAATAACCGCCGCCTATGATACCATTCGACGCAAAATCAAGCCTGTCAAAGGTTCACAACTCTGGATGCGTGTGTTCCCCGATATCCCTGTTTCCAGCAAGGGTAATGAAGTTCGTATGGGTAAAGGAAAAGGTTCCAATGATTACTGGGCTTGCCGAGTACCATTGAACCGTGTTGTCTTTGAAATTGCTGGTATGCGCAAGGAAATCGCTAAAGAAGCCTTACGATTGGCAAGCGACAAGCTCCCTGTCAGAACCGAGTTCATTGAACGCAACGCAAAACCTGTTATCGGTGCTGGTTTTGTTACCCCTGTTCCCGCTAGACTTCAACCAGCCGCTAAACCAGTTATTCCTGAAGTACAAGCATAAGAAAAGAGGCGGTTGCGCAAGGCAAAGAAAAGAAAAGCTATAAAAAACCCAAATGACAACAAAAATTGGAAGGCTAGAGCATCTTCATCCTGTAATATTAATAGACAAAGTCCACAATAAACCCTTGTTTTCTCAATTTCAGAAGGGAGCATAATGTTCATTGTTGTATTTGAGAAATCCCCCATGTTAACAGGGACTTGTCATGGGTATCGGTTGCGGCCAGGCTGTCATTGGCTGCTTAATGGCAGAGCGGCGCCCCGTCCAAAAAAAAAAAAATAAGCGGAAAGCGGAGCTGACTGGCTATTACACGGTTGACACTACTCGCTAACTTGATCTAATGGTAAGTGTAGGCATTAGGTGTAACTGGGATGTATTGTAACCTTAGAAGGGTCGGAACGTCAGAGACGGGGCTTAGTTCGATCATGGGCACATTGGACGCTCCCATGTCGGCCACTTTCCTGGGTTACATGACGGAGCTCGATCTCGCAGCTGCCTATACTAATGGTTCTCACCCCTCCTGGCAGGAACTGCCTCCAAACTGGGAAATCCGCCATTCTCGTACATATGGCAAAGACTACTACTTTAATACGCTGACTAAGGAAAGTCGGTGGGACGCCCCACCGGTGGGCGATAAAGAGCGCGTGAGAGCTAGTCATTTGCTCGTCAAACACAAGGACTCGCGTCGACCTAGTTCCTGGAAGGAAGTGAGTAAATGCAACTTGTGGGACGTGCGCTATCAGTAGTGCAAGGGAAAAAAAAGATGGCCATTAACGCAATATGGGGGGTAACAGGAAAATATCACACGCACAAAGGAAGAAGCTCTGGCCATCATCCAAGAATATCAAACTAAGATTCAGTCAGGAGAAGATACCCTCTCTGCTTTAGCCACCAATCTGTCTGACTGCTCAAGCGCTAAGCGGGGAGGCGATCTAGGATACTTTGAACGGGGTCAAATGCAAAAACCCTTTGAGGATGCAGCATTTGCCCTTGAAGTTGGACAATTGTCGGAACCTGTGTGGACTGATAGTGGATGTCATCTCATTCTGAGAACAGCATAGGGAATTATGGATGAATAAAATAAAAATAAAACCGTTCTTTTTTCTTCCAAACTCAAAATTCCAATGGTGCAATTGGACACGGAAACATCCATTTGTGGCCATCATGTCGTGTACCCACTCCAGACAATGACGCCGTGACGGTCGGGCCTGTTAGGCTGGTGCCTTGCATACTTGGCGTCTGAACGCTTCAATGCCATTTATATTTAGAATCATGAGTTCAAGTCATGGGAGCAAAAGTGGGCTGAATGACATCTTATCGTGCCTTCAAAGTCAGTGAAGGATTCAATTGTCTGGGATGCACACTGGTTTTAAGAAGCCGAGGAGGGGGGGGTTCTTGGCAACTACATCTATTCTTTTCCTATCTCGAAAAAGGGGAGCCAGGGTCAACCAAGCCAATTTGTGGAGGGGCGGTGAACATACAAATCGAGAAATTCAAAGGTAAAATGGACTCTATCTCACGACCAATGCCCGATATATTCTGTGTTGTTTACAGCACGAAAGTTCTTTTTTGTGGAGCCAAATTTCCAGTTAAATTTTTTTTTTTAATAAATGTCAAAAATTGATCAAGTGGTCAATGCAGTGAACCAAAGATACATAGGTCGTCGATCTCGTTCATACCAAAAAAAAAAAAACATTATTCTACAAAGAAATAATCCACAGTAGCCAGACATTGTCTACGCTATAAAAAAACAGACAGATTGGAGGGGGGAGAAATACATTGGTGGTAAACGATATGGAAGAATATATGTATGTGCGTGTGGTGTGGTGTGTGAGTATGCGAAAGGCTAGTGTGTTTGCTGCAGGACTCCTCAAGAGTGTCATCCGCTGACAGATTTTCTTCTTTCTTTTTTTTTTGGAGTGGATGTTCACAGGTGGGTGTTGTTAAAAAAAATGTCTTCGTTTTTACAAACAAAGAGACTGGTGAGGGAAAAAGTACACGTTGGGATTGACCATGGAGACAAAAAGGGAGGGGGTTCAAAACTTGGGTTTAAGGTCATTCAAAATAATAAGAGCAGCAGCCATAGAGAGTTTCTTATGGCGATTGTTGGTTGAATTCATTCATACCAAATGGATGACCGTATGAGTTCAAGTCCAAAGCAGACGTGGAAAGATTGAAACTTGATTTGTGACTGAGAGAGCGAGTGTCTTCTGATTTGAGATGGCTGATATCGACTTCATCACTTTGTGAGTTACAATCGTCGTCACTTCCATGACTTGATGGGCTCATTTTAGTAGTGGCAGTGAAGTTGGCATCGGAAAAGCCATTAGGGCCGAACATGAGACAGTTATCTGGCATATTGTAATGACCCGTCATAGGGTTCCAGGGTACTGTAGATTGACGTGGCATATCATTCGATTCATCCATCCAGCTCATGGAAGGTTCAGGACTTGATTCAGAGCTAATGGAGCCAATTCTTGCTCGAAGTTTACTGTTTTGTTCTCGGAGACGTTCAATTTCTGTACGGTAACGTTCTTCTTGATGAATGGTTCTCTTGACAAAGTCAAGCGTTCGCTCGATAATAGTCCCTTTGCTGGGTCTTCTGTCATTTTGGAGGTTTGGAAGGGAGTGAGCAAGTTCTTGGAATTTGGTATTGAGAGATTCTCGGCGAGCACGTTCAATAGCATTGTGTTCAGCTCGACGGTCAGCCTTAGAAGTCATCTTGCGACCATTGGAACTAGTTGGGCTACCCGCGGAAACGGGTTGTTGCTGTTGTTGAAAGACTATCAAAAAAAAAAAAAAGAAGGAAATTAGATAAGGTTCACGCACAGCTCCAACTGCCTGCCCCTGGGCTGCTCAGCTTAATACGTACGTTCTTGATGTTGTCGCTGTAATTCGATTTGCATAGCCCGTTGGCGTTGCATAGACTGCTGTTGCAAGTGCTGTATAAACTGCTGAGGTGTGGAGTGAGGTCTGTGCGGAATACCTCCTTGGACTTGCATATTGAAGGGATATCCAGCATAAGCAGCAGGAGCAAATGGTTGAGGTTGGACGGTATAAGCGCCGAAAGGTGAAGTGGGTAGAGAGCTACTTGACATGGTGCACGAAAGAGAAAAGAAGAAGCAGGAACTCTCAAACGGTCATGGGGAAAGAAAAAAAAAATGGCAACGGTGCTTATAAGCTCGATCTAAAAAAGATCAAGTGACATGTTGCCCTCTCCTCACACTATATCCGAAAATCCTGTTTGTTGTTACTGCTCTGCTAAACTGCGGAACTTACAATTGCTTACTTCCGCGTCCCCCCTCCAGGGGGGATGGCCCCCCCAGATCTGATTGGCCCCAGAACAGAACAGGTCCGGACAAGCCAAGTTCTGTACTCTATGCCGTATTGTGCAGTGGGACATTCTTTTCTTTCATCGACTCTCTTCTGTTGTCTATGTATCTCATGGGTTTCCACGACCTCTCCTCCTCATGATCCATACATTATATCTAGGCTTTGACCAAATGAGGCATTCCGCAACAGCAACTAATCCTTTGCACTACCCTGGGTTTAGATTGAGCACCGGTTCGACGCGTTCCGTTTCTGGGTGCGATTGCATAAAAGAAAACTCAATCCATTTGAGGCAGCACATAACAGATATCCCCATGACCAAGCGGACGAAGATTGTATCACCCAAAGCATTTTCCACGGGAATGCACGATCCAGTGCACGATCCCGTCATCTATTTCCCTTGGGCTTAGCAAAGAGGTTCAACCGGAGTTGAAAAAAAATCACCTCAGTAACGAATCGACGATTGAGTACAGCTACCACCGTTGATCCCTTCCTCTAACAAAAATAAAAATTTAACCGTCCTTTTCATCCATAGGTTCTAGCCAATGACGTATCGGGTCAGTGGCGCATTCATCCCAGGGTCAACAAAAGTAGTAAATGTGGGTGATATGGCTGGACACCACGGGAACAGGTATTTTATTATCCTTATCCCACCCCACTGAACCATTATCCACCAAAAGGCATAGCTCTCAAGCCATGTTTACACAAAGCACCGTTAGGCAGAATTACGTTTCTATACGATTGTGACGATTTCGTTAAACTTAAACCTTATATTATATATGCATGGGCCATTAGTTTGGGAAAAAAAAATTTGGAAAGTAAGAAGAACCCAGAAAAAAAGAAACCTTCTGCAATGGAAAGTAGCCAGGCTTTCGGAGGACCCGATTCCAAGCATGGTCGTGCAGACGAGGTTACCCAAGAATGTATATTCCGTCACGACGATCTTCCACTTGTATGGCTATGATGGAAAAGTTGACCGATATAGAAGCTGAGATATAAAGTCCAAATTGTGCCTTTAACATTGACTGCTGCGATATAGTTTGGCATCTCGCCTTGCACATAATTATAGGACTTAAGTTTAGTCCCTCTTAAGGTAACATCCGGTAGTGCCCTTGCGTCGGCGATACAACCTGTTTGCTCAATTTCTAAACATTCAGGCCATTTGTAAACAAGTAGAGTGGCCACATTTCAAGTTTTTAGCCAAACATGTTAGTGTGGTATGAATGCCTAGATCGACTTTTTACCCATTCAATGTCTTTGAGGTGTTACTATATCCAGCCATCTGGTTACAAATATCGCACCTATGACTGACAGCCCAATTGGACGCCGGATAAACCACATTGGATAATGGTGGACGCCGGAGTGATACCATGTATTTTATTGATTCGTTGGAGAAAACGGATGGGGTGCACATAGCCTGGTTGGCTGGCCACGTTGGGAACAAAAGGGAACTGGATTGCATTGCATTGGGTTGAATTGAATTGAGGAAATTTTTGACATAATGACTGCGTTTACAAATGAAAAAGACGGTATGTACAAGAGAAAATAAAAAAGAAAAGAAAAGAAAAATTGCCAGTGATAATTACGTACCAATTATGAAAAAAAGGGGGAAGAGGCAATGGAGCTTTTTATCTCACAATGTTGCGAAGCATTTGGGGAATAGTAACAGCTAAGCGCTCAGAACAAATGTGGGACATGGGAAACATCACGCATAGGTCGTAAGAAAATTGGTGAAGGTCTTACTTGGCGTCTTATCCTTGGTGGTATGGCGGTGGATGCGAATATGTTGGTTCAAGTTGTCTGACCTTGAAAATCGCTTATCACAACCATCGTAAGGACAGACAAACGCTATGATATGGGTCAGTGAACATCCACATTACCAATTGGATACAAAGTGGTGGGATACTTACGTTTTTCTAATGTGTGAATAGAGCGGATATGCCTCTTAAGATGTTCTGATCGCTTGAAAATCTTGCCACAGTTGTTATGGGTACATGTAAACATTTTAGCGGGTTGTGTGGAGTGGGCAGGATTGTTATTGGATACTCGTCTTCCTCTTGATCGAGACACCTTTGACTTTGAAGAAGACTTGGGTGCGGTGGGTGTGATTTGGGATTGCATATAATAGACTTCAGGCATGCAAGGTGACACTGGTGTCATGGGCCTAGACGATGCGTTGGACGAAAAGGAAGATACGCTTCCATTGCGAGTCAAGGTTTTGGCATAGTCAGCATATTCACACGGAACGCCAAAATTTGAAGGCATGCCAGGTGGACACACGTCTAGCGGGGACTGTATCATGTACGAATAGGCGTCCGTGACTGTATCCATAACAAAGCTATTTCGTCTTGACAGAGGGTGACATTCTTCATAATCGATGGTGGTAGCAGGAGAGTCTGGGTGTTGGCGACAATCGCTTTCATAATCGGAAAGTCCTGGAGTATCGCAGCCATGACCAGAAAGGAGGTCTGCATAGCTAAACCGTCGTTGCATATAAGTAGAAACTTGTTCATAAGGCCTTGTGGGAGGAGTAGGGTAGTCGGCATAAGACTGGCGATACACGTTGGTGAATGACATTTCAGTAGAATGAAGAGGTGAATACATTTGTATGGGAAAATGAGATGGGCTGTAATGGATTGGCCAAAAAAAAAAGGAGTCAGACTGATTACTGTGAAATTAAAGGGGAAGGCATCATCGAACGAGGAAGAACACGTTACCGACAACAAACGAAATGTAGCAGATATAATAAGCGCAAGTTGGTTTGAGAGCTTTTGTTGTGTACGAGTACTTTTGACTTCGACAAGCGTAATGAAAGAAAGATATGTGTGTGTGAAGAGCGGAAAGAAAGAAGATATAGGATGGATGTTAACCTTTTTCTAATTAATATCTTTTTTTTTTCCCTTCGTTGACTGCTGCTATAAACAAAAAAGGTCGTCACTCAAACCAAATTTATAAACGAAGCGCATGGTTCAGGCTGGGTAGGCTTTCCATATCCAGCGTGTGAATCGACTGGCGATCACCTTTCAGTTGTCTCTGTCGGATTCATCCGTCTACCTGCTGATCATTGCCTATAACTTTCAACTATGCATCTAGACGATCACCTATAAACGCCATCCTCTTTACTGGGATGGGATCATCGCAGCAAGCCAACCACAATTTCGAAGGACTTGCTTTATATCTTCCATGCGGTTTTGTTATCTTTTGGGAAAAAGTAGGTGTATGGGTAGGAGCGCAGGCCTGGCGGACGGACCGCTTTCGGAGATACCAAGCCCATTCACCGAACCAAATGGTCAGTGCTTGCTAGCAATGAGAAGCATGATTTATTTTAATGAAATAAAACAGACGGTCTGGACACCCCCAGTAAAGTAGAGATCGATCTAAATACCTATACACATGATGAGATAAAACCATGTGTATGTAAATACGTCAAATGAAATTTGAAATCTTCACCATAATATAAATGGACTTGCCCGTCAAAACAAGAAAGCAAGCTATCACGCGGATGAGCCTCACTCTAGGCTTGGAGTGACTGGATATGGATATTACCGTTGAGGTGGTTTAACGAAAAGGTAAAAAGCTACCAATCTTCTTAGAAGCAAATAGAGGTTACTTCAAAAAAAAAAGTTCTAACATGTATTGAACTTGGATTTGAGGCTGACTTAGTACTTCCTTTGATATCACTTTGACCATGCAGAAAGATAAAAAAGATCTCTTTTTTTTATTTCTTTTTAACAACATAGAGCATATCAGGCTGGCTGGCTGTTTCAAGGATCCACATAAAATGAGGCAGCCAGAGCTATGTGAAAATTTGCATATATATATATATAGCGAATTATTATGTCGAAGGCGGAGATGTGGGTGCAGTGGAAGCAAGCACAGGATTAGGATTCTGGCCTGATCCATAATGAAACTGCTGTCGACGCCTAGCTTCATCCAATAACGCTTGCTCTTCATCGGCGTTTATGGCATCATCGGTTTCGGCATCTACATTATTTCTTAGGCTACGGAACAATGCGGCAATGAAGCCAAGGACGAAAATGGTCAAAAACGCCCATTGAGAATAGTAATAGAACATGCCAAAAAAAGGCGTGTTCACTACTATACGATCGATGAGCGTAGAGATAATAGTAGGTGTGCAGATATCTGAAAGAAACCAATTTAGACATGTGTAACTTCCATAGATTAAGTGATCATCATCCCTGTTGCTTTTTTGCTCTGACTCCGTGATCACCTCTAACTTACCTATGGGTGCATAGATGTCACAAGGCACAATCAATTCAGGTTTGCCAGTGCAATTTCGAAGCCGATTCATTGTGCTGTTACACTATGCCAAGCAAACAAAAACAATCAATATGCGTATTATATGAATCGCCACTTTGGCAAAAGGCATTAGCCACTTACATAAACTTGGGAGCCAAAGTGTGAATAACCGGGTGCAACAATAGCCGTCAATGTATAATTGAGGGCTAGTAAACTTAGGGTAAGTAATATGGTGCAGCACATTAACCCCTGTGGTGCAGTTGCTCGCTTTTGGATCTTGTACAGCTGAACCCAAAGGAATCTCACACCTATAGTGATGACCCCTGCCATTGTTGCCAGGAAAAAGTATAATATTAAGGCGATCATGAAAATATAGTCAAGTGGGAAGAACTAGTTTGAAATAGCATTTGGATTAGCGCAACTCTCCTTCTGTTCTGGACACATCATGTTCTCTTCTCTCTGCCACTTACATTGGAAAGCTTGACAAATATGTAATTGATTGGATTGAATATATCTGGATGGCTGATAATGTAACCGCATCGACTTCCACAAACAGAGTTGGCAATTTTGTCGATACTGAAAGCAAAAAGCAAGTCATTCCCATTTGGTTTTGAATGGAAAAAGATAATCAGTTTAGAACCCAGGCAGGCAAACAAAGTAAGCGAAGATGAGCAAGGGGGTCATCTAAAAAAAGATACCACCCAGCGCAAGATTGCGTACAGAAACGAGGAACGAAAAAAAAAGCTTACATGGTCAGGAACATAGAAGCTACGATGACCAGCGTCAACACCATCAGGACCAAACCAATAACAAACTGGATCATTGAATGGTATTAGTCTGCTTGTATCATATCACTTTTTAGCTGGGTGCATTAGGCGAACTTATACCTCGAAGGGGCGAGCTACTTTCAATATGCGTTGCCAAATACTGTGTTCTTCTTCTTCGATGCCACGACGTCGGCGCAACAAAATACTGTATACAAAGAGTTAAAAATAAATTCAAACTGGAAAAAGTCATGGGAAAGGAGTGTGGTGGGAACTGTCACTCCACTGGCGAAAGGTTGAAACATACCGTTCTTCGTCTTCAAGATTCTCTAAACGACGAAGGTCCTTTGCTGATAGGCTCTCAGGTGAGCTCTTCAGCTTTATGGCGCGTTGTTGGTCGCGACATTCCGATAGACGATCATCAACATCAACTTCTTCTGTCTCCAAACGACGACGGCCTTTGATCATGCTGAATGGAAGGATGGACAGTCCGGGAGCCTGAATATTCATGTCGATAAGTCTGAGGTGCATAACGGACTGTAGAATTGATATATACTTACTGTATAGCTGATGAAAACAAGCATACCAAGCAAGAGTAAGCAAGCAAGCACAAATGAAATTGCCTTTTCACCATCTATTTTTTTTTAAAAATAAAGTGTCAGTTAGAAAAAACGATTCATGATATGTTCACGACCTTTCCAAAGAGAACATACTGCTTTCAGTTAGCAAATGCTTAAACCAGTCGAGATCCATGTGGGGGTGCTTGTGCTCGGCTTGCCTCATAAACAAACCCATCAACAGCAAAATGATGCTGATGACCACGAAAAATGAGGTGTATTTCATGGCAGCTGCAGTTCGCTGTCCAGGTGTAGTATCGTCATCCGATTCTTCATAGTAGAAGTAGGTGAAGGGTATGACGAAGAATGTAAAGACTCCGATCAACCCGTAGCAGACTAAAATGGAGCAAAAAATCAAAAGCGGCGTGAACAATCATGTGCATAGCGTTCAAAGCGGTCGACTGTTACATACTGTAATAGATGATCTGAATGGTTAACGTCATCCAGTACACGGTATCAGGGTTAGCCCACTCTTTTTTCAAACCGGTGCTATAATCAATGGTAGAGGAGACTAGGAAGATATCGACGGGAACTAAGGCAAGCGTTGCAAAGAGCAAGCTGAGACCTAGAATGGTGACAATGGTAGCAAAGAGTTCTGATTCATGTTTGTCTTGGTAATGGCGGGTGAATCCTATGCAGAAAATGACGAGCGCCTGGTAGGTAGGGTACACAACCCAGGTTAAGCTTTGACCAGGTTGACAAGCACAAGATCGTGGCACTTACACCAACGGCAATGCCATAGGCAGCCCAAGCGGCTCCAACTAAGGCAGGCATGAATGAGGAATGTGTCGACTGCACGCCCGTGTTCTCCCCAGTCGCTTTTAAACTAAAGCGACGCTGAGATTTCCCCATATGGAAATAGCCAACGGCGTCAGAGTGACAACGAAACATCGAAAATGATAGGTATTATTTGCATGATTGTGTGTGATTGATATGGATGAAAAATACAATTAGAAAATGGTCTGTCTATCTACCGTCTTCGTCTGGAAGTGGCATTTGGATTTTTACGACCAAATCCAATGGTCTCGGTACCGTACATATTGCTGTTGATTTGCTTTTCTGGGTTCAAATTAAAGCTAGGCATGAAATCTGGATCAAAAGCATTGACCTGCTTCTTTTTTCGTCGGCTGTTCATAGCCTTCATATACTCCTTTTGATCCTCTCGAAGAACGATGTTGTTAGCTTTGGTACCACCTTGAGGTTTCGGGATGTTGTACTGAGGATATGCCAAAAAAAAATGGTGTCAATTCAATTTTCATCCAAGGTGTATCTAAGCTCGATCTATACCGTACCTTCGTTCCTCGCAAATTGTATTGGAAGTTCTTCTTGAGCCAATAGGTCACATTTCCATACTGATCGGTACTGCAGGATGTGCGCATCAACGAAGAATTACCGCATTTGGGACAGAATTTCTTATCCATATCGCTGGTAACAGTATAGCAAGCATGGCATCTCATGACCCAATTCTTGATACGCTTCACTCGCATACCATCAGTAGAAACGAGATTGAGGTTCATTTGAAGGAGAACGTTCTAAACCGCGGCGGAGAAAACAGTCAATACTAGCACATAAAAGGACCTATCGACGTTTCCTCTCTTACCTGCATTGCAAAATCCGCAGTGATACAAGCAACTTGCATGACTTGGAATTTACTGACTTTACCCTCGGACTTGTGTCCCAGCTCTGCAGCTTTAACTTGAACCACGTTCTCTGGTGTAATCCATTCACCGGCATCACTATCCTCATCATCATCCTCACCAATCTGGATTTCGACATCCTCCGCAGGAGCATCGGTCGTCTCCTTTGCGTCAGTAACATCGGATGATGTAGGGATTTCCTCTGCTTTATCCTCTACTTTAAGGTCCTTCAATGCCTCTGTGACGTGGGTAGGCGTAGGAGCTGCATGTGGTACTACTGGACGACGGTGAGCCTTGTTCTTGCCTCGACCTGCAACCTCCCAAGTATCATCATCGTCTTGTGCTTCTTCTTCTTCATCCTCAACATCTTCTGGTGCTTGAGCAGGTTGACGGGGCTTCTTATTCACCTTTGTCTAAATGAAATTACTATTATTAAAAGGAGATTCCTTCACATTCCATATTGCGTTGTGGACACATACCTTGACAGGTTCAGTTCTAAGTCTAGCGGTGCCATTGGCCTCCACCTCCAGCATATAGGTCAATGCAAGCACCTTCAAATCAACGCTGGAGAGAGTGGAGAAATCACCGGTTTTGCGAGAAAAGTCGACAACTAATACAAATCAAAAATTCCATTTAGTTTGTGGATGGATTGGGCAGATGTCGACAAGGTGAAAGAAATGAATAGTATACCTGCTTTGATAGCTTCATCGGAAGGAGTGATGAGCTCAAGTTCAAAAGGCAGTTTCTTAATGTGCTCACGGGCATTCTTATCTCTGATTTCACCAACGACCTCGGGAATGGTGCAGAATCGTTGAGCAAGGTGTCGAAGTGGAGTGCCTTTCAGAAGTGGAGCGGAATCAATGACCAAGGTCAAGACTTGGTCCTTCTCGAGCTGTGGTTTAGCGACTTCCTGATCAACTACAGGTGTATCTTGAGCTATCTGCTCGCTATCATTGACGGGGTGTTCCATTATTGACGGATCGTTGCTGACAGATCGGATCGTTAACAGTTTCGAAAATTTTTTGCGGAGTAGCCTATGTCCCATTTTTTTTCTGTAGCTCCCCGAATGTGACGGCTCTATCTCTCCATTGCACGTTCAATCATGGTGAGTTCGAATTTCACAGCCCTGGAAGGACCATGCAGCTCACAATTGCGTTTAGGTCATGGACATGCCGGAGCCATTATTTATGGCCGAGCTCGACAGCGTCAGGACCTTGCTGAATATGTTGAAAGCTATTCAGATCAAAGGAGTAAGTGCATCACGAAAGCGGACCCCAACCGATCATGGCTAACCTCTGTCAACTATAGTATATGACTTGCGAAATAGACTCAGAAGTCCTCACATTTGTTTCTCAAGATATGCATTCGATAAAAGCTTCAGCGTACATGAAGCGAGAGCACTTTTCACAATATCGGTTTACAGGCTCCGACGATACACCGCGATTCACAGTAGGCTCGGACGCGCTGATCGGATGCCTTGGTATAATAGCCTCCAACCAAAACGATGGGTGTAAGATGAAATATGCTGGTGAAGGGGCTGTCTTTGAGATTAGGTAAGTGATGTTGTAATTGATAAGGAGGGAGTTGGATTTCTCGCGTTGCAGTTTGCCTGATTTCATCATTTCATGTAGAGGCGAAAATAGAGAGGCTATAGAGATCTGTAGGCTAAAGACCATGGAACCTGAAGAAGTGTTTATTGGCCTGAATCTAGGAGATAAAGTATCTTGGCTGCAAGCCACGTTAATGAAGGTTGGTATTGCTATAAGATGGGACAGCCATATAGGTTGTATATATGATGTTTAACATTGCAAACAGAGCGATTGGTTTAAGGATGCACTGAGTGACTTGGACTCAACGTGTGAGTCAGTGACGTTTCACATTTCACCCGACGACCAGTTCTTTCGACTGTCGGCGAATGGAGAAAGTGGTGAATGGAATGTAAGTAATGGCACAATGCAACGCACTCTCAATTTTACTGATACTAATGCGTTTCTGCATCTCCAGATGGAATACCCTGCACGATCCGACGCATTTTTAGAGTTTCATGCCGAGACAGAAGTCAAGTTTAGGTAAAGGCGAAGAATTATACTGGTGGATGGTCAAAAAAACATGTCATGCTAACGAACAGAATCCATCTGGATCCCTCTAGCTACCGGTATTCTCACATTGCTTTATGCAAGAAGGCACTGGAAATATCGGAGCATGTTTCACTGCGAACGGATCCATATGGCTACCTTGGGTTGCTGGTAAATATACAATTTGGATCAACGGCAATGAAACTGATAAAATTCACTGAACAAACTCCTCGCCCTCTAGTTTTCAGTAGAGACATCAGCAAAGGCAGCTTATGTCGAATTTGTTGTAAGTCTAATATTTCAATTGGCACAAGGTTTTTCTGATGAAGCTGACACTTTTATTGAATCGCCTTTATAGATTGCACCCCTGGATACTGACGAGACTTCCTCACAAAGTGATTCGGGAACGTAGTAGAAGGAGATGAAAGGGGGTTTGCGGGTTCTATCCCTCTTGGTCAATGATTTTTTTAATACAAGAGAAATTAGTAGTAAAGAGTTTAATTACACTGGCAACATTGGTTTTTTGGGAAATCAGGCATTTTTTATTTGCTTGCGACTGTTGTCGTCGCTGAGAGCTCCATTGTGGTGCTCTACGATAGGCAATGTGCCATTGGCATCAGTCTTTATGGGGTGGTATAGTGGGTGACGAACTATATGGCTGAAGTTGCGGTCTTACGTTGACAACGCGCTCGAGGAATTTTTTTTTGTCACGTCGATCGCTTGGCTGGGCTGCCAGGCACGTTTGGAAAACAGGACTCCGCACCCTTCCTCCATTGCTCTTCCCATTTCAACGACTAGCGGCAAGAATGAGCCATCCAACTTCCATGGGTAAGTGATCTGTATAACGGTTGAATCAACGTGATCTGCCGACTGATTCCTCGTTTCCTTTTAGATATCCAAGGTACTGTGGATCTCGAAAAACAAATCAATGAAGAATACAAAATGTGGAAGAAAAATTCCCCATTTCTGTATGATCTTGTCGTCACCCATGCACTAGAATGGCCAAGTCTTACGTGTCAATGGCTGCCACAGCTTCCGTTAGTGCATTCTCAATTGATTTGATTTAACGCGATAAAAAAGAAACCACTAAGCATAGGTCAGCAGTGACAGTGACAGGTCGGTGCAGAGTTTATTGGTGGGCACACATACCAACGACGAAGAACCGAATTATCTTCAGGTGGCTTCGGTTCAATTGCCCACAGACAGCGAAGCGCAGTCAGCGAGTAAGTGAAATGAAAGCAACAAGTTGGTTTAGGGTTGGAATTCGTCTGACCCGTAGGATTTTGCTAGATGGTGGCGGCGCACACGTTCGAATTACTCAGAAGATACCACATGAGGGAGAAGTTAATCGAGCACGTTATCAACCCACCAACCCTAATATCATTGCCACGAAAACGAGAACAGGTGACGTTCTTGTCTTTGATCGCAAGCGACATGCCAGTTTCCCAAAAGATCGGGATGAAAAATGCAATCCTCTTTTACGGTTATCAGGACATGATAAGGAAGGGTAGGTATCACACAATTTGAAGCAGCCAAAAAAGATAGAAAAAAAAATTGGCGTGCTGCTTGATGGGAAATAAGAGAGCATACGCTGACGCTTTCGATAACAGATATGGATTGGCTTGGAACCCGCATCAATCTATGGGGCAACATGTTCTCAGCGCAGGTTTTGACAACCTTGTTTGTCATTGGTAAGGAAACTGTTTGGAGTTTGATAAGGTGTGAGAGCATGTGAGACCCTGACTGCGTTTACCAATGATACAGGGATATTGCCTCCACTCCTGAGCAAGGCAATACACTTCAGGCGTATCGCACCTACAACGCTCACACTGCTAGCGTCGAAGTAAGTGTGTCTTTTTTTTTTATTATTGATCTGGGTTCTGTACTGAAATCTTGATGAGCGAGCGTCCAATTTTGTTCTTTCCTTATCTCTCAAAATATTTAACTCCATGCTTTCTTAGGATGTAGCATGGCATATGAAACATGACTCTATCTTTGCCTCTGTAGGAGATGACATGAGACTCATGATGTAAAGTTGTCTAATTTCCATCAGATAACGGGGACCACAACCGATTTTGACACCTATCAATTTTATTTTTTTATTTAGCTGGGACTGCCGAAAGGAAGGGTCTGATAAACCCAGCCATAATATCCAGGCTCACAAGGCGGAGGTGAACTGTGTCGCTTTCCATCCTAGTTACGAATGGATCTTGGCAACTGGCTCAGGTGATAAGGTACGTACGACAATGAGGAGCGAAGAAAAAAACACGCGCACATACTTATGCCCTCATAGACAGTAGGATTATGGGATATGCGCAATTTATCGCGTCAATTACACAGTCTGGAAACACATGAGGATGAAGTGTTGCAATTGAGCTGGTCACCGCATCATGATGCTATCTTAGGATCGGCCAGTAGCGATAGAAGAGTCAACATTTGGGACCTGACCAAGATAGGTGAAGAGCAAACACCGGAGGACGCTGAAGATGGTCCTCCGGAATTACTGGTAAGGCCGGAGATGAGAGGGGACTAGAGGGGAGGACTAACCACCAGAGCGGGTGTTGGAAATCATAATAATTATCTCACCCTCGCGATTTTCTCACTCTTTATTTTTTTTTTATAACCAGTTTGTACACGGTGGACATACGAATAAGATTGCCGACTTCTCATGGAATCCGTTAGAACCTTGGGTGATTGCTAGTACCGCTGAAGATAATATTATTCAAGTTTGGCAGTTGGTAAGTGAGGAGACAGCGCGCAGTGCCATCATCATGCTGGTAACGTAACATTGGATTATTTTAGGCAAATAACATCCATACTGGTAGTGATCAAGTATCGATTGCCCTTAGCGACTTGGAATGATTGCATAGCCCCCCGAAAGATAGGAAGTCACGGGGATGTGAATTGTGTGAAAAGCGTTGATACGTTCAGGTGGCCATCAAGCTAAACCAATCAAATTGCACTTCCTCAGAGATTTTCCTTTTCTGAATAGCGAGTGTTCCGTTAGCAAATAAAATGTAGAATAACACGAATAGATGTGTTCGAAAGGCAATGTACGGCATAATGTCTTTTCAATTTCTTTATGCCTAGCATTTATGTGAAATAGTCAGGAGATGCTAGCAGGGAGAGAGCACGAATGATATAATGTGAGTGGAAAAAGTGGGGGAGTCGTGACACTATCCACGTTCAAAATTGCATCACTTGCCTATCTTTGCTGGCCTGAGCTTACCAAAGGTACCTGAGAAAAAAAAAATTATTTATAAACGACTACTGAACTAGATATCTCTTCCCAATTCCTCTTTTCTTCTTCTACTTTGACTGCTTTCCTCCCTTCTACTGATGAGCAACCTCAATTGGTGTACGTTCTGTGATAATGCCATCAATCCCTTCTCGGTAAGGTGTTCATGATACATTAGAAGAATAAAAAAACCCGAAACCCCCTCGACTGGCTCTAATCATCGCTCATTCTACACTATAGAATTCTCTGTATTGTAGCGAGGCTTGCTTAAGAGGAGACGCTTTAAATCACCACCCCTTGCTGGGATACGACTTTTCTGAACTTCAAGATTTTCCTCGTAGGGCTAGCACCAGTCAATCGCCAGCACTATCAATATCAGGATCGTCCATAGCTTCGTCGCCTATACCATCCTACACTTTACCATCGCCATTGCCATCCTCATCTCAGATGAATCTCCCTCCCAAATTATCTCCGCCGCTATTTGAGTTGGGCCAACCCGCCTTAGTTAAACAGCCATTTCCCAAACGCTCTTTTCACGTATGAAGAACACAAAAGCAAATCAAGGTGTCATCAGCTACACCTGTGTAAATAGATACCCTCATAGCCTTTGATCTTTTCGGCTCTGAATTTGATTCTTTAAGTTTTTGCTTTTCCATGAATTTTACCCCCGCTCTGTCGTTCGTTGTTTTTGATGCATTCATTGCCTTTACCCAAAGTGTACATGTTTTTGGTTTATACAATCTTTTTGTTTGCACATTATAATCTCTTCTCTTCACATATTTCACCCCACCTCCAAAAAAAACCCCAAATGATGATATAAAACGAATTATTTTTTTTAAAAAAGAAGTTAACATATCGACTTCCATGACGTTCCACGCCAATCAGGTCTCAGCGGCAACACCGTTTAGCCATACTAGATGGCTGATCCAATCAAGGGTGTCACAGTCTTTTTCTTGTGGACCATCCAAGGTGTATCGATTTTCCCATACCATTCGGCGAGATGAAAATTTTGCTCAGGCAAACTCACATGCAGAACCTTGATTGGTGTGATCCTCGCCTCTTTCTCCACACTTTCCGGATTGGTCCAACTTTAATGGGGATAAAATTGTTTATTACAGTATATGCGTGTGTTGACAAGGTGGAAAAAGAGGAGCAATGTAATTACAGGACAGAGGGGCAAGGAAGAAAATAAAAAAATTGGACGCTTACACAAAAATATATATAACAAATATGCAAAGATATAATAAAAAACCTATCTTGGTGGTTTAAAATTGTGTAAGGTTTGTGACAGATCAGCGTGTAGGTAGAGACGCTCATCTAGCGTACATTCACTTCCGCGGCGGCGACTTTCTTCAAGGTCTTGGATGCGATGATGCGGTGTCGATCGAGCATTGTGTCGAAGTTCAGCAGCAACCCGATCCAGCGGATGCTGCTGCGCAATATGCGAAAGGTCGTTGTCATAGCCTTCGAATGCAAATGTGATATCATCGTCCAAGTCTTCCAAAGTCGAAGGATGATTTAGGAAACTGGGCGGTGCACGTGGTTTCGCGGTCGACATTGGAGTGCTGCCAGCGCTCTCCATGCTACCCGTCAAGCTACTTTCCATGGTCTGATCACTGGGACGACGGTCTAGTAAGTATTGACGGGATATCCCTGAACCAAGCATATGAGTTGTGTTGGTTGGTTCGTTATCGTCGCATTCTTCAATCGTCATGCCAAGAAGCCCAGGACTTGATCCTCGTCGTAAACGTGCCATCAGTGTGGACGAATCGACTACTGTTCCCGAGTCATGACGACGGTCGAACCAACGTCGCCAAGTGTCTAAAGCCTCACGATCATGCACCTGCACATAAGCATCGTACCACCCGATCCCATGGACTTTGAACACGTAGTTCCCAGGCTCGCAAGAAAACACAGACGTCTGGTTGTAAGCGAAGATGCTGCCTTTGGATGATTTGGTCTGAGTATCAAAAAAAAAAGGAGATGTTAGAATAGATGCGTGAGTTTTAGTAAACTTTCTTGTATTTCCTAGTCACTTCGTGTATAATCCAAGTAAAAATAAAATTCTGTTTTCTTTCCCCCCCCCATTGACATGCTCTAAAATCCCACTTACCGAAAAGAAAGAAAAATACCCAGACCAAGGAAATACCATGATGTGCAACATCTCCCATTGCGCTAAGAAAGGAAAGTATCGAAACACACGTCGCATAGGCATCTTGCCTTCATGAGCTTCGATAAAACTGCCAGTGGATTTCCCGTTTTCATCTACAAATGTGCTGCCTAAGGAACCTTTTCGGTGTCTGGATAACATTGGTGGATCCGACGCTAAGATTTGGTCTAGGCTAATTAGCTCTCCGTCAAATTCATGATTACTGTGCAGTTGGAATCCAGTCGTCACAGCCGAAGAGGATGGGAACATGGAATAGGCGTTATGTTCCTGCGATGGTTTGAGTTCTGCATCACTACTGGTTCCAGACGGCGACTTATGACTTCGCTGGTGTTTAAAGAATTCGTGCAGTTTGGGGAGAAATAATATCAAAAACGATACACTACAACCCCATAGAATGGTCACCACCGTGATATAAAACCGCGTAAAGTAATCTAGCATGGAGTTAACCGTGACGATAAACCCAATCATAGCTGAGAACATGATGTTGCTGTCGTAGTTTATAAATTAGTAAAATCGCACATGGGCTCTTCGCGCCTTCCCCCATAGTATCATCTTCTTAAAAAAACTTACTACACGGAAAATCCGATTTGCCGGCATTCATTGTATTTGCTGTAATTTGTTCCTACCAACCGTGTCTTATATGCAAGAAACGTTGCAAAGCCAACCAGTAGGCCGGCAAATGTAAGTGTAAGCGCTTGGAACGGCACCTTGGCTGGACCTGTAGCATCACAGGACCAATAATGTTGCGTACTGGACACTTCCACAGCAGTTGGCGAAGGAGGCGCTACTGCAAGACCTACTCCCAGGATAGCCTATGTAAAATAGATTAGTTTCGAACATCATGATAATATGCCAAAATGGGGGGTTGCTGACCATGCTGACGGTAATAATAATACTAGATGCTTTGATAAGTTGAAAGTCGGTAATGACAGTTCGTGTAATAAAGATGTTGTTGAAGATGCGGTATATTCTAAAATTTTTGGCGACCATATTACTGTTGTGTAATGATGAAACACCATGTATATAGGAGAATCAATTAAAAATCATTTCAACCAATGTGACCAAAAACCATTGTCTGACTTACCCAAGTACAAGAACAAATCCGAGGTTGAATACAATAGGTGACATATAACAAGTGATAGTGGTAGGAACACCAATCATCAAGATGACGTTCGCATAGGTTAGCATAAATCCAATGAGTTCCAGGCAGCAGAATATTGGACTGGAGGGAAGAAAGTTAGACCCATTTGAAAACAATCATCAAATGAATGAATATTTACCTTGAAGCTTTGAAGACTTCGTGTTTTCTAAAAGCAATGACCAGAGTCATGGTTCCGAGAGCAAATAAAATACCTGCCGCCGAAATGATGAAGATCACCATACCAGCAGGACTAGTAATGGTTGGGTTCAAAGCCACACTTGGAGGAGAATCTGCTGGTTTCTGCAACAGTAGTGATGATCAAGGAGTACAAAAGAAGAAAAACATTTTTCAAAAATAGGAATGGACGAAGAGGTCAGCACTTTGCTTGTTAAAGCTAGATAGTCAAAAATTCTCTTACCACATAGGATCCGCCAGCGTACATAGGTGGTAAAAAAATATCCATTTCTCCACTGATACTATTTCCGATCACAACTTGATTTCCCCATTGTAAGTTATAGACTAGAAAGTTCCTAAGATTCATAGAATAATTATTTTTAATATTATTAGGCAGGGGGGAGTCGTGGGTAGGATGGACAGTGTTTCACAGCTTAATCATGATAAACTTACGATTGAGTGACATCGCCATTCGCATCAAGGATGATGGGACCTTCAGGACCAACGTAACCTACGTTGAATGCTAGCGGTGTCATGTATTTTCCAAGCTGTCCCGTTGCCAATTGAGTGAGAGCAACAGAAGAGTTCGTGGCGTTAGATAGTGTCGTATTGAATCCGCCTGCAAGTACTTTCATACAGGAATATGCCAACCTGTTCGAAAAAAAAATATGGGTAACATGTTAGCAGTCGGTATTGAATACAAAACCTGAAGCCTTAGCTGAAAAAATGCGCATTAATGTATGTTGTAAAAGAAATTGTCAAATTCCTTACCCTTCATTTGTTGTAATATTGCGTACGCCGGCATAGGGGTAACTAATTGAGATAATGCCAAAAGCAAGCCACGATTAGCGTTAGATTATTTCACAGTCATACCTTGTACTGTTCAGCTTACTCTATTGGATCAAGGGCAGCCCATCTGTCCAGGAAACTCTCGTACGGTGGATATCCGTCTGGTGTTAGCCAGGTATCAAACAGTACGACGCCAGTAAATGTTTGGTTAAAGTCAATGAGTGACATATTTTTGGTTTGCAAAGCTTCCACCATCATTGGATCGGATGCAGCAGCGACAGCTGAGGAAACACTGTTGGAGGCTGCAGTGCCATTAGCAATACGCTGTATGACATCGGTATTGTAAGTGCTAACGGCATTTTCCAAAGTCGAACCAACTGCACCAATCAAGAGCCAGACGTAAGAATCGTCCATGTAACCCATTGAGGCAGCTTGGACCATTATAGCATTTTGAGGATCGCCAACCGCAGCCACAATAATAATGCGAGCACCAGAGTCTGTGAAATTTTTTAGAGTGGATGCAATATCGGACTGGATTCCGTTCTTATAAAAAGCTTGATAGGTGACGATGTGAATGTTCATGAGTCCGGCTTTGATGATAGCTTCTTCGCATACTGAAAGTGTCTGATGAGTTGAATGTCATTATATCTCACAGTATATTTTTTACTTACGTTGTTGCCCGAGTGCATCGTCCGAATACAAGATGGAGACTTTGTCCCACCCCTGACTCGCAACATAAGCTAACATGGTATCTGCAAATATAATTTGCGTTGGGATGGTTCTAAAAAAATATTGATACTGACTCTTGTCGGAAAGAGAGACTATACATTGGTTGATCAGAACATAATGCATATATCGGTGGAGCTCGCTAAAGACTGCAAGAAGAATATTTTTAAAAAAAAAACTCAGCTTACTGGCGCTGGCAGAAAATGAACATTGCGGAATTTGTAACGCTCCGGTCATCAATGCACTCAAACTGGTCCATGAACTAGAAACATCGCCGATCACTCCGACTACACCTTGTTGGAGCAACGTGACGGCCGCGTAGACTGCGTCGGTAACGGATGTCTGACCGAGGCCATTGGTTGGAAATGAATCTTTTTCAATCAACGTAATATATCCTCCTGGAATAATGCCTTGGGTATTGATTTCATGAGCAGCCATACGAATGGCAGATGTACCACTATCGAAAAGATTGACTGACTTTTTAACACCACCTCAAAATCATTGACATTTTTGGCATTGTGTAATTTACCCCCATACGATTTCATGCGTGAAATTATCTTCGGTCTGACTAAAGGGCAGTAGTATTCCAACCTATAATGTGTTTGATGGGTGAGTAGTCGATAAGCATCAGGGGCGGAATAGATTATGAAATATACCCTGATTTCGGTTAAATTTGTAGTGTCTATGTTTGGTCGAATGATTGTAGTAGAGTTTCCAATTGTTATAATACTAGTCCCATCATGCGAGATGTACGTGGTGGTGGTATGCACTGAACTATTGGCTACAAGTGATGTTGTATTGGTGATTGTGGGGATGTTGGGAGTGCCAGCAGTATATGACATAGTTGTCAAAAGGCGGTAAAACCGTAATAGCTATGCGAAAGACAGCCTCTAAAAATTGATGTAGCAGCTGGAAAATGACAAAGTAAAGGTCGTATGTGGCGACTTTCGAAAAGTATATATTTTAAGAGAATAAAGGAGAGGAGAGAGCAAAAAAAATTAATCGTAGTGTGGAAAAAAAGAAGAACGAGTCCAAGCGAGAAGAGGGGGTAAGGTAACGAAGGGAAGGGGGCATTGGTTCAGTGACTTTATCTGTGTTTTTATTCGTCAAGCTGCATCATAATCGGCAGGTGTGCATGTCGATCGCCTCCTATCTTCTCAACTTACGGGAGGCACGTTGCGAAGAGAGGTCGATTTTCTCTTCTTATTCTACGACTGGCATGTTCAGAGATCATTCACTATGTATTAACAAACATACCCGAACTCATCTCCTCATGATGAGCCACAAGATCGCCAATACCTCCACTAAAAATTTGTATTCTGCAGTTGAAAGTACAATGACTGACAATTTGAATGCTAACTGTTCGTAGCTGTGAAAAAATTATTTTAGACCATTATAAAGGTCCTGTCCTACTTCTTCTCTAAAGCTTACCTGCACTGAAAGGCTCCGCCGCGCTTTTAGCTGCAAGTGAAAAAATAAAAATTTGATAGACCAGAAAAAAAATAGACTTTTGTCAGTCTCACCTGGGTGGATCTGTTTATTGAACGTACTTTTATGACATTCCTGTGGCTGGCAAGTGTGGATGTAAATACCCATGCATAACTCTTGCAAAGGCTGAAGTCAGTCAGAAGCAGTATGACTTCTTGGCTGCTTGTGGTGACGGACATCTGTGCGTTCTTGGATAAGCCATGTGTCCAGAAAGGGACGAGTCATGTGACTGGCACGACCATCGGTGTTGGCATGACGTGCGGTCGGGACTTATTTAGGCGGGGCTCGAGAGCCAATTCGAAACCAAGTCTTTACATCATTTCATCCAAATCCAGCAATGGAACTTTTTAGCCATTCAATTATTTTATTAGGAAAAGCAAGACCTTCTCTTTTGTTCACTTTCACTGCTTGCTGTTGTTTTGAATTTTTCTTTTCTCTCCACAATACTATTTTCATTCCACCACCTTTCCTCCTTCCTGCTCTATTCTCTCTTGTATGTATGGAAAGAGCCGAGTACAGCGGAATGATAACAATGACATGGATTCTCCTTCAACATCCACCCCCAACCTGCAATGGTTCATTATGCCGGAAACGGTGTTGATGACCGACGCTAATTTAAACATCGAAACCACCATTACACCCAACACCAAGTCATTCAACCAATCGTTGCGAGGTCAACCACTTTTGAAGCTAGTGGCTGACGATGAAGTTCAAGTGATTCGTGAAATCGTCAAGAAGACCCAGATCGGAGACGGCGACCCTGTAGTAGAATCCATCACTCGCAATCGGTTTATGAACGACATCACTTACAAAATAAGTCCAGTGTTAGACATAGCTGGCAACATTGTACAATATTTGATTACTCGCACCATCAGCTCAGCGCCCAAAGAATCATCCCCCCCAAGGTGGGTTATGGGCTCTATTATTTGGCATGTGTCACCTCAGTCTTTAATTTTTGCTTCCCCTTAGGTTCATGGAAAGAAAACACAGTGGCAGTAAGGATAAAGTTGCCAATGACATAGAGGTATTGTCGCCGTTTTTGGTTATTGTAGGTACTGGTTTAGGATTTCCCAACTGACGGTTTGAAATTCCGCCAAAATAGGTTCACCACAAGTCATCTATTGGCAATGATAAGGTTCGTGATTGGCTGTCGGACTGCCAAATGCCTCGCTGTTACATCAACGCTAACCCTCTTTTACCTTCCTTCAGATCTTGTCAAAATTTATCAAGGTAGTAGAGAATGCAGACCCATCCGTGGCAGCTGCTATTTGGTTAGCTGATAGGAACAACGCTTCGACACTGCACCTGGTGGCCTTTCCTAAAATTAGAGAGTTAATTGGTGTCAAAATATCCATCAACAAAAGTAAGTGTGCTAAAAGAGACTAAAACGCTTTAGATTTTTCACCGGTCGGTCCAGAACACCCGTATTAAGTACCTCGTCATTGCAGAACATTTGAATATCAACAAGCATGAGATTACTTCGATCCCGTTGAAAGACAGCCATTTTCAAACACCCGAATTAGTAACGAAATTGGAGGACCACAACCTCTTTACCGAATCCACCGTACCGCTTCATAGTACATCGCATTCACTTGTTGGATTACTCGTTTTTTATGGCCCTAAAAGTCACCAACCTTCGTTCTCACTCAAAGAACTCGTCAACGATGCTACATCGCTGGTAGAATCGGTCATTGCCCTTGAGTACGAACACCAGACTTCTAGACATTTAATTGAAGAGCGGATGTCTACCAGCCTTAATGCGTCAGCAGGTAGCAATGCCACCTTGATTGTCGATTCTCATGGTCGATTACAGTTCATAAGTACAATTGTACGAGATATGCTTGGTCTCAGCAAAACTGCCAACGTGGACCTACATAACCTCGAAAATTTTGTGGATGAGAAAGATCGCCATCGTGTCACGTCGGCCGTCACCAAAAGCAAACAGAATCCTCAAATTACTCGATATGTTGACTGCGTAGAATTTCATCGACGTATCCCCTCTCAGGAGGAAAACTCCCAAGAAAGTGATTACGAGGCAGATGGCTTCTATCTTGATCTAAAGATCCAGGGTCTTTGGGATGATCCCTCAGTAAATGGCTGTCTTGTAAGATGGGATTTCTTTACCCTCTACCCATTTTCTTTTATTATTAACTCACATCCCTTTTGAATCTCCCTACCCCCTACCTCAGATACGTGCAAGAGATATTTCGCCCAAAGCCATTTCGGATCGACAAACTTTGGAGTCTCAAAAGTCTCTAGCCATGACCAATAATTCGTTGAACGAAGGTCTTATAAGAACAAACAGCGAAGGCATCATCGAATATGTCAACCTTGCCTTCATCAAATTGATCGGCATGGACGAATGGATGTTAACTAGCAGAACTCGACCAGGATCCGGAGGTTCAGGTTCACCAACAGCCGAACTTCTTTCATCGTCATCGTCTGCTTCCGATTCAACCAGTACAGACGATGATGACCAGAACGTCAGTTTGATGACTACGTTGATCGGAACCCCTATTGACGATCTTTTGCAGTTAATACAAGTCGTCATCCAAGAACGATCTCCTTCATTGTCTGCCAGCGATACGGCAGGATCAGCTACAGTTACTGATAACAGCACAGCTCCCACACGCAACCATCAACAAAAATCGATTATCAACTCCCGTTCGGCATCACCTCTTGTCACTGAAAGTGCCAGCGATACTGGCACAGATACAAAATTAGATTCTTCGAATTCGACTTCTACAGATGATGATATGTTTAATGATGGTTTTTCTTACAAAACCTTGCTTGTCGATATGAAATCGATGATCAAACGAACCGTCATCACTAAGGATACCATGACGCTAGCCGACAACAAGTTCCACAATGCATGCCATGAAGACGTGTATAGTGATGTATTGACACAAGATATGGTAGATATCGTCAACTTCCAATTAGGCGAACCCGACCTTGGACGCAGCATTGGCTATTTAATTCGACGGGGTGGCCAAACAGCAGTTGTAGCCGTTGAAGTGACCGTCAACCCTCTTCAACGTATATCCTACAAGCGATCCAAAGCTCGAGCTCACTCGAAAAACACAGATGGTGTCGTTCTTGTCTTTCGCAACATGACGGAAGTCATGAGGACGCAATCTGCCAATCGACAGTTGGCTGATAAGTCACGTTGGATCTCTGTCATCACTCATGAAATGCGATCCCTTGTCAATGGTATCATTGGTATGCTGGATCTCGTCAAGACTACCCAATTGAGTAAAGAGCAAACCGGTCTTGTTAATTGTATGGAAGTCAGTGCCAACGCGTTGATCTGTCTGGTCTCCAATACGCTCGATCATGCACGATTAGAAGCTGGCAAGGTGTCTTTGGAGTATCTTCCATTTAACATGCAGGAACGCCTACGCATTGTTGTGGATCTGATGAACATGATGGCCGACGCTAAAGACGTCAAATTTTCCGCAGACATTGACGAAGACGTACCAGAAACCATGTATTCCGATTTCAATCGACTGTTCCAAATTCTTCTCAACCTTACATCCAACGCAATTAAATTTTCATCGCACAAGCGAAAACAATCCAAGCAAGGACAGGTCAAACTCATTGTCAAGAAAGTAGATGAGGAGTATCAAGCCATGTCGCCACTCGCCGTCAACACCTCCGATCCAATGAAAGCCAGCAAATTCTCATCGATGCTTAACGCTGATTACGAGTCACCGAAGACAACCCCACAGAGGTATAAATCAATGCTTGCCTCTGACAGATACCCATATATCCTAACTTCCACTCCCAGCCCAAGTATGTTTCCGTATTTTTTTTTTTTACGTATGTGGTTTGGAATACGTTTGTGTTGCACCGGCACTTACTTTGGCATGCATGTTCTCTCTTTTTTTGTCATCTTTGGCATATTTTTTTCTCTTCTCTAGGTCACAAAAGCCCACCTCTTCCGACAGAACCTAACCGGCGACTAGTACAGCTGTAAGTTCAATTATACTATTATACTTTATGTTACAGGAGGCAGGAGGGAGTGGGGGGGTTTTTTTTTTTAAAAAAAAAAAAAAAAGTGGAAAACGGACTTTGTATGCACATTCCAGGCGCGAGATAGTGTACACTCAGATGAGGGGGCGACTTGTGATGTTCAATTGTATTCATTGGGCAACGCCTTTATACTCACTCCTCCCAAAATTTCATTTCTTTTCGCATACTCTCTAGTCTCTTCATCATAGAAGATAACGGCATAGGTATATCACCAAGAGATAAGGAAAAACTATTCCAAGAATTTGGGCAAGCAGAAGTATCTATTTCAAGGCGATACGGAGGCAGTGGCATGGGTCTCTTCATTTGTAAGCAGCTCGTACGACTGTTTAACGGTACCATTGGATGCGAAAGCACTCTAGGCGAAGGAAGTCAATTCTGGTTCACAGCATGGTTTCAGTCAAGCGAAGTCAAGTCTGCTGCTGGATCAGATAGCAACAATTACTTCTCTATGGAACAGGCCATGCTTGTGAACAATAATTACGACAATGAAACTTCGTCATCCAATCAGGAGGAATCGACGGAAAGCGGATCAGATACAACGACGAATGATGTTTCATCTGAGGAAGCAAGTGACTCAAATCAAGACACCCCTCACCCGCGACATTCCAAAAAATCAGTTCGACGGAAAGAAGACGTCCGTATTTTGATTGCAGAAGATGATCGCATCAACCAACAAGTGCTACAAAAGTTCTGTCAGGGCCTTGGCTATCCCAATGTCACCGTGGTAGGCGATGGTCGAAGTGCCGTTAAAAAATGCAATAAGCGGCACTTTGACATCGTTTTGATGGACAAATCGATGCCGGCAAGTCTTGCGTTACCAGGATGAGATCATTGTTGGATCATGAACTAATAAGCTTTTTTTGGTATAGATTATGGGAGGCATGGACGCTGTACAAGCCATACGAGATGGACAAGCTGGAGACAAGGACCTTCACATTATCCTCATAAGTGGTGACACTAACATAGACTATGCCCGATATCGTGATCTGAACATCAATGGCCACTTGGTCAAACCCATCCGAATGCCGGACTTAAAGAGAGAGCTGGACAGGTATTCAGCTTCCGTCTTGCATTCAACTGTACCAAAATAAGGTTGATTGTTAGTTATTTTTCTTCAGTGTATAATTTTCCCTCCTTCGCCGCCACTATTCACCACGCTAAACTACATCGTAATGTGTATACACTCTCTTCAAAGTATTTTTTATCCCCCACCCCCAATTCCTGATTGAAAAATGGCAAATCTGTAATAATATCACTTCAACACCTTTCGACTGGTGATCGTCGAACCAATTGTGTTCCAGGCCCCGATTAGTGTAACGATTAAAAATAGGATGGACGCTTAGGTTAAACAAACAATTGTTAGAAAAAAAAAAAAAAGGTAGCAAGAAGTGAACGAAGCATAGAGATGTTGGGAATCTCTACGCTAACAAGCATTTTGAGTAGCCCAAGACTATTTAGTGCACTTGGGCCAAGCGCTAAAATGGGTGGCGCATTCAAAGGTCTGGAACGACGCAAAAGACTGAGTCATGAGTCAAGTTTTTTTTTTTTTCTTTTTTTTTCTCTCAGATTTCAGTCTTTGTATAAAATTAGCCACCCGTTTGTAGACGATCTATTTTTTTTCCCAGTTTCCTCCTGTTACCCCCATTATATGTCAACAAACCATCCAACCCTTCCCAATCATCAATCCGAGTTACAAATCCACCTGGACAATGACACCCTCATCATGCATGGCTCACAGCAGGAGTCTTCCGGGTGTGTTTTGCGTGGACACGTTCGTCTGAACCTTAAAGAAGCGACCAAGTTCAAGTCTATCACTCTACGTCTCGTTGGTAAAATCAAGGTTGCCTGGTCCGAATGTAAGTGAAACAATAGCATGTCAGTGTCTCAAATCAGCCAAACCTAACATCCACTCTGTAGCTACGACGTCATCTTCACCTCAGAAGTTTCATAAGGAAGAGAGAACGATCATTAACAAGGAGTGTTCCTTCTTACCTACTCGAAGGAATCAATCACACCAGTTGTCAGCTCAACAACATCGATGGGATTTTGAGTTTGCTTTACCCGGAGATTTACCTGATTCGATCGAGAACAACGATACCGGCAGTGTACAGTACCGCCTGAAGGCCATTGCTGAACGTCCCACGTTTTTGCTCAATTACACAGACAAAAAATCCGTGCGTATTGTTCGCCATGTCTTACCTTCCAACACTGAATGGTTTTCACCCATGACTATCACCAATGAATGGGCCAACAAGCTCGAGTATCACATCAGCGTACCCTCCAAAGTGTTTACCGAAGATGAGATCATCCCTGTCAACCTCCGCATCGTTCCCAAGTTACCAGGATTGAAAGTTCGCTATTTAACGTGCTCCCTCAAGGAATATGTTACGTATTCAGCTGGCAGCAACAACCAATTTAGCAAGACAGAAGGTCGCATCGTCCAATTCTTCCGCGATGAACAATTCCCATGCAGGGGTGACGTTTGGCAGAAGACTCAGCGAATTAAGGTCCCACGCTGCCCAAGTGGCGTTCAGTTCGATACCAAAAATGAATTGATTCGCATCCGTCACAAACTCAAGTTCACTATGAGTTTGATCAACGCGGATATGCATATTTCCGAACTACGCGCCGCTCTTCCTGTCATCATCTGTCCCATTTCGCAAAGAACGGAAGAAAACACCCTTCCAGCTTATGAAGAAGCCCTTAGAGCCGTCCCGTATTTTGATCCCTCCGAATACAATTATTCCTCGGGTGATTCGGCTGCTGGTTCACCGGTAGAGGAGCGTGAGGCTTTGTTTGAAAATACCGAAGCCGCGGACAGAGCTGTTCAATATCTGCATCAACAATGGGCTGCTTCTTTGAATCGTGTTCCCTCTTACCGAACTGCTTTACGAGACCGACCAGCCGTCGACCGCCCTACTTCACTACCTTCTTATGACTCGCTGTGTGTGATGTAAGAGTACATCTTGGCCTGAATACCCAGCTACTCACCACAAACCGGCTTTTTTCATATGGTTGACAAGGTGTTATTAATTGCCAGGGGGGACGAGAACAAATTTTGTACATAACCTTGTTCTTTCACCCCTTCCTGCGTTACGATACACCACTCCATCCCTCACTATGTATCATATTACCCCTTCCCCACCTCGTCTTACCTTCTCTGTTGGCAGTTTGTAGTTTTTACCATAGGAATGGCTGTAACATTACATAATGTGATAAACCTATTGTACATATCGCTATCGCCAATGACCTTTATGCTCTGAGAGCAACCGAACAATAATAATAAATACTCGAATAAGCACAACCTGTATGTGTAGTGGATTCATTGGAAGTGGTATTTGGTTGTCAAGGATACAGAGTGTGTGATCCATTAGGCTAAAAATTATAGAGGGAAGAGAGACTGGTATTAGAAGGTAAGCCAGATCTACCAAACGATATATGCAGTACTGATAATAAAAGAAGATGCCAAGTTGTTAACCAAACCATACATATTATGATGGCTTCATGCGATGCACAAGCTGCCTGACACAGTATACGTAAGGTCGCGAATAACCACAGCCAGGAAGGATTCTCGATGAGATCGTCTGCCTATCAGTAGGCCGCCGGCCATGGTGTATCTGTCATGTCAAGGACTGTAATACTGCTTGCCAGTGAATGCTTTTAGCACAGATCAAAGTCCGCCAGAGACACCGAGACGCGTGGTGTGCCTCGAAATTTTTCTTTTCATCCAAGAGCGCGCGCTTTCATTCCCGTGTTGCCAAAAAGTTTTGTTCTTCCATGCTAGCTGATCATAGTGATTCATCGCTGGATCTCAGGTGCGATTTCATTCCAAGCTTCCAACCAACATTACATCGAGTGTACTAAGTTCCACTTTTCCAGCGTGTATGAGCCATCTACTCCATACCAGGATCGCCTGGCGGCCATGAAAGACTACAAACACGACACGCCGGACTCCATGTCAGAAGAGTGAGCTCACAGTGACCTCTTGTCATTGAGTTTTGAAAACACGAGCTAATGCGCCTTTCTTACAGTTTATGTACTCCATCCAGTCTTGCATCTTCCGCAAACTACGTCAACCTCCAGTTGACGGCCCATAATTGCCCAGTGCCGCTCAAATTCGTCAATGCCGACGAGGAGGAGGCGTGTAAAATCGTCAACGGCTTCCTTCGTCTGTTGAGTGATAAACAGGTATACGAGAAAATCATGGTCATTCGTCATTTTGCTCGTATGTAACTAACTCATCATCATAGTCTGACGCCCAAGAGCGACAAGAATTGACAAACACCATAAAGCGATTGAAATTCGAGCTGGAAACCACAAAGTCAACCCTCACTATGCAGACACAAAAGCTCGCTGAAGCTCACCGACAGATTGATCAGGAAGCGTCTAAACGGACCGCCGTGGCTAAGTCGCTTTCCACCGAAGAGAAGCGGCACAAGGCAACGCAAAGTGAGCTGCAAAAAGCAAAAATTAACCTTCAGACCATCAAAACGCAGTATGCTGTAAGTACTTGAAGCCCCTCGCCGTATCAGCGTTTTCTTGTTTACTCATTATGACCATCAGCACGAAGTGAAAAAGCATGAGCTGGATAATGCTAAAATCAAAGAAAGGCTGCAAAAGACCATGGATGAAAGGTATGAGCAAAACGGGGATATCATCAAAATGTCATCGCCAATGGATAAAGCTGGGGCCCTGTTTGGCCCGCCCAAGCCCAATCATGCCGCAAAGGTACAGTTCGCGTAACGTTCAATTGCATTGCTGAACTTGGTGTATTGAACCACTATCTACCTCAGACGGAAGATTTGCATAAAGCCATGTTACAAAAGAGTATCGAGAGGGAAAATCAAGTTATCCGGGATAACAAACTTTTGCGATTGGTACTGTACGACCTTCATTCCGCACTCAAATCCATGCTAGAAGGTCAAACACGTCAGTATCATCAAATCATGGACTTGGATGTAAGTTTTCAAAAAAAAAAAAAGGTCTTTTCTTCTCGAACCTATGGCGCTTTTGATACTTATTTGTATTTTCAGGGTGATTCTCCAGATCTTGTCAAGTTTCGAATACCTATGGAACTAGGTGGCGCACAATTGAAAGAAGCCGTGCTTGATCTAATTGCCAAGTTAAAGGAAGAATGGGATATTCAAATTGTTCGACGCCAGGCGTATACTGAAGAGGAGGTCAAGGAGAAAGATATGACAATTGAGCGCCTCACGCAAGACCTCGATGAAGTTTTTGCCACATTAGGTGAGTTGTGTATATCACTTGCAATAACGCTCACCTTCCGGCTTTCAAGACTAACATCAACATCTCCTTTAGAACAAGTTCAGGATGACTTTGACACAAAGACAGAAGCATATCTCAAATTTGCACAAGGTTCCTTTTTTGATACTATAGCGCATAACCACCACATGGATATATCATCGTAAGTAAAGTGATTCTGGCAAGAATATGCACTTTTTCTATCAGCACTGACACATTTGCTGTTGTTAGGGATGATATCATTCCACCTGAAGTTGAGGATGAGACCAAAGCTCTTCGAAAACTTCAAAAGCAAATACGAGAAGAACGACAAAATTTAACGGAAGCTGCTATTAAACTGGGTGAAGACCGAACGCAACTGATGGTGAGTGAATGGGCTCGAGCATGTTTGGAAAAGGGATCGTAGGTTATTGAATCGGTTTCTTCCTAGAATGAACGTCGGGCATTTGAGCAACAGCAACAGTCGCATCAGACACTGGTTGTTCTTGATGAGCTGTCAAATACTGAAAGGTAAGTGGAGGCATTGATGGAAAGGCGGGAAGTTTCTAAAGAAAACAAGGTCCCAGATGGATTCTAATCGCGTATATTATTGTTTAGGTCAAGCGCGCATGACGATACATCCGATACAATGGGAACTCTCAAGACTCTAGAGAACCTTGACATACAGAGCTCTTCAAAGAAACGGAAAATGGAAGCAAACTCTCACTGAAGCGTCCATTTCGTATTAATTGCCTTTATTTGTATTATATTCCACAAAACACCGCCTCCCCCCATCTTTTTTCGTCCAATTTGTAATGAAATCATGGTGCCGGCCGATCACCTTTTTTTTGATGCTCTCATATCGTCTCTAGCCCTATTTACTCCTCTTTTCTTTTTGCATAACCCTTGTCTTTAATGCCCAAAGAAACCAAATGCACGTTTACATATTATATACTTTATTTTGGGAGCGAGTTGGGAACAAATGCATGCGCTGCTGAGTCGTGAAATGAAAATTACATAACATTTTTCCTTTTAAAAGAAGAAATAGAAAAAAGAAAAGCAAAAAAAAAGCCACCTCATTATTTTCTTAGAGGAGCTGAATAATAAATCATTAAACGGGTTGAGAATAGAAACGTAACTCAATTCACAATAGTAGCAGGTGGAAGTCTTTAGAAGACATAGGGAATAAAGATGTATGGGACACGTTCGCAGTATCTGTCCCAGTCCTTACCGTACTTCTTAGCACAACGTTCCATATCACGAGAGACACGGTGAGTCAAGACAACAAGGAAGAAGCAGACGTAGAAGTAAGGCAAGAAAGAGCCGAAACCAGTGATCAAACCCCAAGAGAGGGCCATGACCAAATCGGCAGTGTAATGCGGCTTGCGCACAACACCCCACCAACCATCAGTCAACAACAAGTTACCGTGTGCAGTCTTGATGTAGCTAGGGTTCTTGATATGACCGTAAGGCAATTGAGGGAAAGCGTTGCGGGCAATGAAGGAACCGTTCTGCTCCATACGGAATCGGTTCTTTTGAGAGTTACCGGTGTCGAAAATGTAGTAGGCACTCAACAAGGCAACGAACAAACCAACCGTGTAAGGGAGAGAGTGGGTGATGGCAACACCGGTAGTCTCTTCGAACTTCATCAAGTAGATAGAGGCGTAGCAGTAGGTGAATGGAACACCAGCCATATTCCAGAATACTAACATGAAACCTGGAAAAAAAATAGGTACGTTAATGACTGGTAATCTCGCGCTTTTCTTTTTTTTTCAAGCTCCTCTATGTCGGCTTTCAAAAATCCGTGGTTTACCGAAACCCCAGCACGAAGTGACTAGGAAAAAGGAAAATAGAATAACCACTTACCATCCTTCTCGTAGAACATATCCCAGGAAGTGGGGATGCATTCTTCACCCTTTTGGCAGGCATTGACATACAAGAAATGAGCAAGCACCATAAAAGCAGCAGGGGCAGTAATGTAACCACGAGTCTCGTATTGCTTGAGAGCGCAGGAAACAGAGATGTAGAACAAAATAGGCCATGGTACACGAATTTCAGCCCACATCTTCAGGTCAACAACGCCGACGCGAGGGTTCAAGGAAGCTCCCATGAAGAAGTCATAAACCAAGTTGCCAGACATACGATGGTTGGTACCCTGGATATGGGAGGCGATGAAAATAAGAGTGGTCAAGGTAAAACCCCACATGATAGCAATGGTCATGATGTGGCCAAAGTTATCAATGATGTCGGTAAGTCGGAAGATACCAGTGACGTGAAGGAAAGCTGAGAAGGGCAAAGTGAAGTACCAAGCTGCAAGGCCATTGCAGAGGTAAGGCAACTAAAAAAAAGTGTGTTAAACAAACGTGCACTGCAGCTTTGCCACATCCCTCCAACCCAAACTAAAAAAAAAAAATCTGCTGTACTCACTTTCTTTCCCTTGAGGGAAGGAATGGGAAGACCATTCACAACGGGACCAGGCATAATAGAGGCAAGGATGAAAGAGAATAGAATGTAACCCATGTAGATCTTAGCCGCGTAAACGGTAGGACGAGCACCCTCAACAATAGCAGCCCAGATATCATTCCAGAAGAAGCTCTTGATACCTTCAACAGACCAAACCGCTGGGACAATCAGCTTTCCTTGGTGATGTTCCAAGCAGATCCAGAAGTAGTACATGAGCGAAGGGAAACCAAGCATCATACCCACAACACCGAGAGGGCCACCGAACTCGTAGACGATCTCATTGTCGAGTTTCACGTCGAGGTCAGTCACCTTGGAACTGAAGAGAGGCACGTTATTGGCATTAGTGCTCTTTTTTGCTTCTGCTTTTTGCCCTGCCATTTGGGATGGGGTTTTAAGGGGTGAAGAGGATTAAAAAAAAAAAGAGAGAGAAAGCACATAAAAAATACGCTGGCACAAATTTATATAATTTTTTTTTTTTTGGGTTACCACTGTGTTGCCATAATCTTTTTTATTTATTTATTTGATTCCCTTTCCACGTCGTTCTTTGCTTTGCTGTGACGTTCTCGTGCATCCTATCGTTTCAATGGAAAGATCGTAGCTAGCTTTGATATTAATTTCTCTCATGCTATTGGATAGCACTTTACTAACCATTTTTTAATGACTATTCTATTCACACATCTGAGCGGAGACCCTTGCTAAGGGATCGCCTGGTTGGTTGCTGGGTGTATCGGGCAAACCGTTATTGCGGTACAGCCGGCCGCGGTGACCGCCACCGCCCAATGAAATGTCCGTAAAACGCGGCACTATTTTTTCCTGCTCAGTTTTAATACCACTGCGCTGCGTCTGCCCGTTGCGTCGTGGCTGACAAACAATCCGATGGCCCGTAAAAGCATTCGTCGTCAATTGTGCCAATGTGTAGAAGACTAGAGATGTACCACACAAGATGAAGAAGTATTGGGAATCTTGAATGATCTGTCAACATACCCTTCTTTCATCGCCTCAAGAGCGAGATTGGTTTACCCGGTTATAGTCTGCTTATGGACTTTGACCGGCAAAACTCAGTTCATGGCTCGTGCAAAGTAGTACGATTAAAATGTCCTAGTCAGCCAGCCTCTACTTTACCCACGACTAAGGTCATCAAAGCTAGAAGAAAGTTAAGGATCCTCAATTGATATTACTTTTCAAATTGAAGTGAACAACACGTACATTTTTCAACCAGCACGGGTTCAGTGAAACTATAGAGGGGTTTGCATTGCGACGCGTTATGCGTTGTGTCCCCAGGTGCAGCACACAGTAAGGAAGGAAACAATATTAAGGAAACTTGCAGAAAAGCAAAAAATTTGACACCGTGAAAAAGTTGATTCATTTCTCCCAAGGCTGCTATCAAGCAGCATCCCAATTTTATGTCATTTAAACAGGCACTCGTCTTACATACCATCTTCGATATCATTGTATTTCTGAATGTGTCAACTCTGAGAGAATAGAGGGGTAGCCGTGACACAATTTCACAAAGACATGATATGCGCCATAGCAAGACAATCATAACAGCCTACTACAATATGAAAGCCGACTTTGCCGTTATTACTCAGACACTACTAGTTGATTCGGACACTATGACTAGATCTGTTGTTGAAAACAGCTCCAAGTCTGATCCTTGAAACGGTCCCGTACAGTCAGCAGATAGAAAGGCGTAGGCGGCCACGCCTGCATGATTGGAGACAATTAGAGGAGCATCCAGGTTTCTGTAACAGCCTCGGGGGTCAGTATATCTCCTGCTTTGATTTTGAGCGTTCCGGTCGCACCGTACACAAAGTTGATAGAGCACAAGGCAGCCAGTAGATATAGGAACATCTTCATGTAAAAGTGGAAGCTTCGCTACTGCTCGCTCCAAGAATACCGTCTCATTTAGCACACGATGGTACATATACATTCAATGTGCTAACTTAAGCGCATCAAAGCTTTGTGTCTTACTGTAAAAAGAAAACCCCAACCTCGCCAACGCAAATCAAGCTTTGCAGGATTTAAATTACTCCGTAGAGGCGTAACAACATTAGCTGTATATACACTGCTCCTCCTCAACATTTATAGGTTTAGCTAGCTGATTACTCTTCGTTCAGTCGAAGGAATGCAGAATTACTGACATCATTTCAGTTTTTCGATTCTCTCTATCAACATGGTTTCTTCCATCACAGTACTTGTGTAGCCAAATCCAGCAACCCAATCATGTTTTCATGGGAAATGGATCAACTATGCGCAAAAGTGAGGACAGCAGCACTAGTCGATAACGAGGCTCCATTGACTGTGTCAACAATGTCAACGCCATTATATATTTGAGTAGCTCGGTCCATATATATAACGAAGGAAACTTGCATACGGGCAGCTCGGTACCTGCAGCACAATTTTTGTCGAGGACGCATAGGCGATATTCTGTCCATTGACAATGAAACTGACGCGCAAAATATACGATGATGGTTACATAGGAATCGGACCTCAACCACGGTGAATAGTCATTATACATGCCTTTTATCAAGCAACGGGTTATACGCAACGAAATCTAAATCAATCATGGCTCATGATGATTTTCGTACGCCCGGATCAAAAGAGACATTGAAAACATAAGTTGTAAACGTCGTTTTGGAAGGCAGTAGTCAAAAACATCAACTGGCCGAGATTTCGTTCTCGCTAGGGTTAACTATGTCTTTGGTGCTCATTCAAGCAGCACATGACACGCTAGACATTGCAAAGTTCCACCATCGTTACTTTTTTTACGCAGGCTGCGAAAGTATAGGCGCCATGGTGAGCAAACTAGAGAGTGTCGTAGACAGTTGTATGCGCAGGGCGAGGTTGCTACATGCTCAGGTAGCGTGGTTCGTTATGACTGTTGGCTAGGGGTTTACTGTGTTCTTACACGCAACATTG